TATTCTTTCACGATTAATAGAATGTATTCCAACCCTTTTCCTTCTTACTTTGGTAGAAATCGACTCTAAAGCAATCAGATCATCATCAGAAGACGACATGTTGCTGCGAATAGATAAAGAACGCGACTAGCGAGTTTTTAAAATGATTTTCCTCGCTTTTACCGGCATCCACTCTGTGCTATCTCGGCGCGAGAAACAGGCGCCAATCTGCTTCGACTACCGGTAAGCGAGAATCTCGCGTGCACTGTGTGTTTACACTAAGGCGGTATAACCGGTTTATAAGGTTATAAAACAATTAGTTTACGAACTCATAATTATCTTTCAGTTATAGTTGACAAGTTTTACGAATAACCTGTGTTTGCATACTGTTATTAATAACATACTCCGCAGGTGTTAGAAGTGCATTCGTATTATGATTTTCGCCCAAGTTGGTACTCACGTGCTTGTCCGGTCAAGTCCGGAATATTGTCATTGCCTTTACATGAACACTGTGTCACTATAGGGATCAATTGAGCACCAAAAGCGGTGAGACACAGTAGCGCGCATAACAGGCTCTTCAAAATACTTTGAGGGTTAAGCGAGAACGAACTTCGAAGGGTGTTCCTATTTTTAACTTGCCATAAAGCCCCCTGTGCAAAGAGTCATAAGAAAATGTACAGCTTACAGGTATCTTCTATTGTCCTACTCTGAGTAATAGAATGTCAGCATACTTGACCAAGCAAGGCGGTATACCAGAGACAGCATTCGAAGGATTGCCAAGTTAATTAAGAACCTGGATAGAGATTATCTAATCAGTTATTTTCCCATAACAAGCCAAATTGTAGCTGCTGATAAATATCAAGAAAGTAACCAATAATGCATCCAAACACAATACTATTTTTATTTATAAAAAATATAACATTTGCTCAATCTTCCAAAGCTTTTACTGCATTAGTTCTACAACGGATCAATTCAAAAAATTAAAACTTGAGGTGATGAAATTGATGCCTGGACACCATATTTTAGAGTAAAATTGACTGATGAAAATGTCAAGATGGCCGCTGTGCGCCATCTTGGAAAAAAAATTATATGAAAGCGGGTGCCTTGTGGCACATCATTTTGAAGCTCCTGACGAGTACTTTATAACCCTAGAATATAAAGTCAATACCTTTATCTACAACAAAATGGTGGTACATTTAAAAATTACCTGAATGCATTGACATTTAATTTGACAATTCGAATAAATACGTTGAGTTCAGTTTAGAAGATGCTGAAAATGGTTGCCTTGAACTTGTCGACACAATAACAGCCGGTCTGTATTTTCGCGTCGAACATTTTCAAACATAGTAACATCGATATTTCTACAAATATTTGTTATTCTCAGCCGTATATCCAATATTGAAGCAGGTTCAGTTTCGTACAGCTTTTGCTTCAAATAGCCCCATAAAAAAAAGTCTGAAGGTGTCAAATCTGGTGAGCGAGCTGGCCATTCCACAGGATCTCGACGGCTAATCCAACGACCGGGGAAATTGTTATCTAAATAATTCCTAACTTGTCTGTAGTATTGTGGTTCCCCGATTAAAGTTTGATCGATGAATAGAGCCCCCACAATATGATTTCCCAATATCCCAGCCCAAACGTTAATTTTTTGTGGATAATGAGTATGAGTTTCCCGGAAGACGTGAGGATTGGTGTCACTCCAATAACGACCACTTTTGTCTATGTACATTACCGTTGAGAAAAAAATGTACATTCATCACTAAAACAAATAAGTACTTTGGATATAGGTAGGATGCCGTGCAATGATTTCCGTCATAATAATAATAATAGACGTCTTTATTTATCCACAATTACATGTAGTATAGCCAAATGTCAGACTTATATGGCGAAGTTTAACATGCTTACACTTACAGATTTAGTTCATTACATCGAAAGTAAAATTTAAAAAAAAAGAGAAAAAGGCTTTCCAAACCCAAATGCACCAAAAAATTATTAATCTGAATTAAAGATGGAATAAAAAAGAAATGAATGATTACGTAAATTATATGTTTGGAGGGTTGAGTAATAATGTTTTAACTTTTTGTCGAAAGACAGGTAATGAAAATTCTTTATATACTTTAGGAAGGTCATTATAAATAATAGCAACATTGTAAGAAAAACTGCGTTTAAAAAGTGTAGACGTATGCAGGGGTATTCTAATATTATTTTCTCTGAGAGTTCTACAGTGCACATCATTATTAAATGAAAATTTTTCCTTCAAGTAATAAGGTTTAGACGTGAGCAGCAATTTGTGAACAAAAACTGAATAGTGATACTTGACCATGTCATTAATTTTTAACCAGTTTAGAACGGGATATTTCGCCGATACATGATCAAATTTACGTAAGCCAAAAATGAATCGTATACAATTGTTTTGAATAACTTGAATAACGTTTTTAGTGAAATTGTCTAAACAAGTATAGTATACGATATTACAATAATTTAGTATAGATATGACCAATGCTTCACATAGTTTTTTACGCATCTTAAAATTTAGTAAATACCTGTTTGCTATAAGAGTGCGCAGCCGTAGGTAGGTTTTCTGAGATAGACTTTTAACATGTTCAATAAACCTTAATTTTGTATCAAAAACAACACCAAGAATTTTTGCAGAATCAGTAAATTGCAAGATTTGGTTATTTATCTGAATGTTCAAGAGCTGTGTTACATTGTGTTTTTCTTTGTGCGCAAAATAATAACATTTTAGATTTTTGTGGATTAATAAGTAGATTGTGATCTAAAGAGTATTTAATTAATTTATTAACATCGTTTTGTAAAATTTGAGTAGTATTATTGACATTATCTGGGTTAAAATAATGAAGCAATTGCGTATCGTCTGCAAATGAGAATTATCAATACTTTTGCTTAAGTCGAACGTATATATGAGGAACAGAAGCGGCCTCAATACAGAGCCCTGAGGTACGCCTGAGGGAATTATTGTCACTTGAGACATTTCTTGATTGAGAAAAACACACTGAGTTCTTTGATGAAGGTAACTGTCGAAAACTGAAAGGGATACACGGTCAAGACCTATGTAATTTAATTTAGCAAGTAATAATTTATGATTGGTGCTGTCAAAGGCTTTCGAATAGTCTATAGAAATTAAGGCTAGTGCCATTTTCTTATCTAAGGCATTTAAAATATTGTCTTGCAGATTAAGTAGGGCAGATGTTGTACTATAATTTTTTCTAAATCCGGATTGAGTGTCGGGAAGTATAAAGAATTTTTCTAGGTAAGCGGTCAATTGGAACCTTATAATTTTTTCTAAAATTTTGGATAAAATTGGTAATAAACTGATAGGTCTGAGATCATTATACTCAGTGGGTTTCATTTTTTTAGGAATTGGAATAATTAGAGCTTGTTTCCATGTGTTTGGAAAGTAGCCTTTTTCCAAACAGTCGTTAAAGATGTGGACGATGTGATGGAGAATAACTGGCAGGCAAAGCTGGATCATTGACAGGGATATACCATCAATTCCCTTCGCATCAGATTTTAGGCTCCCTATTGCCTGTAATACGTCATTTGAACTAATCTTATTCAATGAAAAAATATATTCAGAGCTCAATTTATTTTTGAAATAGTTTTCGCAAACTAGTGAATCAACAGATTTATAGCTATAAACAGACATAAAATAATCATTAATTTTGGTAGGGTCATTAAAACTTGCCGGAAGGGTTGGTTTACTACGAAAATTTATATCAAGTTCTTTGAGAGACTTCCACAATTTTTTTGAATCATTTTCATTTGCCAAATTTTCGATATATGTCTTTTTGTCCCTCCTGATCATGTTAAGAGCACGGTTTCTAAGCGATTTGAAGTTATTATAGGCGTTCACGGTGTTATTAGTTTTATATAAAGCTTGCTCATCATAGTCTCGCAGAATTCTGTTCTTCGATCAGGGTCATCTTCAGTTAGCTGATGTACCAATTGAATTTTGTATGGGTGATACTTATTCTTTTTCAAAAGTCTCCATACAGTAAAGGACAAACCTCACATACATTCGCGATGGAGGAAGTAGACTGTTGGCTATTTACTATGATCTCACCAATTATTTGAACTAGCTGTAAATTTAGATACAAGTTCCCTTGAATATTGCTTTACTGAGATCTTTATCGTTGTGTTTTTAATTCTCGGACGATACAATATAACAATAATTACTATATCTTTCATGTAAACTAGTAGAAATCATATTTATATGCCTGAAAGTTTGAGAGGTTATGGCGGACAGCGTTTTCGCTTGACTAAGAAAAATATAAATTTAGATAAAAGTTCCCTTAAATATTTCTAAGGATAGGACGATTAGGGAAACGATCATTAAAAATCATTTCGGCATCGTGAAGGTTACGCGTCGCACCATAAATAAAAATCGCTTCGATTTTTTCTTCCAATGGACGAGAATTGACCATTTTAAAAATAGTTCAAACTAACTAAAACCGAAAACTAAACAAGAATATTTTAACTGTACAATGATGTTTGTTTTCGTACTGATATTCTTGTCACTGTCAACAAAAAATAACAAAACAAGTTTTTATCGCTGTTGCTGTGGATACGGCAGGGAATTACAATTATTTGTAGAGATATGTATGTTAGTGGGTTTGTATTCAAGTAATTATTAAATGTACCACCATTTTGTAGTAGGTAAAGTTATCGACTTTATATTCTAGGGTTATAAAGTTCTCGCCAGGAGCTTCAAAATGATGTGCCACAAGACCCCCATTTTCATATAATTTTTTGTTCCAAGATGGCACCCAGCGGCCATCTTGACATTTTCATCTGTCAATTTTGCTCTAAAAATAGGATATCCACGCATCAATTTCATTACCCCAAGTTTTTATTTTTTGGAATTGATCCGTTCATAAAATCAAAGGGGAGGGAAACATTAAAGAAAACCACTGTTTAAAACATTAATCAGCTAGACATCATATAAATCCATCAATATTCCAAATTACCTCGTTTTAGACTTCTAATGTTGCTCATTTCAGCGATAAGCTGATAAGGATGTTTAAAGTGAAAGAAGGAAATAACTTGATCGATGAACTATCCATTTCTCCAATTGAGGGACATACATATGCGATAAACCATGTTGAATTCTCAACAAGTGGCCAATATCTAGCGTCTTGTTCTTTAGATGGATGCACTACAATATGGAACACAACAGTAAGTATATGTAATTGATTTTTTAAAGCAACATGGGACAAAACAAGCCTGAATGTCCGGGCACCGTGACTAATATGAGGAGCGTAAAGAAACTTTGTTAATCCGATTTTTGAACTGCCTAAGGATAGTAGAACTGCGAAAAGCCTCCTCATGTATTGTTCCACGATCTTGTCGCCCTAGAAACAAAGGTCGTATCGGTCAGTTCTGGATGTACGAAGTTCGACACGGTTAGGATAGAAGGCCGAAGTCAGGCGGGTATGTTTAGCAGCCACAACGCGATGGAGAAGAGCTCTGAGGAGCAAATCCCGTTGGCGTAGCGGTAGAAAAGAGCTGGATCCCCGACGGTCCGCCGGTGCGAAAGGGTCTTTGATCAGGCGGACAGTCCTCCTTTAACAGCATCGAGCATAGGTAGTGTAGTCGGGGCGGCAGCACCCCAAACATGTGAGCAATACTCGAGTCTAGGTCTTTGTACAGCGTAAGGAGAAAAGTGCTTCTTAGCCCTAAACAAATAGCCTAGCTTTTTCCCAGCAGCTGCCGCTATTGTGTGTGAGCTTAACAAAATTCTTGTATTTTTGGTAAGAACCAATTTTCAATTATTTCCCGCAAAGGTCATGCGATTTAACCTCATTAGATTAGACTGTTGAGGGTATTCTGAAAAACAGAAGATCCTTATGCCAGACTTGGAATTGGAATTTAAACCTCTCGGATTTCATTGATACCTTATATACAGGGTGTCCGCAAAGTTGGGCTTTTCCTTTTCAGAAACAACTACTCTTGAAATAACAAAGGTAATGTGTTGTGAAACGAGGACGACCAAGTAAAAAAAAATAAAGGAAAAAGTACTCACTCTCCAGTTGTCGAGAAGGGCTAAGTACGTCTCTGCCCGAAATCATACCGCTCCAACAGAAAATGAAATCAGCTGATGCGCTACCGAGCAGACGCAGGCAAACAAGGAAGGCAAAATGTTGCGTAAAAAGTCTAGGTATTGCATCCCGTCCAATCGATTTGGGAGAATAAATGGTCCAATGAGCATACCGTTCACCATGCCAGCCCAAACATTTACCGAAAATGTTTGTTGAATATGTGCCCGACGGACAGCGTGCGGATTTTCTACTGACCAAACATGAGTGTTGCAAAAGTTATTCACCCCATTACGCGTGAACGTAGATTCGTCTGTCACCAATATGCACTTCAAAAAGTCCGGAATATTGTCATGTTGATGCAACAACCACTCACAAAACCGCACTCTTGCTGGAAAATCGTCAGGTTGAAGGGCTTGTACACGTTGGACGTGAAACGGATACAGCCCCTCTTCACGCAGCGTTTGCCACACTTTAGTTTTTGAAACTTGCACTTCTCTAGCCACGTCTCTAGTGCTTGTTGAGGGATTCTCGTCTACACGATTACCTCTACACGCGTGACCGTAACCGTCGGTTAAAGGTTGCATACTGACCTGACACACTGACCCCGACCCAGTTCTGTCGTCGGGTTGAGCTAGTGTCCTAGTACCACTCGGGGACGTCGCGGCTACAGGACGGTATTCAGATATTTTTGATGTTGCAGGGCCCTTTATCTCGGTTCCCTTAAGACATTGGTGTATATGGTACTAAGAAAAATTGCTTATGTTTTCAAGACCTACACGTCGTGTAAAGGAAACTCTTATTACCATCCCATAGTTTGAATGTTCAATAATGAGTATTATTTATTACATAGTTATTATTTTTAGACCGGCGAAAAACACATATCATTACCAGAAAATGGAATGTCGGTGAAGGTATGCAGATTTTCGCCAAACGAGGAGATGGTTGTAACAGCTGGAGATGATGAAAAAGGCATGATTTGGGACTTGGCATCAAAAGATAAAATTGGGTAAGTGTGAACTTAATATTATGTTATATAGCTCCCATATTTTTCTGCAGAACTGAAAATTTTCTCATAATCGTGTCCCAGAGTAAAACGGCAATCCCTCAGATGAACACAAAATAATGATGCCGACAGATTATACAAAAATGACATACTGAGATACAGGCGTCGGAGAATCGATCTTTTTTAACACTGTGTAATTCGACGAAATTTTTACATCATTCTAAATTCTCAACAAAAAGCTACTTGACTCATATCTAATTTTATAGAATAAATGAATATTTCTTACAGTATTTGGCTTAGGAAAACGAAATAATTCGATTTCAATTTTTAAAAGCGCAAGATAGATATATATTAGTCCAATTTAAAAAAACATTTCTTATTTTTAATACGCAACGGTGAAAACACTATCGTGACGTCATACAAATTGTAAACTAAGAAACGCCATCCTTATGTCACTCGTGGACTAACGCTGTCTTCCTTATGCATTCCTAAAAAAACTGCTCATCAACGTAGAAAGTTATCAATTTCTCGTTTTATTGGAAAAAACTATCGCGGGTATTGGATTCGTAAAAGCAGAAAGTACAAATTTCCCGAAAATTGACAGATTGATGGTTGGTAATTTTTTTTTCCTTCAACCCTCACATTTCTGAGCTGAGGAACATCAAGAGTTTGTTTGTTTGTTTGTTTCAGATTTATTTAGCATTAATGCTACAATATCCATAATATCCATATTATACAAAATATATTATGTCTTCAAGACTACATATTTGTATACAAAGTTCACTACTATGAATTCTGGTTTTCATGAGAAATTTTTACAATTTCCCTTTGAACATTTTCAAACTGACACACATCTTGATATATCATTACTTAATTTATTAAATTCGTACAATCCCTTTTGAAATACTGACTTGCTCGTATATTGCTACTGCAGTTTTGTAAATCAAAGTCTATACATCCTCTAGTAGAATAATTGTGGCACTCATTGTTCAATACAATAAAATTTTCTAAGTGATTTGGTAGAAGATAATTTTTTAACTTAAATATGAAAATGAAAACCAAGTCGACTATGACATTTTTGATATTTAACCATTGCAGTTCTTTCAGCATAAAATTTATTCTAGCATGTTTATTTTTATTTAAGATGATTCTCATAGCTTATATATTTGTAATTTTGAAAATACAGTTTCATTTGTAGTGAACAAAATAGTCGAACAATATAACGAATGAGGAAGAATTTTGTTCTACACAATTTTTTTAGAATAAACGCTTAGGCTATGCGAAATTCTATAAAAGTAATTTATTTTCTTGGATATTTTTGAAATAATATATTCATAGTGCCCTTCAAATTTTAATTTACTGTCTGCGTATATGCCCAAATATTTAAATGATTCGATTGACACAATTTTTTCATGATTAATTGTAAGATTTATCGTATTTTGATCTAAAGATTTTCCTATTAGCATATATTTTGTTGTGTTTGTATTTAGTGCAAATTTATTTACCTTTAACCACTTAATTACGTTTTTCATATCATTATTTAACAGCTCTATTGCAGTTTCAACGTCTTTATTTGATACCTATATATATATATATATATATATATATATATAGGTGAAAAATTAAAGCTTCCGCCTTTTGTTGGGTACTTCGACAAAATTTAAGCAAAGAGGACTCTTTATACTTTTTTAATTCTCTCTAGCTTTCAATGGACTTTGCCATCATCATCAGGAGCTGCAATTACAATGATAACAGTAGCAACAAAAGTGTAAAATGAATTTAAATTGATTCAACTTACAGTAGTATGTGAGGATGTTGCTAATTGTTGTTTACGTATAGGATGAGGGAAACGTCCAGTAACATGGTGAGAGCTGGATACATGGTACAATGGTCAAAATTATATAAAATATGACAAGAACAAGTTAAAGACAGATTAAAAATTATTTAAAAACATTAGAGCATTACATCGTGAAGCCACTTGATGATTGCGACGTTATATATATATACATATATATATATATTAATGTATCATCAGCAAATAGTTGAATTATGCAGTGTTGTAAAATATCAGGAATATCGTTAATATATAAAATAAATAGTAATGGACCTAATTTGCTACCCTGTGGCACACCTACCGAAATATTTTTAATGTTTGATAATGAATTGCCAATTTTAGTTCTTCGACTTCTATTGATTAAATAATTTTGTGATAAGTTGAATACTGAACCTTGAAATCCATAGCAATGCAATTTCGTTAACAATTTCTCCCTGTCAATAGACTGAAATGCTCTCTTGAAATCTAAGAACAATGTTATTGTAAACTTTTTTTCATCCATATTTCGCCTCCATTCTTCTACTACCATTTGAATTGCTGCTTCAGTAGAATACTTTTTTCTGAATCCTGCTTGAAATGTTGTCAATATCTTATTTTCTTCAATATATTCAATGACTTGTTCATGTATGATTCCTTCTAAGTTCTATGTAAATACAATTCATCTGATATAATGGTAGTCATAAAAAGAAATATCCACCCTATTTCACGAGTAGTCATCATGCTTTGACGTCTACTGATGTGAACAGCTGATCAGCAAGTGAAATTTTTGTGTTAGTCTGCAACGTTGGCAATAATGAATCGGATATAAATCTAGTAAAACTTGTTTGTGGCGTTTTGTTTTTTGTATGCAAATGAACTTTTCTAAATAAAAGAGCTGTTAGCAGGTACAAAATGAATCTGCAGCGTACAGAAAACCAAAACAAAATACGGCTTTGACTACCTGGCGTTGACGGATCCGTCAGAATTGTGTCGCGTGCGGATATAGGGAATTTTGAGATATTACTAGATAATCAGCTGTCATTCTATCGTGATGGATACTCGTGAAATAGGGTATATGTCTGAAAGTTTGAGAGGTTATGCTGTTGTTAGATGGTGTTTACAAATGGTATTTCGTCAGAGCACATTAATATGGCCCATACATGGCGGACAGCGTTTTCGCTTGCCTAAGAAAAATATATGTTTGGATTAAAGTTTCACGGTCTTTTAGATCTGAAAAATATAGTATTAATTATTTTGGTCTAATAGAACAAATATTGAATATTTAAGACCTACTTCAAAAAAGTGTCAACTAGCCTATCGTCGATCAGATTGTCAAGGATAAACTATTCCCAACGCTATATTGCTATTTTAACAGCCTGTATAATAATAGCTGAACAATGAGATTTTGGAAAGCTTGATCTTTAACTTGAACAGAAGAATATTTTTTTTATTCTGGATCCAGTATACGGGTGCCATCATTTTGAAAATATTATAATTATATAATTGTAATAGGTTCGTAATCTGCGATCAGAAAATCCGAAAATCATAAGTTTTTTGATCTGTGTAGATTTTTTTGAGTTTTTTTCAGCTAAAGGATAAGTAACTTTCTCAAAAGTATCATTTTTCAATCATTACTATATACAGGATATACAAAATATTGCGATAGGGCTAATTGATTAGAACGTTGTCAAAATGACTTTCTGTTATACAGTGTAGCTCAAAGTTATAAAAAATTAACGATTTCCAGGAGCATACATTAAGGAGCTTGAGGAATTATATTTTTGCTTTATATGCGTCCGATAGATTTTCATTTCATTCCGGGACAGCGTGTTTATCAATCAGTAATGAGGAAATTTCTCGAACGGTTCCATCTAGTACCGACTCCGATACCTTAAAGGTCAACTGTCAACGACCTAGCTTATAATAACAACAATTACAAATCACTATTTTGTTTCAGGACCTTAGAAGGTCACCTGGACGCTGTCCCATCAGCCTGCTTCTCCCCAGACAATTTGTTGGTAGTAACAGTGTCTTCAAATTCTGACTTCAGAGTTTGGTGCGTAGATGACCTCAAGTGCCTATACGTCAAAGAAGATGCCCACGATTTGGGCATACAGTGCTGTGATATGTCACAAAATTTAGAACCCATTCCTAATACAATAACGGACACCCAGTCCTGTTTGTTAGCTACCTGTGGAAATGACAGTCTTGTCAAACTTTGGCGACTTACTATACCAAAGGTAAGATCGTTTATCTAGAAGAACTACAAACCAGTGGAAACATATTTAATGAAAAAAGTTACGAAGTTTGTGTAAAAAAAAATTGAAACCACTGTTTTATGTGTTCAAAATGGTACTATGGTATTATTTGTTTCCAAAACGTTTATGTAGCAGATAATTAAATTAAATATTGTATTGTGACAAATAGGCGCCATCTGTTGGGCGAGTCTCCTACTCGCCAGAGCGTAATGGCCGATCTTTGCTTTTACGCGAACCACGACCGCACAAGCCGCCTAGCTGCGTCTGCGATGACCTTGACAGTGGATCGCCTTCTAGATCGACGCGAAGTGACCTCCAATATTCTAGATGTCGCTTAGGGTTCACCCGGCCTTTCTCGAAGCAGCAATTGGGACTATATATAACTCTACGGCCGGGAGATGGAAGGGAGAGTACATATTACACCAGCGCAGTGCGGAGTGGAGTATAGTGCAGTCAATGGCGACATAAGAATTAGTCAAACATAAATAGTGGTGTATATAATGTTCTATCAAGTTAAATAAATTAGTGCATTTCTTTTTGTGGAATCCAGTGTTTTAATCCACACCCAAAAGAACCCAGAAAAACGCTACAGTATGTATTTATTGCAGCAAGATGACGAGCTCCAATTCGCCGACATCGAAGTGAAACTATGGCGTTCACTTCAAGGACACGGCGGCAACGTGCTCTGCGTCAGATTCTCGCCAGCGGTCAGCGAGTTTGTATGCTCCACTGCGACGGATAGACAAGCGAGAATATGGTCCGTATACAGCGCCACCTGTCTCTACGTTCTCGACCACGATTCAATCGTTACTGCATGCTCGTTCAATGCGGACTGTTCGCTATTAGCAACCGGATGCCAAGACAAGACTTTGTGGATGTGGAAGCTTCCGGAACAACTGGTAAGTACCATGGGCGGGGGGTTGTGATACAAGGTGTAAACGTTATGATAGTCATTATTTAAATGGGTGACAGAGGGGGTTAGAAGAAGCTAAAAGTTTCATATAACATGGGGGTCAAAACGGCATTATTTTAGAGAAAAGCGACTTTAAAATAAAATAAAATCTGACAACGCCGCAATACCAGACGCAAATTACGACGGAACGCAGTGTAAATAAAGATGGAGTTTGTTATTTTGGGCTCTTAGGTATTATTTCATTATTTTCATAATGTACCCGAAAAAGGCAAACAATTAAAAAAAATGGACTTACAACTAACTGCCTCAGCGCTTCACCTGGTGTATGAAAGTTTATTGAACGTATTAAAAAAATCCACTTATAAATAGGGAACACTGCACTTTTTTGTATTTAAAGAAGGTGTTCAAAATGTCGTCCTCCACTCTCCACACAAGCTTCATTACGACGAACCCAGTTTCTTCTAACTCTAGGTCCTCAAAGTTGTCCATTTATTATTTCAGCCGCATTAATTTTTTTTTTTCGCGAAGTTGTGCTTCAGTTGTTATTGGACCAGCCCCATAAACCTTCCCTTTAAGTTCTCCCCAATACCAGAAATCCATCGCATTGAGGTCAGGAGATCTTGCTGGCCATTTTCGAGGATCAGGAGCATTTCGACCGATCCAGCGATTTGGATAATGTTCATTCAAATACTGAATGACGCCTCTAAAAATGTGTGGTGGTGCCCCGTCATGAAGAGACCACAAATTCTGTTTCCGTTGTAATGGCATGTTGTTGAAGGTCTGTTCCAAAAGTTCTAGTAGGTTATTGGCTAGAAAGCTAAGGTATCATTCTCCTGACAACTTTGGGGGTAACTAACAAGGGCCAATTACCTGATCGACAAGAACCCGCCCAAATATTTATTTTAAAACGTTGGAAATGACCTTCACGAATGGTATTTGGATTTTTTTGGGCCCACGTGTGAGTATTATGTAAATTTAATATCCCGTCTCGCGTAAATGTACATTCGTCCGTCGCTAGAATGTTCTTAAAAAAATCCGGATTTTCAATGTTTTTGTGCAAAAACCACCGACAGAATGTTAGTCAGCGAGGATAGTCTTCTGGTAACAAGGCCTGCACTCGTTGTACATGGTAGGGATAAAGCAAATTTTCCCGTAGAATTCTATGGACTATCGTATGCGATAGTCCTACGCGGCGGCTTAATTCCCGAGTGCTGATATCTGCATTGATTTCCACGATATTTAAAATTTGTTCCTCCTGCTCTCCAGTAACCTGTCTTTCACGAGTGCGAATATTAGTGGTCTGAACACTTCCTGTATCTCGAAGTCTTTGGTACATTTGCACAAATGTCCTTCTGTCTGGGTGTACCCGTTGGCGAAATCCGTCGCGATAAATTTGAGCTGCAAGATTTGATTTCTGACGAGCTTCACCGTAAACTAACAACATGTCGGCGATCTCTTGATTCGAGAGCATTGTAAATAAACACGACGACGTACGCGAACAAAAACAATGCTGCTCGACAAAACGAGAAAGTAATTTATCTATGCAAAACGATAACTAATCACTGTTACCGTTTGCGTTCGATTGCCGGTTCGATAAGAGTGATGAAAGACCGACGCGTTATTGTCATGTGTGTTTTAAATATTTAATTTAATGAAACTTACTGAACAAATTTTGGCTTAACTTAGAAAAACTGAATGCCATTTATTTGTTAATTACCCAATTGAAAAACGTTTTAGATTAGATTATAAAAATTAGTAAGATTGTGGTCGATATAAAGCACTTAAAGTTGTAAACTATAAAGCAATTTAGACAAAAATCTATTGACTTTTGGACCATGGGTTATATGAACTTTTTGACTTGTTTCAATAATAACTACCATAACGTTTACACTCCGTAGACCAAAAAATTTAGTGTGATAATACCATCTTGCAAAGTTGAAATAATGAATAAGATATAAACATAATCTATATAACAATAATAGCTTAATTAAAGCATCTTCGGTTGGTCTAATTTTTTTTTGTTTTCATAGTAAAAATAAGTCAGTTCAAATGTTATGGCAGACACGAGTTCGATGTACATCATGCTCGCCACTTCAAAACACACTGGCGCATCCGCAAATTTATGGATAGCCACATTTGCATCCTTAAAGATAGCCAAACGTTTGTAGAGGTTGGAGTTTGCGGAATGTGCCAGGTGCGCGGCTCATGTAAAAAATGATATGTATGTATGTGTAATCTTTGTTGCAGGTTTTCCAGACTGTGGTGGCGAACAAAATTCACTGTAGAACGAAACAGGTTATGGATTGGTCGAACGCTGATGTTGTCAAATGGTTAGAAGAAATAAAGATGCAAGATCTAGTTAAAATGGTTCAAAATACAAAGCTTGACGGACAAAAGCTATTGACACTTTCTGAGGAGGAGATATGTAGCGGACTAGAACTTAGTAAGTTATTAGTTAGTGAGAATTACATATACAAAGGATCAGGATCCATAAGGGGGCTTTTCGGCAAGGAACATGACTCAAATCTCAAGATGATCGTATCTATGAAATGTTTGCATTTAAATATTTCAGATCATATGATTTTTAAGCTTTTAACAACATTTATTTTTTTATTTTAGTGCCTGCAGGCTCTTTAAAAGCCCAAGGTTCGGAATTTCCACAATTTTGTCCAAAATTCTTCAAATATTCAACTTACTTATCTGTATGAGCGCATGGTCGCAACACTTCTACAGATCTATAATAAAACAATCTAAGACACAAAACATATAAGCATCGCACACATAGTATAAAAACAAAAGTTGAAACAAATGAATACACAAGAGTAATGAGATTTTTTGTTTTTATTGTGAGCGCAATGACGCTAAACTTGAGTTATATTTAAGTTTCGGTGTGCTTTACTATCTCATCTAAAAATATACAGTGCTCTTCAAAAAGTTGCACTTCTCCCTACATATTCTTTGAACGTGTGAAGGCAGTAAGCTAAAATTCGGGGTAGTGAAATTGAGGCATAAATACTATACTTTGAAGTTGAGTCATTAATTTTCAGATAGATTGTAGAAGGAAGATAAACCAAAATATGTGTAAAAATAAAAAAAAATTAAAAAAATAATGTTACCTTGTTTTATAAAGTATCCTCCCGACAAGTATTTCAGTGCAGACCTGTATTTGATCGTGCGGTCTTGGAGCACCGGCATGCCCTCCCCTGTGAGGTCTTAAGTCACCTGATTCACGAGCCCTTTGTACTACATTAACAAAGGCACGAGGGGTTGGTTGCACTCGATTGGGAAACCGATCCGCATAAATCCGTGATGTCGCGGCAGTATTTTGTAAAGACTCCCCCCCCCCTCACAAAACACCTGTTTTCCGGCCATCACTACTAGTTTATTGAGCAATATACAGGGTTAGTTCAAAAGGCATTTTATAGCAAAATACACTAGTTTACCTTGCCGATATGAATCACAAACCGTTCCGGAAGATAAATGTTATTTTTATGCAAAAAAGGATGGGTTACAAGCAAATTCAAACATTTCGTATTTGTTCAATTACTCACAAATACGAAATGTTTGAATTTGTTTAGATTCTATTCTTCAGACAATAAAGCACATTGCCATATTCTTCAGAACTGATACCGAGAATATAGCACAATCTCAGATTTGGTTTTTCTTGCAATTACCAATAAAACTAATATGTTATTAAACTATCTAAATGTATTTTATATAGACGAAGAATCGGCAGAACGCATATCCAAGGAACTTCGCTGGCTAAAGAAAAGCGAACGGCACATGGAACGATCTAGCACCACGGACATTCCGCACGAATTCCTGTGTCCAATCACGCACGAGATCATGCGAGAACCAGTGACGTGCAGTGATGGGTTCACATACGAGAAGAGGGCAATCGCAGAATGGTTCATGTCTGGAAAATACACCAGTCCTATGACCAACGAGCACCTTGCTAATACAGACTATACTCACAATTTAGAACTGAGGAACGCTATACACGAGTTTTTGGACCATAGCGAATGTGATGAAGAGTCATAATACGTTTTGAACTAATTTTAGTTTCATATACAGGTTGTTACAAATTTCAGCCCCAGAAACTGTAATACTAATAAGAGCAGAATTGTATGAGCAGTGCCTACGTTAGGTCTGTGAACTATTTTTTTGCGGGACCTTGCTCCAAAGGTGACATCTAAAAATACTTAAAACCATTGAGTAACGTAGGTATTCAACTAGAAGATAACCAACTTAATATTATACCCCAAAAATTATTCGAGATAAAATCAGATACTGTAGCATCATCTATGAGATTTTTTCACGGCTGTTTCTCTATTCACTATATAATACTTTGATAAGGTTAGTGTGTCATAGATGGCGCTGCCTATATGCTCGTAGAGTCGGCTACAGCGCCACCTATCAGACATTAACCTCATCGAAATATATACAGTAAATGGAGAAACACCTGTCCCATAGATGGTGCTATGGTATCTCATTTTATCATGGATAATTTTTTGTACGCGGGAATATAGTATTAGGCTTGTCATCTTCAGGTAAAATATGCTTACCAATAATTTTCATTACAGATAGATCCTATGAAACACGTCTGTAATCATGAATAGAACAGTATATAATTCGTGATGCTACTTGTTAAATTACACAGACTTTGCCTTGTATTCGTGCCTATATTTAACATAACAAAATAACTTGAAGAAAACGATGATTTTGTGATATTCAGTATGAGTGTTCTGACCGATGTTATCCTTATTTATCTTTGCCTATCTTGCAATCTTCATCAGGCGGGAAAATGCATCTTCAGATTTAGTTGTATGTTTCTCGTAAACCATTTCTTAGATATTAAGCAATGCCATTAAATATAGCGTCAACAGTATCAAAAGCAAACATCTTCAGTGGGCAGTATCAAAAATATGGGACCAACTAGCTTGCATGCCTAAAATAAATAATTCTAGTAAATATGCCTAAAACATGTATTTAAAGCGAAGGAAAGTTCCTTTTAACACCACCGCCTTATATGATACATTACTTTATTGCTTGTATGTGGAAGAATGCATAAAAATTTCTTGAAACGTCTGCCTGTCTTAAAAGAGTTATTATTTTCACAGCGGAAATAACCGACAAAGATGTGATAGTTAAACTGAGAGGCAGACAGGCATTTATCATTTAAGGTTAAAAATATATGCTATAGACGCTGACGTGATCTGTACCTGTATATAAATCAAACATGTTTGTAATGATTTTTCTAAAAGTTATTTTAGGAGTTTCACCTCGGAATGAGAGATAATAAGCCGTAAGCTCGTTGAAACCTTTATTTTGTCATTCTAAAAGTGGTTCCAAAAGTCTCGGAAAATCTCGTGTCGTTTTTTTTCAAAGATCTCTGTTTCTATGGTTTTAATGCTATAGTTGTACTCCCCACGAATATTGTAGATAATAAAATCCTTTACAACTATTTTTCAAACATTTTTTTCATACAATTAACTGTTTTTGACATAGTGCTCCAGCTCAAAAACGGTCAATTGGATGAAAACATGTTTGAAGTTAAGGTTGTAAAGAATTTTATTTTCTACAATATTCATAATAAATACAATTAGCATTAACCTCATAGAAAGCGAGATCCGTGACAAAAAAAACGATTTTTGTGACTTTTAATATCCCATGTCGCGGACACAACTTTCTATTAGAATCTTGCGACAACTTTCACAATGGCAAAATAAATGTTTCTACAAGCTTACAGCTTATTATCTCTCATTCCGAGGTTGATACTTTTTTACGTCTTATATAATTGAACTAAATACGGAACTACATATTGCAATAATATGCATAAATGCATACACAGGATGCCTCAATGTTATTTCGGCCCAAACACTTTGTATAAAAGAGGAGCCATGGTTTTAGCATCCAATATAGTAATAAAATATTATAGTCCTTTGGCTGTGTGATAGAAGCTTCTAATTTTTAATGATAGGCACTATAGCTTTAGTAATTACTTCTGTTAAACTATTTGATATGTAGTTGAACAATATCTTTGCAGGTGGATATTAAAAACAATTATTTTTGTATTTACACCATTGTATGGTTGTCAAAATTATCGAAACATCTTTTGTTATGTTTAATTAATTACAAAAGCGCGGTATGACTCAAACAGAGTCGTTAAAAAGGTTTGGTTAATTTTGACCACTATATTTCAAAGAATTTACATTAATTATTGTGCACATGACACCATCTAACGAAATACAATAAACCTTTTGAATATTGTTTTCTTGCATTTTTCAATATTTTTTTTTATACTCCAACTACCACGAAGGCCTAAGGCCTAAGCACCCATTGGACACCGTGGGGCTAGATAATAATAGACTTTTATTTCAGGCAAAGTTTAGTTACCAGCTATGCCACCAAACTAGCACTAGAATATTGAAAACAATTTCAACAAAATATTCTTCCAAAATTTAAACGAAATATACATATGTGGACAAAAAATACTATAAATGGTTTATGCAATATGCAGAATTATGGATGAACTATATACTGGGAGATTCAGATTCGAGCATCAAAGACAATGAGCATATGTTCTAAGGTGAAAATAAATCTACAACATGAATTTTGAATTTTTTGTAGACGTTTAGCCGAATCTAGAAATGAGTAGTATACTAAATTATAATATGCGAATTTTGATATTATTAAAGATTCACATACATTTTTTTTGATCTAAAATCAAGTATTTCTTTAAGTACAGATGCCATAAAACACTAAAATAATTGTTACTTACATTATTTACATGAGAAATAAATTTGAGATTTTCATCAGTAATAAAACCTTAGTTTTTAACTAATTCTTCTATCTGAATAGCATGGCCGTTTACAGTGGTGCTCAAATTATTTTTTATAAGGGACCTTAGATTTTTGGGAGAAGAAATAATCTAATTCAACCGGAGACTATGTTCTGTTGAATAATTTTTCAATAGAATTTAGGTCCTCCATTATTTTCTAAATTTTCATGATTGAAACTATGATATATGTAATTGTGAGTCGTCAGCAAAAAACTGAATACTACAAAAATTCAAAACCCTGTTTATATCGGCCATATACAAATTGAAGAGAAGTGGTCCAAGAACTGATCCTTGAGGCACTCCTGAGGCAATCAGACGTTCTGTAGAAATTCTGAATCAACAACATTTTGGGATATATATTTATCAGAAAGCTGCGAATTAAACTCGGTGAGGAATCATCGATGCTATAATCCTTGCATTTAGCAATCAAAAGAAAATGTATTGCATCGAATGCGTTTGTGAAGTCCAAGAGGACTAACGATGTAACTAAATTATAGTATGAAGTTTTCTTGGATTGTACATAAATATACCACCTATAACGAAATTTAGGCATCTTATACAATTCATTCTTAGATTTCTGACGATAATGATACTTTAGTATGTAATAATTTAGCAATCAAAAGCAAGTTATTTATTGTATCGAATGCGTTTGTGAAGTCCAAGAGAACTAATGATGTAACTAAATTATAGTATGAAGTTTTCTTGGATCGTACATAAATACCATCTATAACGAAATTTAGTCATCTTATACAATCCATTCTTAGATTTCTGACGATAATGCTACTTCAGTATGTAAATGTTTGTTCGTCCTTAATACTATGATGACTGCATATTGATCTGAAAAGTAAACTCAAATCAACAATAAACCTTTTGTCATTTTCAACTTTAAATAATTCCGTATTTTACCAAATAAACATGTTTATTTAATCGACTCAAATGTTAGTCTTAATAGTAAAACATCATAATTCATAATCTTTGTGCATAACAATGGTTGCAATTTACACCAAATACAATGATTATATGAGTATTACAATATAACCATTAAAGAATAAAAGCATGTCAAAACACATTAATGTCGTCCTCTAATCCCAGAAGAGAGGCACATAGGTATCTAAACCTTAATATGGGTCTGTTACAGTACTGCAATACAACGTGATCACCTACTCTGTTGCCGTTTTGCAAGTAAAACAGCAATAGCAATTATAACAAGTCCATTGCAAGTAGGTGACGACTATAAACAGCACTATTTTCACTAAAATACCTCCTGCCATGAAGATTTCTATTCATCTTTCTTCTCAGACATTTGCTTATGCTTATTTCTTCTAAAAGACCTCTTTTGACTTTCCTTTATGCTACCTGATAATTTTCCTGATTTTCGCAAAGCTTGCAATTTAAGGTTCTTTGCTTTAACCACTTTCTTTTCATTTTCACCTTTCTTCTTACCACCATGTGTATATTGGACATTTATTCTACGACCCTTCATGAAGGAATGATGCTTGGAAAGGCATTTCTAGAACAAGAGAACACTATTTTTTTCTGGAGTTTAAAAATCTGCGTTTGGCAATTTGTTGAAATCGGAACAGACTGCAGCATGGTGCAAGTATTTCGGATAAAAATGCGACAAGCAACACATACTACAAATCAGTCGTCCAGAATGCGGGCAAATCTGAAATACTCTCTAGTATAGGTCTTTGTTGTGTTTCATGAAGTTCGCGACAAACTTTAATCAAGCGATTTTATCCATCGCATTTTTGCTGGATAATAATTGCTGATAAGTAATGGACAAATTAATATTGTGCTGTATTTCTTTTTTAACTTGTTTGATTAACACACCAACCTGTATACATAATTCGTTATAGCATAATGCTACACATAAATAAATTCATTAGACTCTCTTTAATAAAAAATTAATTGCAAAAAACTGGAACTATGAAGGACAAAAATATATAGACAAAGCAAAACAATTATAGAAAAAATAAGCAAAGTTCATTGAATTATAGAAAATCAACCAATTTTGTGTTAATATTTTGTAGCATAACCATTGTTATCAATCACCGCCTGGCATCGTCTCGGCATAGATTGTAGAAGATTCATCAATCTGTCTCCACTTTTACTCTAAAGCGGCAAAAAGTTCATCCTCGTTTGAATAATTTTTATCTCGTATTTGCTTATAGTATTCCCATAGATTTTCAATGGGGTTTATATCGGGAGACTGTGAAGGCCATTTGAGAACTGGTATTTTTTCATCCAGAAAGAATTTCTTTGCGAAATTTGAAGTGTGCTTCGGGTCATTATCTTGCTGGAAGATTGATCTTAAGGGCATATTGTCTTCCATATAGGATAACATGACATGCTTTAGTATGTCTGTGTATACAAACTTATCCATAATACCATCTATTCTATGTAAAGGTCCCATCCCAAACCCCGAAAAGCACCCCCAAACCATAACAGACCCGCCTCCATGTTTGACAGTGGGCAAAGTGAACATGGGGTTCAATCTTTGTCCACTAGGACGTCTAACGTAATGAACTGGTGTTCAGATGGTTCTGGTCCAAACATATTGAACTTGGATTCGTCATACCCTCTTCCTGTCACAGATGCTCCAATCAAGATGCAACCGTGCAAATTGTAATCGGTCCTTACGGTTTTTCCTCGAGATTAGCGGCTTCTTACTCGGGCGACGTGCAAGTAACTTCAAATCATTTAATCTTCTACTTATAGTTTTCGTAGAAACACTGACAATTCCTTTTGTCTGGATTTTGGCTTTTATTCATCTTGGGGTTTTAAACGGATCTTTAGACGAAATTACTTTTATTAATCTAACTGATCTACCATTTAGTTTTCTAGGCCGACCACTTCTCTTAGAGGCTTCCAAGATACCTTTTTGTTGATATTTGTTCAATATTGCCCAAACTGTTTTACGCTTCAGCTTCAAATTTTTGGCAATATCGACTTGACGTTGACCATATTTGTATAACTCAATGATCTTAGTTTTCACATCGAAAGAAATTTCTGGACCACGCGGCATGGTCTTAAAATCACTCAACTTATTCCACAATACTTGATGAACACAAACTAATCCTCTTCTGACACGCAACTGTACTAAACTAATGTTGATAATAATTTGTCTACATATTTTTGTCCATCATAAAAAAGTCCATTGCAGATAATGTAAAAACAAGGAATTTAGTGTTTCTACTAATAACACATTTGTTTATGGAGCAATGAAGTATGAATTCGTTTTCTAAAGGTATTCAGGTAAATATTCATATTTGTCTATATACTTTTGTCCTTCACTGTATATCACATTTTGCAATCGCAGGTGTGAAGAAGAATGAAGCTTTACATAAGTGTTGCACCATACAGTTAAATCAAAAGTTGAGAATAAACTGAAACATAAGTAACAGTACAATGTATGTCTTTATTACTAACTTCTACTTAAATAACAAACCTACTTTGTTTAATCAAAAATGATGCTGTCAGACGTCAAAGAGAATTTCAGAATTCAATCACATCGAGTTTTGAATCTGGAGAAATATTTGATCAACAGGGAAAAAATAGCTATTTTGCTGTTGTTATGAAAAGTACAAAACTTCTAAAAAACTGTGGCTCACGATAAAACAGCGAGGCAAAGAGATATAGGTTTTAATCTCTGAATAACTTACCTGGTAAGATTCCTCATCAGCAACCTCTACATAGCAGAATCCTCTAGGTTTGTTGCTCTTTTTTTCAGTAGGAATTCGAATATGCCTTATTTCTCCACATGTTTGGAAGTGTTCTACTATATCCTCCTTTTTCAAGTCGTAAGGTATATTACCGACGAATACAACATACCTTGTCTTATTTTTTACAGATTGTTTTGGCGGTAGAAGATCTTTCTTTTTCAAATCATCAATTTTGATTTCTTTTTTTGGTAGATTACTGTCTTTTACTGTGTTCTTTGATTTACTTGTGACTTCTTTCTGATAAAAGAAAGTAAAGTTAATTAGTGGCATAGGATAAGTTCCTTCTTTGTAAACCTTATACCAAGATGAATAACATACTTTTATCATCATCATTCAAGGAAAATCTTGTTGATTACAAAGCAAGATTACCAGAAAATGTTCTTACATGTACAACTTATAAAAACATTTTTTTTTACAATAGTAATTTGTAAAACATGCTGAGCTCAAAGGAATAAGTAGTTAGAGCTGTGATTTTAAGTAATCTTCAATTTTTGTTGAGTACTTCCTGCTGTTATCGCTTTGCAAGAAAAAGTAGGCTATAAATTCTAAATATAATATTAACATTTGATTTGTCAATTCCACAAAAAATTGCTCAAAATAAGAATAAAGATGATGAAGTCTGTTGGAATTAAATTTAGAATCTCTAAAAGGAATATTTTAATTTATATATCCAATCCAGGATCCAATTCTCAAATTCTGTGAAAAATGGTAGTGACAATTATCCCCTCAGGTTGCTGCATCCTATTGGAAAATATGTATACCATCATTTAGCAATACATTTTGATCAAATGCTCAAATGTCACTTTCATAGCATTGGTGGAACATTTTTCCATGACATTTTTTCAGGACTCAAGCTACATTGCTCAAAGATAGCTGAGATGGTTTTTCTATTTCTTTTTAAGATTTTATATTAATATAAATAAAAGAACCAAACTAATCAATATGACTTTACTGATAAAAACAAGTTGAATAATGTCATTGAACAATAAAAAAGATGAACAGTTTAATCAACTAACAGATAAACTATGGCTGAATTTAAGCAATTTTAGAAAATTATATGGACCTTCATATAATCATACATCACAAGACCTACAGATTAACATACTTATATAGTGCAATATATAAAAAACTTAACGCTTTACTTATTTTTTGCCTCTCTGTTTTTGTTTTCTGTTACCCACCTTGGGTGGTGGTTGGGGGGTATCTTCTTCTGATTCATCATCTTCCTCTTCGTCATCATCATCTTCCTCGTCTGAACCTTCACCTTCTTCATCTGAACCTTCATCACTATCTTCTTCTGCCTCAGCATCCTCATCGTCAGATTCGTCTTCATCTTCCTCATCAGACTCTTCCTTAACCATCAATTTTGATTTTTTATTAGGAGGTGCACTTTTATTCTGCTGTTTATTTTTTGGTTGTTTTTTATTTGCAGGTGCTTGATTTTGGGCTGGTTTGTTAGTTTGTTTAGCTACAACATTCTTCTTCTTTGCTGCTGCTGCTGCTGCGGGATCAACTTTTTCTTCTAAAGCTCTTTGTAACCTCTGCAATATACTCAACTTCCTCTTTGCAGTTTTAGAGAGGTCTCCTTTCTGTTGGCGCTCTGCAAATCCTTGGATCTTTTCTCTAATAGATGCAAGTGCCTCTGCATCACCTTGTCTAACTTTGTCCTTTAATTGTGCATATACAGCTCTACGTTTCTTACCCTCTTTTCCTTCTTTACGTTCACCTTTTTCTTTCTTGATCTTTTGATGTTTAACTTTCGTCTTCTCTTCTCCTGTTTGTTTATTAGGGCTAGAGCTATCTTCCTTTTCTTTTTTAATTTTCTTAGACGTAAAATTTACCGTTCCAGTCTCCATATCAGAGTCCGACTTTTCTTTTTTGATTTTCAGAGTCTGCAAATTCCCCGTACCAGGGAAAGGTTTTACCTTCTTATTAGGTGTAGCCTCATTTTGCTTCTGGGCAACCTTTGCATTGCCATTGAGGAGATTCTCGGACTTAGGCGTTTTTTGTTTTTGAGGCGTGTTATTTGCCTTTTGTTGATGGGGGGTATTCTGCTGACCTTTTCCTTTCTGTAGTTGTGGGGTATTTTGCTGACCCTTAGGGGATTTTTTATTATTAAAAGGTGTATTTACTTTCTGATTTTTCTGCGGCGTATTGGCATTGCCATGTTTTTTGGCAGAGTTTTTGTTGCCAAATGAGTTTTTCCTCTTATTATTTGGCGTTTTCGGTTCGACGTCAGTCATCTCTGGAATGGATATCACCATGAAAACTAAGACAATAAATTGGAAAATCAGAAACTTACCTATTTCTTTTTCTGTTAGCAAAGCACGTGTAAATTTGCGGATGAAGTACTGTATGAAATGGCTTCCGTTCCGTTGACAACCACAAAACACCACGCTAGAGACACGCGAACGATGACAGAAAGAGTGAGGTTAGCTTTTTGATAGAGATGTGAGTTTTAAGAGAGCGGTAGACGTGTCACTGTAGAAACGAATATTCATTGAATACGAAGTCTCTCATTGAGAAAACAGATTGTTCACCAGTATTTGTTACTTTTTTGTAATACAAACTAGGCATAATTAAAAAGAGAATTGTGATAATGAGAACTTTCAGATTTCCAAATGCGATTTTTCACGACCGACTTCAGAGTAGATTTTTGGATATTTCATGGTGCCCACATCACGTGTAACATCGACCAGGGCTGCGTTCGTAAGTTGTTACAGAGTGGACTTTATACTACTCTCTGTAGCAATTTTAATATACGTAATTTTTTGACGTACCTGTTACATGCGTTCCGAAATAGAACAAAGTAATCCTTTTCTAACGACAAAAGAATGATTTTCTTCCCGAGCTCAAAAACTTGGGAATAAGAGCTCTGTCACTTGTCATTCTCATGATTCGTTGTTTTTTTATTTTATTTGGTTATCAAAAACTGCTCAAAATTGGCAGAATATATATTTTTCATAAATGCTCCCTCGTATTCCTGGGGTCTCTTATAATAACTACAATGGTTACAGAAAACGTGGTTAGAAATTAGTAGGCTGTTATCAAGTGTCATTACACTTTCACAGTAATCAAATCCAAGCGAATAACCAAAATTTCCATATTATGTACCGCGGTTATAATATGGTTCAAGATGACACACGGGATGATGACGTCAGTTACTCGAGTCGCTTGAACGCGTTGGTTTTAACCGCGGTTTGTTTCAAGTTGTTTATTTTAGAAAAGCGCGTATATAACTAATGATTATTTTTATTATCACTTAATAATCGGTGCTTTTTCATCTACAACGGGGTATGGAAAGTTGAAAAAAATAAACCTTTCATAATATTAGTGGGAGGAATGTTTTATTTTTAGAAAAAATTTTTTACTGATGAAACCATGGCTTTGTAGCTATGATAACTTTCAATTCTCTAAACTTTTCCGCATGTCAAAGAAAATATTTATTGATTTAGCAGAAATGATGAAAAAGGATATTAACAAACCGTATACAAGTGGACATCATCCAGTGAGTATATATGGCCATATTTTAAAATTCTTGTGGTATATGGTTATACAGGATACTTTGTTAAGCGTAGGAACTGGGTTTAAAGTGTCTCCAACAACAGTAATGATTATAACTAATAAGGTGCTCTCTTATGCTAAAACTGAAGTCAGCTTCTATCAAGTTTCCCAAAAATGAAGCTGAAGTACAATAAAAATATCCAATACCCGCCAAAATTCTAACTTGTCACATGTCAAATAATAACCAGAAATATAAAACTACTCCTGAGTTGGGTAAATACCACAATTTTGCGGTGATAACTATAACATATAACAGCTGATTCATGACGTCACGGATCTTATAACCACACTCGCTTGAACGGATCGGTAAATACCAATCCAAAATGGTTAAATACCATTTCCATTTGGTTATCCGCTTGAATTTGATTTATTTCACAGTAAAATTGCATCTGTCAATCTACATGCCATTACTACATCTATAATCAAATTCAAGCGGATAACCAAATGGAAATGGTATTTACCATTTTGGGTTGGTATTTACCAATCCGTTCAAGCGAGTGTAGTTATCAGTTTGGTTATAAGATCCGTGACGTCACGAATCAGCTGTTATATGTCATAGTTATCACCGCAAAATTGTGGTATTTACCCAACTCAAGAGTAGTTTTATATTTCTGGTTATTATTTGAAATGTGACAAGTTAGAATTTTGCCGGGTATTGGATATTGTTATTGTACTTCAGCTTCATTTTTGAGAAAAATGATACAGGCTGACTTCAGTTTTACCATAAAGTGGAGCACCTTATTAGTTATACTCATTACGGTTGTTGGGGACACTTTACAATGTAGTTCCTCTGCTTAACAAAGTATCCTGTGTAGCCATATACCACAAGAATATTAAAATATGGCCATATAAATTCACTAGATGATATCCACCTGTATATGGTTTTACTAATTTCTTTTTTCACCATTTCTGCTGAATCAATAAATATTTTCTTTGACATGCGGAAAAATTTAGAGAATTGAAAGTTATCATAGCTACAAAGCCATGGTTCCATCATTAAAAAAAAATCTGAAAAAACATTTCTCCCATGAATATTATGAAAGGTTTCTTATTTAAACTTTCCATATACAGTTGTAGACGAAAAAGCACCGATTATTAAGTGATAATAAAAATAATCAGGGATTATATACGCGCTTTTCTAAAATAAACAACTTGTAACAAAACCGCGGTTAAAACCAACGCGTTCAAGCGATTCGTGTAACTGACGTCATCAACCCGTATGTCATCTTGAACCATATTATAACCGCGGCACATAACACAGAAATTTTGGTTATTCGCTTGGATTTGATTTATGTGCGGTATTACAAGTGACTTACAAACGCACCCCAGAGATGAAATGTATTTCGTTGTTCTATGAAGTCTCCTGAATAAAAATTAAATCCTATTGGCTGCTTCTTTCAGCGGGAAATACATACGATTTAAATGAGTTCTCTTTCAATGTAGGTTTTGTTCTAACATAGAGGATAAAAGCAGCTCAGAAGGGTTTATCTCTGGCAGCTCAGTAAACTTGGTTTATGTTGGGTTGCATCCAGCTGCTACAAGCTAGCACTGCATGGCCTAGCATATAGTCTGCTGGTAGTCATCAGAGCTGCTTTCCAGTGACCCTGTTGAGTTACTCTGAGTAAATTAGTAGTGTTCATTACCAGTACTGTTCCAGTGCACGTTGGTATTCTCATGCATTGTTTCTGGAGCAGTTTGGAGGTGTATGACTGTCAAAACAAAAACTACTGGAAAGCAGCTCTGGACATTTTGGAAAGTTTCACATTGGTTGACAGAAGTCATATATGTGGTTATGCTGAGCTCTGCAAGGTGTCAGCAGATTGTTGGTGCACTAGCTCATAGTAGCTACATGCAACTAAACTAAATTGATAATGTTCAATTATCTAAGCTTCTTAATATCCAAAAACAAATAAATTTGCGATAATAATTTATTTCCCCCACTCTTCAAAAGTTACATCAACAAAATGTTCCTGTTTAAACTTAACTAGTGATGGTGGTAGATCAGTCCTAGATTCTAAGATTGCAGGATATGTCCAGAAAGGTGTGGCAATATCAGAATCGTCCTTATGCTTCTCATTATGACTCTGGTACCATGATTCTATACTTGGTACTTCAGGCACTTCTTCAAGTTTTTTTCTTCTTTTTTCCTGCATTTCTTCCACTAAAACAAAGTAGAATGTCAGGACTGACTGAACATAATTATTTGTATCAAGTCATTTAACTTTCGGTTTATCTCTCTGACAGATAAGATATGAATATGATCTAAAATTTAAAACCTACATATCGCCAAAACAGAATATTGTTTTAGTAGAAAACGGAAGAAAATACTGCTTAGTGACCAAGAAAATAGAACACACAGTAAAAATAATTTTAATTGAATGCAATTTTGTGTACACTTAGGCATGAGCAAATCAACTCTTTTTGAGAGTAATTTCGTGAATTGTATAAAAATATACCTTGCTGTCTTAGGTAGCAGAGATCCTCTGGAGAGTAGTGTGTGTATTTACAGTTTCCTTCAAATTGGCAGCTTCCATATTGAGCAAATCTTCTGCAGGGTATTTTTAATAACTCTTCTCTTAATATTGTTTCCGGATCTGAAAATTATTGATGAATAACCAAATTTTATATCTATCATGTTTTCACCTACCTCTACAACTCTCATAATGCAAATTTCTCAATTTTATGTGGTGTATACTCTGTAAATGTTTTTTTCTGGCGTCCAAATCATCTATGAAGTTTATTTCACAATAATCGCAATAGTATCTTCTTCCCATTTTGGTATTTTATCTTGAGTAAACTGAAAAGTTGATGGGGCGAAGGATTTGTCAGCAATATGTAGGGTTATGGTTATGTTTTCATGTCAGTATTTTTAAAAACCATAGAAACTAGAGATGGTCAAAATAACTATTACTTCGATAATTTTCGTGTAGTTGAAGATTTCATTGGAAAAAAAGAAGATGTAGCAGTTAATGGGCTAGTAAATGGCATTGTATAAGGCAGTAGTATTCAACTCGTCTAGCAGCTGTTCAAGAAATTTTATACAGTTTTTATTTTTACAACATTTACGCAGGTTATTGCCATTTCATACACCATACAAGACAAATACATACACGAGTCGTTAACCCATCACCATTTCATTTGAATTTTGTGAGGTTAAAAGTTTGATTTTCTTTTTTAAAAATCTTGATTGTTTGATATTCCTACTATTGATTTATTTTGCTGCTAAACAATAGCTACGTTAGGGTTTGTAGTTGTACATTTTATTCTAATATATGCCAGAGGACAAGCACCAGGTAAGGAGATTAGTTTAAATTAAAAATCTCTCAGTAGAAAAAAAGAAATATAATTTTCCGAGACGCGCAAGTCATTATGAATTGATTACAAAATTATCTTGGGAGTAAAGTTCTGTCACCATAGATTATCTTGTACACAGCAACATTACTACCTGGAAGTTGGTAAAATTTTTGGGTGAACAATGTTCTTAGGAGCTCCGCATATGTGTTACCACGTTGCGCGGCTGACGCTGTGTGGTCGTCCGGGGAACACATTTTAATTTTCATATTTCCTTCAGCAGCCAAAGCAAAAGTAAGCTGCTGGTTATGCTCTGAATAATTAGACATGCACATTATATAATTTGAGAATTCTTTATATTGTTGGAAGTCATCACCTCTGGAGCACCTCCTTCAGCAGTACAATTATTGCCACATATAACTTGGCCGTTCCTTATCTTTGTAAATATTAAATGCCATGAAATTTGGATTTTCGCAGAGATCATATACAGGATTTTTGCAATACCAATAATCGGCTGATATCATTTCATCAAGACTGATATATCAGTGTTATTGGCCTACCTATACAAAATTAGGTGTCAACACATTGTCCCTTGTGTTAACTTCAAGATATCTATGTAAGTCTTTTTATGATGCACATTGGAAAAAGAACCTGTCACCTTCAAAAAATGAGTTTCAAGAAACCAGCTCAATTTTGGCATCCACATCTAGCACACACTATCATTGTCATTTAGGACAGTAGTGATATACAGTCTCATGATGGAACAACTGTGTTTGTGGTGGTAACTGTGAAATAAAAAAAAATGTTTTTATATACATGGTAGTCATTATTGGAACGGGTAATAGGGGAGTCAAAACAAGTCAAAAAGTTCATATGACCAATGGTCGAAAAGTCAATAGATTTTTATCTAAATGGCTTTATAGTTTACAACTTTGAGTGCTTTATATCGACCACAATCTTACTAATTTTTATAATCTAATCTAAAACGTTTTTAAATTGGGTAATTAACAAATAAATGGCATTAAGTTTTTCTAAGTTAAGCCAAAATTTGTAGTCTGTAAGTTTCATTGAATTAAATATTTAAAACACACATGACAACACCGCGTCAGGTTTTTCATCACTCTTATCGAATCGGCAATGGATCGCAAACGGTAACAGTGGTTAGTATGTTGTTTTGTTTTTGTTCGCGTATGTCGTCATGCTTATTTACAATGTTCTCGAACCAAGAGTTCGCCGACATGTTGTTAGTTTACGGTGAAGCTCGTCAGAATTCAAACCTTGCTGCTCAAGTTTATCGCGACAGATTTCGCCAACGGGTACACCCAGACAGAAGAACATTTGTGCAAGTGTACCAAAGACTAATATTCGCACTCGTGAAAGACAGGTCACTATAGAGCAGGAGGAACAAATGTTAAATATCGTGGAAATCAATGCAGATATCAGCACTCGGGAATTAGGCCGCCGCGTAGGACTATCACATACCATAGTCCATAGGATCCTACGGGAAAATTTGCTTTATCCCTACCATGTACAACGAGTGCAGGCCTTGTTACCAGAAGACTATCCTCTCAGATTAACATTCTGTCAGTAGTTTTTGCACAAAAATATTGAAAATCCGGATTTTTTTAAAAACATTCAAGCGACGGACGAATGTACTTTTACGCCAGACGGGATATTAAATTTCCATAATACTCACACGTGGGCCCAAGAAAATCCTCATACCATTCGTGAAGTTCATTTCCAACAATGTTTTAAAATAAATATTTGGGCTGGTATTCTTGACGATCAGGTAATTGGCCCTTTCGAGTTACCCCCAAAGTTGTCAGGAGAAGGATACCTTAGCTTTCTAGCTAATAACCTACCAGAACTTTTGGAACAGACCATAGACAACATGCCATTACAACGGAGACAGAATTTGTGGTTTCTTTATGACGGGGCTCCACCACACATTTTTAGAGGCGTCATTCAGAATTTGAATGAACATTATCCAAATCGCTGGATCGGTCGAAATGCTCCTGATCCTCGAAAATGTTCAGCAAGATCTCCTGACCTCAATCCGATGGATTTCTGGTATTGCGGAGAACTTAAAGGGATGGTTTATGGGGCGGGTCCAATAACAACTGAAGCACAACTTCGCGAAAAAAAAATTAATGCGGCTGAAATAATAAATTGACAAGAAGAAACTGGGTTCGTCGTAATGAAGCTTTTGTGGAAAGTGGAGGACGACATTTTGAACACCTTTAAATACAAAAAAGTGCAGTGTAGGTTTTAGAAAGAAAAACAATGAATGTATCAAAATTGTGTTCCCTATTTATAAGTGGATTTTTTTAATACGTTCAATAAACTTTCACACACCAGGTGAAGCGCTGAGACAGTTAGTTTTTTTTAATTGTTTGCATGTTACGAGTACATTATCAAATAATGAAATAATACCTAAGAGCCAAAAATAACAAACTCCATCTTTATTTACACTGTGTTCCGTCGTCATTTGCGTCTGGCATTGCAGCGTTGTCAGATTTTATTTTACTTTAAAGTCGCTTTTCTCTAAAAAAATGCCGTTTTGAGTCCAATGTTATATGAAACTTTTTCTTGATCAGAAATTGGCAACTTACATGAATAGTAGATTAATGTAAAAGCCTCCTTGCCTTCATTTTTCCTTCAACAGCTCTGAAATTCCTTCAAATCTAAAGGAAAATTCATCATTTCGAAATTACCATTTGAGACGCGAAACTAGAGTCGCAAGTGGTGAAATGTAATGTGCATGTACTTATATAGGTCCATTACATATCTTCACAGTCCAAAGAATCTTAAAATTGCTAACATCCCCGTAAAAACTATAAGAAAATTAAAAAATCAGCCAGAGTTGGGTTTTTCCTTGGTAGTATCTACTCAAATAATACTGAATCATTTATTTATGAATGCTAGTACAAAAAATTGTGTACCTACACACTCGTATTATCATCGTCATGCAAGCAATCCAAGGGTATTTGACTTTTCCTCTGCTTCACCCTGGAAAGTCCCTAACGGGGATACAATTGATTCTAATAACATAATGGTATTTTGATCATAGACATCCAGAGTATGATCTGATCGCCATCACCAATAAATCTATCTACATAAATCAGACTAATGGTATACGTGCACGACTTTATCGATACGCTGTTTTGTGCTGACTGCGGTTGGCTTTAGTACCTTTTTGTCGCACCTTTTCGTACTCCATTGTTCGCAGTGGCAGTTCGGTTGACACATGTAATAGCGATTATTTACGACTTCCGGATCTGCTACGAGAGAACAAACATTTTCCAATATCATGATTTTTTTATACCGAATCAGCCGCGCAGGCAGAAGCCTAAATGCCAGGTCACCGCGGCTGGTATGATGATCCCAAAGAAAGCTTGTTAATCCAGTTTTTGAACTACCTAATGTTAGTAGAAGTGGGAAAAAAGCTTCCTCTTGTGGATTGTATCGGCCAGTTCTGGATGTACGATGTTCGACACGGTTAGAATGCGAGGCCAAGTCAGCCGGGTCTGTCTAGCAGGCACATCGCGCGGCATCATGGACCAGAGCTCTGAGGAGCAAAGCATGTTATAGCAATAGAAGAGAGCTAGATCGCCGGCTGCCCGCCGGTGCGAAAGAGTCCCGAGACTGTCTGATAGAGAACAGTCATTGACCATTTGGACAGCCCTCTTCTTGTATAGAGTGAGGGAGGTCATGCGGATAATAGTACTTCTTAGCCCTAAAGAAATAGCCCAGCCTTTTCCCAGCAGCTACCGCTGTTGATGAGATGTGTTCGTGTCAGATCAAGTCCTCGGTGATCTGGACTCCAACCAGCCGAAATGAACGGCTCTTTGGCAGAACTCAAGCCGTGATTTTCGAGGTAGTTCAGAAGCTCACGATTTATGCACCTCTCCATCGTCTTACTTATAATAGAAAGTAGAGCTGTAGGCCTGTAGTTGTAAGCGTCAGTCTTAGATCCTTTTTTGGGATGGGTTGGACATGAGCAAATTTCCAATTTTCTGGTAAGGTGCCAAAATCGTAAGATATCTGGAAGAGACGCGAAAGATCTCGAGCAAGTTCCGCTGCACATCTCATCAATACAACGGCAGGCATATCGTCAAAAATAAATATTTATTTTTTCAGTTATTTTACAATAGTATCCAAAAGCAATTTATGAAGTAATTTGAAAATACATTGAAAGCACCGCAAATATCGAAATAAAAAGTGCTGTTCTTTAGACTATGACTGTTTTTCATAAGTCATAAGTCAAGGTCGGCTGACAAATTTTAGAGACAACGCATAAAAACGATCTGGCCCACAAAAAAGTGGTATATGCTGGGGACCACACTATGTTTTTTCCAAGTAATTTCCCTCTGATCACAAATTTGAAGCCAAAGTTGGGGGTAGATAGACAACTATGAAAGTAACTTAGATATCAAAAATGACAAAATGTGTGCATGAAAATATAGTTGGACCTCAAGCACATACCAGTTTTTTATTTTGTGGGCCTGTGTAATCAAAAAATATCTGTAGACCTTGTTGCTATTGGGTTACTGAAGCAAATAACATTTAATTATCTATATTTTACTCCATCAATACACCCATTACCTTATAGCGCACTAATTTCATTTAATGCGAAGCCAATTAATAAAAAATGCTTAATTACGTCCATTTTTTTTTAAGTTATTTATGTATAAAGAAACTTGTGTTAGCAGAGAGGCATCAGGGATTGTATATGATATAGTCAAGAACAATAATATAAAATTGTATAAAGACAGACAACAGATATTGGAATATAGAAACAGAAGAATATGAAAATATGCATTATTTTTATATTCGTGTATCATGAAGACATCATTCCCCGTTGCTTCGCGAATGCTTGATGTCATGTCATCGCATTTTTCAGGTTCTCAATTTCTTTAGATGGTCATTGGTTGGTACATTTTCTTCAGGCACTGCATCGCGCTGATGATTCGGGTTTCTAATTTTATACTTTATCTTTAGCTCTTCTAAAATTACTTTCAATGAAACAAAAATATTCCACGGCGTAGAATTATAATTAAAAAGTTACAGTTTTATAAGTACACAGTACAATTTTATCGCATTTGTTTAATAATATGCGTGTTTACCTTGTTGTTATTAGAAACAGGTTTTGCATCGATATTTTTCATTTCAATACATTGTGCAAACATTATCGAATATCACAGTAGCGGTTGGAAATTTAAATACCGCGTTTGGTTTGAATGGAATTTCTACTTTGTTCATTTTGAAATTCGGATGTTGGTAAAAATATCAGTTATACTTCATATTGGGGATGAAACGATGTATTTATTTTATTGTATGAATTCTTTCAAATATTTGAATTTATTTTCAGCTATAATGCTCGGTGACTGTGGAGGATCCTTTATTGCCGCCCTAGATGTAGGGACAACTACTGTCAGATGCCAAATATTTAATTCCTCAGCTGATACAGTAGGAGCAGCACAGAAACAAGTAATATTTATTTTTTAAGAGTGTAGATTTTTCCAGATATTATATTCATGATACATGCGTTTGTCAAGTTTTTTTAATCAGCCGTCGCATCATGCAATATCAATACTAGTGGTATTGTTTAAAATACATTATTTTTGACGTTCATGATCTGTATTTTGTGTTATCTCATTTAAATTAAAGTCCGTCCAAAGGCGACTCCAGATTTCATGCGAAAGGAAACGAAATTTTATTCTCCGAAATTTTATATGTATAGATAAGGAATTATTAATACTACAATTTTTAAGATCAGGCTACACTATCCTCATCCAGGATGGGTTGAAATGAAACCGGACGAGATTTTTGCAGACATCCTACAAGTTATTAGGAATGCTGTTGAAAGTATATTCTCAGGTTCATTATTTACAGTATGATTTTATAACTTTTATTTTAGCTGCTAAAATACCTTATGCCCAGATTAAATCTCTTGGCATATCGACGCAACGGGCAACATTCGTTACATGGAAAAAGGATACAGGAGAATGTTTACATAACTTCATTACTTGGAAGGACCTGAGAGCTAGAGAATTCCTGAATGCTCTAAATGCTTCTTGGAGAATGATTGTAAGTAGATTTTAATTCGAAAGATTGATCATGTATATGAGCTACAAGGTCTGCAAATAAAGCGATGATACTGGCAACGTAGCATTCGATCTGACGACACTGCAGGCGCTGGGCTTGGAGGGGCGCCAGGGGAACATGTGAACCGCCTTCACTACAAGTTTGAACGCACTCGAGTCATTTGGGAGTCCGTAGCAGGTTTTGCTTCAGACTTGTGCTTTTGCAACGGAAACTCCTGCTAAACAGTCCTACGGGCGTTTTGTCAAGAGTCCAGGTGCTTTAAGGTATTTTCAGAAGGGAAAGAGTCTATTGAAGATGAGCCTTCATCTTCAAGAATCGATGAAAATATCAAGAGAGTCAAGGATCTTATGAGTTTAGATCATCGGTTAACTGTCAGAATGATCGGGGAAGAGTTAAATAAAAAAAAACAGTATCATCACTTAATTTACAGACCTCCTATAAAATATGTAGGTTGGATTTTAGGGTGCTAAATAAAAATACGAGTTTCTTCTCAATGAAAGGCGTACGCATATGCTTAAATACTTATAAAATTAGAGTATTTTAAACTGTACACATTTCTTTTGAAAGTAAAATATGCAATGAGAAAAATTCTATATTTAGCCTTTTTGGGAAACTATTAAAACCGTTTGCAGTTTTTCAGATTTGGAGCATTGTTAATATATTGGCTGACACGAAATAAAAAATTTGGAATGGGTAGCAAGCTGAAAATTATGTCCAGCCATGTGAGTACCATACAGTTATAAAAATTCACAGAGTGTTGCATTGTGGTCTCTTTTTTATTAGGTATCAGGAAGATTTTTATGGGTATTGCAGAACATAGAATCGGTGAAAAAAGCTTTGAAATCTGATAATTTGATGTTCGGCACGCTCGAAACGTGGTTGATATATAAGCTGACAGGTAGCTGTCAGTACGTAACAGATATTTCTAACGCTAGTGCTACAGGATTCTATGATCCATTTGACTTGAACTGGGGGACAGTAGCTAAACTGTTGAGGATACCTGTACGATGTTTGCCAATGGTAGTAGAAAATGATTATGATTTTGGGAATGTCGACGAGTCCTTTTTTGGTGTGCCCATAAAGATAGCTTGTGTGGTAGGTTACTGTAATTTCAATGTAATCCATTTTTATTTTTGAATTTCTATTGTTGCAAAAGTGTTATACTATTGAATAATAGAACACGCTGAAAATTTGGCAGCCAAACATTTTTTTCAAAAACGGGTTCTTATAAAAGTTTCAGGGTATCAAAAAAGTTATTTATTGATGACCTCAAATATATACCTCGGAAGTAATTTGGAGTAGGTTTAAATAGCAACCACCTTTACCAGAATAACTTTTATAAAATGCGGTAATGGATTCACATGACGCTAAAGTCGGGTGTTTGATTTAAGATGGCGGACCAATCTTCATCAATGATCGGTTCTTGCTGTTTTGCAAACAACGATCTGAAAATAACGCTTGGCACTGGTGCATTTTTGAATGTGAATACAGCGGACAAAATTCAGCCAAGCCTGAATGGAATGTACCCTTTAATAGCTTGGCAACTAGGAAAAGACTTGGTCTATATGTCTGAGGTACCATGCCCTGATGCTGGTTCCCTGGTAGAGTGGTTACAGAATGCTGGTATGTTGAATACAGGGAAAACCAAATTTGTCTGACGGTTTGAGTTCAATGCGTACGAGAGAGAAGCGCGAGAAGTGTGTATCAACACATGTTAGAAAGAGAAGAAGGTCGTGCAATCTGCCGCGTTGCCAATATGTTACACCAGAAAATGTTCGCACAGGGTTCTACAATATGTTAGGTTACTGTCAAACCCAAGAAGGAGGTATTTCCGAACATTTAATATTTTGTTTTCATTATGATTAGAATTGTTTATTTCAATTTTGATGCGATGATTTCCACCGATGATCAACACATCCTCAATTATTGTTACATTTTGCGACAGCGAATGGACGGAAGATGTAACAAATGTCATTACGCAATACAAGTTATCACTGCCTGAGTGTACGCAGGTGAAAACCATTTCGAAGCAGGAGGACACTCCCCAATGACCGCTAGATGGCCAAAATCGCTCATCTTTGATCATGGAGGTGGAAACCTTGCCTTGGAATGTACGAGATACGGTGTTGCCAAGCGAACCAATGATGCAATGTTGTAGAATTTGTGGCGACACTGACCTTTCATTTCGACCTAAAATGAGGCGCCGTTAGGACAATTCAAAAACTGGTGTAACATATTGGCAGTGCGGTGATGAGCTTCGCTATCCTGGCGGGTTCTATCTCCTTCGAAAATATGTGTCTATACCCACTTCCCCCTTGTGCACATTGTATTCGAGCAGTCAGAAATTTTTTTTCAGTGTATATTAATACTTTTAGCGTACGACCGAAATTCTAGTATCGATTTCAGCAGAAAAGCCACCCAATGACAACTGAAACTACTAAGTTTTCCTTACACGTAGTTTTCTATAGAAGCTATACAGATTATAAAAGAAATATCAATCTTAAGTCTTTGAATTATAGAGATTGTATTAACGAATTGTAGATAGGTACGACAATTAAATTGCATTTACATTAACTCACTAAAAATAAGCTAAAGCTATGTCTATATTTTTGTCTGTACTATTGCGTTTTTCCGTACTTATTTTGACAATTATACAGGGTGACTTTGAAGTTGAGTCATTAATTTTCAGATAATGATTGTAGAAGATAAACCAAAATATGTCTAAAATAAAAAAAAATACCTTGTTTTATAAAGTATCCTCCCGACAAGTATTTCAGTGCGGACCTGTATTTGATCGTCAGGTCTTGGAGCACCGGCATGCCGTCCCCTGTGAGGTCTTAAGTCACCTGATTCACGAGCCCGTTGTACTACATTAACAAAGGCACGAGGGGTTGGTTGCACTCGATTGGGAAACCGATCCGCATAAACATGTGCCATTTTTTATTTCGTTTGAGCCACGCAACAGACACCACTATTCACTCACGCGTTACCGACTGACACTGACTGTATACAACTGAATAAAATAATTGTAAAAACATCGTTCCAAATTCTTTCGCTTTTTTGTTTCCGATGCGATGAACCGATAAGGAGGCGGATTATATCCGTTGTTGCCAAACACGAGCACATAATATTATTATTGAGACAGGGCGGTACTCAAACTTCCAAAGGGCTATAACTTTGTTACTTTAATTTTACCAGAAAAATGGTAAAGGAAAAAAACATTTCTTTTGATCAGATCTACTCACTGTTAAAATAAATGACTCAACTTCGAAGTCCCTGTATACATACATTGTTTTCTTGTATTTTTTGTGTGCATTTTTTGTATTGAATTGCTAAGTGCAGTCGGGTGCAAAATAAACTCGCACACAACTTTTTTGCAGACAGATACACTCATTAGCTTCAACATGGATGTTCGCTTTTTCTTGTTGTACAGGGTAAATAAAAATAAGGTTCTATCACCCTAACTTTGAAACACCCCACTTCTCTTTACTCGTGTCAATAGATACAGCAGTTGAATTTTTAGAGCAAAACTTCTGAGCATCAACTATCTTTCCATGACATCTTATTTTTTATGTTGTCCAAATAATTTTTTTACAAAATTTGTTCAGTAATATTTTGTCTTTTATTGGTGCATAAAGTTTTTTCACATCGTCTGTCATTTTTATCTGATTCTGGATTTGCTCGAAATTTTGCGGTTATTATAGTATTTTTTCTTGAAAAAAAACTATTACCTAACTTCCCATATCAAATAGGAGGCGGTTGTTAGAACAGCTAAATTATTAGTTTATCTAGTACGTGCTTTCATCAGTAAAGTTCGGTTTCGATTAAAAAACTAGTTTTAACCGGACACTAACTATTTTTTCTAAGCTGGTGCATGTGTTCTCAACGTTAGTCAATATTTTCAAATTTGTCTTGTAAACCAACCTTATTAATATTACAGGTTTTATTTGTGAAGCTTCCACTTCATCGCAACTGGCAGCAAGTGTTGAGGACTCAGATGGTGTGTTCTTTATTCCGGCTTTCAGCGGTTTAGGGGTATGATGAGTCTTGAAAATAACGGGTGATTCATAAACACTTTTTTAAGCGAAATAAATATACATAAAAACAATAAACTGTATTATCGAAGAAAATGGACATTTTTGACGCTCAGCTTTTGAGGATCATTTCTTCCAAATGTCTGCTGTTACTGCGGTTAATGTGGTCCATTCTGGAATTCCAAGTCTTTTCATATTTCAATTCCTTTGCGATTCGCAAAATTTGAATTCTAGGCAGCGGGAAGACGACGGCCCGTCGCGTCGGTGCGAAAAGGTTTCGAGACCGTGCGTTAGAGAAGAGTTATCAATCAGTCCTATGAACAGCATCGAGCATGGATAATGCAATCGGAGCGGCAGCACCCCAAACGTGTGTGCAATACTCAAAGCCAGGCCTTATCTGAGCCGTGTATAGAGTGAGAAGGTCATGTGGAGAAAAGTACTTCTTAGCCCTAAACAAATAGCCTATCTTTTTCCCAGCGGTTGCAGCTATTGACGAGATGTGTTCGTGCCAGATCAGGTCCTCGGTTATCTGGACTCCGACCAGCCGAAATGAATGGATCTTTGGCAGAACTCGGCCAAGCATCGAAACCGGGTGAGCGCAGGGACGCTTTTTGTTCATCAAAGTACAGTACTGTGTTTTGGAAGCATTGAACTGTACAAGATTGTTGCGTCCCCAAGCAGTGATAGCCTCCAGGTCTCTTGTCAGAGACGAAGTCATCGCTAGTCTTCTTTTTTCCAACTCAGCGGCAGAGATCGGCTTGTCACTCTGAATTCCTGCATGTAAAGTGTCGGAGCCAAGACCGATCCCTGAGGAACACCCGCGTTGACGTTTTGGGATGAACAGGAGAACCCGTTAATTACGAGAATGTCTTGCGGCCACCCATCTGCAAAACTTCTCTGAGGGGCCATAGGACTTTGCATAAGCAGCATGCCACAGATGATCGAACGCGTTCGTGATATCAAGGGCATTGTTATGAGCCTCATCATAAGAATGGATTAGTTTACTCCACAGTCGCGTGACGTAAGCTAGGAGGTCCCCTGTGGATTGCTGGTACCGGAAACCATACTGCCTAACGCTAATCAAATCGTGACGTTCGAGGTATTCTAGAAACTCCAGATTTTCGTAATCCCCCAATTATAAATTGTAAACGTCCATTTACTTCTGACACCAACGTCATGGACCTTTGGAAGTCCACCTGGACCACTTTGCGAATCACTGCTTTAATTGAATCACCCATTACTATAGTATGTCATTTCACAATGTTAAAAATGCAAATGGGGGCGCTAGAACCGTATTGTAGGGGTCTAATTTCCCCCGAAGGCTTCTGTCCCTGAGTGTTGCTATAATTTTTTTTCAACCGAATTTTTCAATTTTAGCCACCAATAAGCAATGAGAATGCGGGTACGGGTTTCATCGGTATAAAACCAACTACGAGAAGGGAGCATATTGTACGAGCAGTTTTAGAAAGTATTGTATACAGAATGGTATTATGCTATGACTTGCTGAAAAGCGAGAGAAATGCAAATTATAATAGCATACGTGTGGACGGTGGCTTGTCAAATAGCAGTTTCATCTGTCAATCGCTCGCGGATATGTCCAGGTTACCAGTAACAAAAATGGAAACTACTGATATAACGGTCCTAGGAGTAGCTTATCTGTCAGGATTGAAGTGCGGTAGGTTACAAGTTTTTATTGTCAACAACAATGTCAGGAGTCGACCTATCGAAAAGATAACTCGTTACACAGCCGTGACACTGATTGGTGTGGCAGCCACACAGAAATGAATCAGGGCCTATTTCAAAATTTTTGTCCTAAATTCACCCATTTTGGGATATTCAACTTACTTTTTTATATGAGCGCATGGTCGCAACTCTTTCTACATCCAAATCCATAATAAAACACATTGAAATAAAAGTTGTTATCTGCGCTCACATTGAAAACTAAAGCTGAAACGAGTACATACTAGTAGTACAGCTTTGTTTTTTTTTATGCTCCAACTACCACGAAGGCCTAAGCCCTAAACACCCATGGGTACCGTGGGGCTATAGGGGATACAGGGGAAAGGGGGGTGTGCCACACGGACTTTAGCGAGGGAACACGTGTCCCGCCTACGAGATCCGCCGGGTGGTACCTCTGCGTACGACAGTCAGATACCGTCTACCACCTACGTCATTCGTCAAACCACAGACAGCTGTTTTCGCAATGGTCGATTCTGGTAATAGATGGTACTTTATGCCATATTATTTCTAGTACTATAGTACCAGAATCGGCAGCATCAAGCGGCCAGTGTTGACCCGGCTGACAACGCGAACTCTCGCAGTGGTCGATTTTGGTAATAGATGGCACTTTGTGGTTTTATTGTAAAAGAATATATATCTCGGTACAATTGAGGCTGCGCGTAGTGGTAATCGAATAGTATCAATAATTGTATTATTTTAAAGAACACTGAATTCTAACACTTCATCAATTTACATATTAAAATGTGTAACATTTGTGAAAAGCTAACTTGATGGTTTTACTCCCCTTGAAAGTAATCACAACTATACAACTCGTAGTACGCTTTTAAGTTTTCCTAAGCATAAAACAAGTATCTGAAAGACATGTATTTTGTAACTGCATCCACCTATTCAACAATTTACCAAAATATATAAGGGATATCATCATTTTTCCTTGACTTGTCACATGTATTAATATAACTGAAATGTGCTCAATAAACATCTATCTATCGCAATTTGGAAACATTGGCATAAAGTATGCCTATCAATTTTTTTAAACTACTTTTTTGAAGTTGCGGTAACTTTTCTGCAAATACGTATTTTCTTTTAAGGGCTGTAGTTTTTGTTTCTTAGAGGCGAATATTTTGTAGGTTTTTGGAGCAACAAGGAAGACTTGACGAAATTGAAAAAAGTGACCGAAAGTTTCGAGCCGACAAGGGATCAAAATAAAATAGAAATGAACAAGAACAATTTAAACCTATGGATCAGAGCTGCTCGAAGATTTTACTCATGGTATTGATTTGCACTAGTCAATACGTTACTAGTATTCATATTCGGTCAATATAGGTGAATGTTAATTTTATTAGACAATGTGAAAAAATTATCAGGCACTGATAAACACTTCTGTACTTTGATGCGCCTTTGTGGTGAAAATTTAATAGGTCATGTATATTTATTTAAAAACATTCAAAGAATATCTAATAAAAAATCCTAACAGTGTTGTTAGTTTTTATTAATTTACTATTTGCGAACTTTACAAATTTCTTGTATGACTTTTATACACCGATTAATTTGAATAAATAAAACACTTCATAATAAAAATTGTATTACTTTTAACCAATACAATTTGAACTATGACCTAGTTCTACTACAGCATAGACAATCTATTGACAACAAAGCTTTAAGAAAATTGTATGACATATAAAACAAAAAGAAAACTTACTATAACGCCGGTTTGAAAATGTGATATTGTGTACGAAAATATATAGGTACTATGATACCATTTAAATTTTCATGATATTCGGTAAATTGGGACAAAAACTCAAATAAGTAATGGATACAATAATACGAATTATTAAAATCTAACACAACACACACACTGTAATGTACATCTATTTAAAATTATATTCACATTCATACTAATCAGAATATTCAAGTATGCATTGCCATGTGCTAGATTTTAAGAATTGCATCAAATTTCAAATATCGACTATTTTTCAAAAAAAAATATTGACACCTCAATAAATATGAAACATTTTTTGTACTCCAAAAATCATTTGAAAATGGTGGTTTCATGAAATGATCTTACATGCTATTTGTTAAAATACGTTCACGTAGAAATAATCTGAAACAAAAAATACATTGTTAATTTCACTTATGGGAATTATTTTCATGACGTGACTAAACGTCAAAAGTTGGTTTTTATCCAACAAATCATTGGACAATATTAAGCGGTGATCTTCTGTTTTTTTTAACTTCCCCTCTCGAGTCTGGATCTGAGCGTTTCAACGTCGGCGCGGTTTTTCCGGGTTCTCGAAACGTTTTATCGGAAAACGATACCGTTTCGGAAACTAGAAACTCTGCGCTTTACGAGCAATTACGAGCCGTCGGGGTACGAAGACGAAGAACGTTTTAAAACGGCTGTTAAAGTCGAAAAAGGGGCAGATTTTCCAGCTGTTCGATATTAAATTTCTATCTCCTAAAAAGATAACGGAGATACGGACCTGCCGACTTTTGCATACGAAGTCCATATTCCAGACTCCAAAATGAAAACAAGACTCATACGGGGTTTGTCCGAGAAATACGTATAAAAGTGGAATAACAACTTTATCTTACAAATGTTCAGGTATTTTAATATGTCTTCCTTCAAAGTACTCCCCCTGAAAGTCTTCAACGGTGAGGCTATTCATTTGCCGTGTCGTTTCTGACTTGGTGGCTTCCACATCCCGCTAGTGCCGCCCACGAAGCACCGTTTTGCATTTTGGGAACAGGAAGAAGTCGCAAGAGGCTAAATCGGGTGAATAAGGCGGGTCTGTCAGGGTGATTTAGCTTAGGGCGTGTGAGCAGACGCGTTGTCGCGATGAAGGATCCACCTGCCCCTTGTGCCAAATCCGGTCGAACTCGTGCCACACGAGCTCTGAGACGACGCTAACCTTCAATGTAGAAATTTCCGTCTGTCTGGGAAGGACAAATTCCTGGTGAACAATGCCCCGAGAATCAAAGAAAACAATCAACATTGTTTTCTCATTGGACCTTGATTTTTTCGACTCGGTTCCCCTGCTTGCTTCCACTTTCAGCTCCACATCGAATTCGTAGAACCAAGACTCGTCTCCAGTAATGACCCGGTTAAGAAAGTCCCCCTTTCCGCTGCTTCCAACCAATCCTCACGGCAAGCAACCCTCCTTGCTTTCTGTTCTGAAGTCAAGAGCTACGAAACGATTTTCGCGCACAATTTTTTCATCTCAAGCTTGTTCCTCACCTACCATTCTAACTGTCAATCGACGGTCTTTAAGAACACAGCCCCGAATTCGTTCAACATTTCCATCAGAGCTCGATGTGGAGGGGCGTCCTGAGCGTTGGTCATCTTTCACATCTTCTCGGCCTTCCCGAAACCTTTCAACCACTTGTTAACAATGGTTCCTTCAGAGAATTGTCTCCATAAACTTGTTCCAAACGTTCAAAAACCTCACGACCATTCTTGCCTAGCTTTGCAAGAAACTTGATGTTGATGCGCTGTCTCTCGATCAGTGAGAGCTCCACGCCGACGGCAGGTAAAAGAAGGGTTACTTTCAATATGCCCACGTAAATCCTACTTACTCACTCGCAGAGCGCTCCGGCTTCAACTGAGCATAGAGGGGATAACATAAAGAGAGGGACACACCGGGTCACCCCGCCACAACGCCCCGAATTTTTTATACGCATTTTCCGGACAAACCTTGTACAGGGTGAGTTTTTATTTAGTGTGGGCTCGATTCGATAACTGTGTTTTACTCCTAGATTTTCTTAAAAAAATGATCGTATCTTCTGAAACGTCAAAAAACGAAGTTTGAGCGATTTTTATTCCTTTCGTATTTGGCCTTTTTCTCCGCCACCGGACAGATAGACTGATGGAAATGAGTGACATGGTTTTTCGTGATACACATGTCACATAACATTATTCCCGATTAAAATAAAGGGTTGTCCAATAGGGACGCAGGAATGTAAACGTCAATTTGACATAGACGCCACCTTTGTTTTCTGTCACCGACATGTCATTTTGTTAGTTGAATGTTTACCATTGATCGCTATGGAGTCGTATTCGATTGAAGACCGCATTAAAGTTATTCAAGAGCACTACAAAAATGGTGCAAAAATAAAAAACGTTTCGCGCGCTTCGTGAACATTTCGGTCGCAACAACCGCCCAAACGAAACAACCATCGGTCGTCTGGTGGGTAAATTCGAGGCAACAGGTTCTGTGGCAAATCTGCCAGGCTCTGGCCGGCCAAGGAGCGTTCGCACACCGGAAAATATTGCTGTTGTGAAGGAGAGTGTGAGAGACGATCCGAAACAATCAACAACGCGTCGATCCCAAGAATTGGGCATTTCGAGAACCAGTTTGCTCCGCATTCTCCACAAGGATTTGGATGTACACGCCTACAAGATCCAATTGACGCAAGAGCTGCGTCGGGCCGACCATTTTTCGCGCCCAACGTTCTCAGATTGGCTCCTTGAACACCGCCAAATTGATGCCAATTTTTCATCAAAAATCATGTTCAGCGACGAAGCGCATTTCACTTTGAATGGGACGGTAAACAAGCAAATCTGACGCATCTGGGCGAACGAAAATCCCCTTAAGTATCAAGAGCAGCCGATGCATCCTCAAAAAGTGACTGTGTGGTGTGCATTGTGGTCAAAAGGCATCATTGGACCTTACTGTTTCGAAAATGCGGCCGGGGACGCCGTTACCGTCAATTCTGAGCGATATCACGTGATGATAGAGGACTATTTTTTGCCGCAACTTGAAGGAATGGATATGGACGATGTATATTTCCAACAAGACGGTGCAACATGCCACACAACCAACGTCAATATCCATCGATTGCAGTCCTTCTCCGGTGATCGCGTGATTTCGCGCAGAGGAAATGTGCCATGGCCACCAAGATCGTGGATCGTGGACTTCTTTTTATGGGGATATTTGAAAAGCAAAGTCTACGTCAACAAACCAGCCACCCTCCAAGAACTCAAAAACAACATCATTGCCGAGATAAATGCCATAGAACCGACCATGTTGTAAAATGTCATTGAAAATTTCGACCATCGCGTGGACGTCTGCAAATCCAGTCGTGGTGAACATTTGAGCGATATTATTTTCATACATAAATGGTATAAATGAACCTTCAAAATAAAGTACCCAACTTGATTTGAAAATCAATCTTTCTTGTTTTAATATGCGTTTACTTTCCTGCGTCCGTTTTGGTTGTCAATTTATATTTAACTTTTTGGGGGCTGCTTTATCTACAAAGAAATTTAGACACATATGCACTACGAAATGTTAATTACCTCTGAAATCCGCGATCGCATCTGATTATGACTGTATACCTCAATTGATAAGTATGTTAATTATATGCTGTCACTCGTATATCTTATAGAATAGTTTGTAGCTTATCGAAGGACCTCACATGTACGTCGCTGTATATGATGTGGTGAATAAATAGTGTGGTATGTCAAAATACTTACTGATTTTACAGTACACTTAATAAACTCTTTCTTATGGGTGAGATCAAAATCTGGATAATGGCCATACACCCTTTGACATACGGTCTTCATTGTAATTTCTTCCAAATTTGCACCTTCTAATATATCCTTAATAAATGTCTTTATTTCTTCATCCTGGAATATGACCGATTAATTAAATGTAGATAGAGGATAGTTACAGTCATGTTTATACGTTTAAAAGTTTGACAGGTTATGCTGCAGTCAGCTGCTGTTTACAAATGATATGATGTCAAGAAATACGCAAATTCACTTACAGTAGGTGGTTCTTTGCTCTTCGCCTTCTTAGCCAACGGTTCATCCTCGGACGAACTACCATCGTCGTCTCTCTTATCGCTGTCCTCGTCCTCGCTCTCGGACACCTTCTTGCGACCGCGTCCCTTTGCCGGCGTCTTTTTCGACGCTGCTGAAGGCCTACCGCGTCGAGCAGGAGTGCGTTTACCTTTCGGTTTGGCATTCGATTTAGTCGTGGATTTTCTGCGCTTCTGTTTCGGTTCATCCTGGAAGAAATACGGTTGTGGAAATCTCAAGATCCGGAAATTACACTACTAAAAAAAAACAAATAATAAGGCAGCAAGAAAAAAATCTTTTTTCTGTGACTTTTGACAAGCTGTGTTTTGGTGAAACATGATCGTATCTAGACTTAAAAACAAGCATTTTGAAGGTTTAAGATTCTAGTTTTCAGGTTTCTTAGCAGAATAATTTTAGGAGCTTCTCATGCAATTCTAACAGATGACGCAACACATCTTTTTTTAAAATTTGGCCTTTTTCTTTTTAGTCCGCGGACTTGAAAACATATTTTCTGTTGGGCCGACATATGGATCAGATAGCCCGTTTATTTACCTTCAATATTCTCTCTTTAAAATATCGATACGATCATTTGGCGCGGAGATATCTGGCTGAATGACAAACGATCAGTTTTCTCGATAACCAGTGGTCGCACAGATAATGTTTCCGAAAACTGGAATGAATCTCCTATAAGGTTTTATTTAAGGAGTTGTTTTTGTTTTCTTAGTGTTTATTGATAAAGGCAAAAAAGTTGCCTTTTGCCTTGTTTTGGAAAATCGACTGCATTTTTGGACTGCTAATGAGAAGGTATTTTTATACCTCAATGTATCCCTAATAACCCTGCACGGCGTTAGATCGATCCATTACAGTTTCTTCGGACCGACTAATTCCTAAATCCGCCCTTGAGACTCCAAAAAATATTTTCTAGATCCGCCACTGGTCAATATTTTGGCTTTTTGGAATATTCCATGAATAAAAGAACGAAAATGTTCCAATTGCTTTTTTAAAATTGAAAGTGTTACTGATATCCAATAGTGACAACAAAAGAAGAAAAATGACCTTTCCATTTTCAACCACATTACAGCATGTTTTGGTACACAAATTTTGACCATTCAGTCCGGAAAATCGTACAATGGATCGATCTGCCATCGTGCAGGGTTATTAGAGGTACATTGAGATATAAAAAACCTAAAAATACTAGCAGTCCAAAAAATTTTTCCAAAACAAGGCAAAAGCTAATCTTATAGGAGATTTGCTGCCTGTCAAGAATCACCGAAAAATTTGGCACCCTCAATTTTTAGTTCCTTAATGGGCTATGTATAGCAACTTTAGCCTGGTTCTTCGTGAGCTGTAAGTTTTTAACATACGAGGTTTGTAAATTAAGTGATGAGACTGGTAACTTAGCGTTCGATCTGGCAACACTGGAGGTGCCCGACTTGTATTGGAGACAGAGGAACATGTGATCCGCCTTCAGTACAAGTTAAAACCAGTATCGCAGTTCCAGCACTGCTATGAGGAGTGGAAGAACTGTCTTCAGTGCTGCGTGGCTTCAGAAGAAATTTATTTTGAGGGTGACCATATAAAATTGTAATTATAATTGAGTAAAAAAATTAAAAGAAAAACAGTCTCATCGCTTAATTTACAGACCTTGCACACCATTAACCTATTCCGCCAGGAGACATCCAACACTACTGTAACAATGTCCAATATCAATGTTACTTCTGAAAGGCAGCTAAATACTGTGGTTGAAGCATAGGAGGTGACACTGTTAAAAGTAAATGGCAAAAAGATTTGATAGAAAGGTGACACATGTTTATGATGACCCATCAAGTTTGGCGTCTATTGACGTGATCATCTGACCCAGCAATTGATATCTCTCCTCCGTTTCGGTGTCTCCAGTCTATCTAAATTTCACTTTATTCTTCTCTAAGACAATTGTGCTACTGAAATGTATCGACTTACATCTGACTCGTCAGAGGATCCTATGCTCGCCTCGCTGATCTCTTCCTCATCCGAAGATTTCTTTTTTCCGCGTCGCTTGCGTTTATTCACTCGCGGTTTTCCGTCACTATCGGACGCCTCCGGTTGAAATTCCTCCTCGCTGGAACTGTCATCTTTCAAGTTTGTGCGTTTACCTGAAAAATACACGTGTTTATCTCAAGTTATTTACCACTAAATTACATTTAATGTTTCTTCTAACAGAGCGACCACTAAAGCGAAGCCTGGTACAGTATTTTCATTTTCAAATAAAGAGGTTCTTTGAAAGTGGAGCTTAGTGTAAATGTCGTAACCATATCGTAAAGTTGCCGATTTCTTGAAATGAATCAATTAACTATTGGCCAGATTATGATGAATATTTTAAGGAAATGATCAACTAAGCGCGCGGGACTTCATGTTTGATCAAATTGTAAAATATTTACATTAATTACCGATAGAGGCGCTGGCAACGCTTTGTTTACATTCCAACACCTGCAGTCGTTAATAACAAAGTTGTTTTTCAAACTGGAAGTTCTAGTAACTCGTTACCAAATGAGGAAGAGAGCGAGATTAGAAGTCTTAATGACAAAAAGGTACTCTAGTTCTCGAGTGCTATGCGGGTCATACAAACACCAAATCGTCAAAAAGCTGTGTTGAAACGAGTGGATTCTTACAGAACGGGGATTTTCTAATGACAAAATATGTTGTTCATTATGAGAATTAAAGGTTTCACTCCTCGTAAAAAGGGATTCATCTGACCACAAAACCAAATCAATAAAATCTGCATTTTGATTATACATTGCACAAAAATTTCGCCGTTGTACTTCGTCGCCGGGTTGCAGACATTTTGAGTATGGTAAGGATGTAAAACTTCCCGATTTAAAATTCTCCATACGACTTTGAGAACATGGTAATTGGGCTGCAATCCGCCTGGTACTAGTACTAGGATCAACCAACGCCAAATTAATCACTTCCAGTTCCTCTTGAACTTCATGCCGGACACCACGGCCTAAGTTTGGCAATTCCATATTGCGCAGTCTTAAAAATGAACGCGTAAAAACCTTTGGGGTAGGTTGGTGTATGTTAGGAAATCAACGCTGATACTCCCGAGAAGCCTTCAATTCTCTCATTGCTAAATTGCATTTCACAACACTCAAAATTGGAAAAAAGAAACTTTTGACTTCGACTTTTAGAAAAAAAATAGTAACGATAACAACCGTACAACATAACTTTGACAAACTATCTCCCAAGAAACGTCAAGTTGGTATCAAGGCCTCCTATCTCCTTCTTTCTTCAACTTTGAAAAATGCTGCATAGAAAGCCTCCCTTAAAATGTAGTCCTGTGTATGATGTTTCATTTTTGGTCACAACTTGTGAATCACCCTGTATGCAAAACCATGCGAGGTAATAGTTTAATTTGTAATATCTGATATGTTCAAAGAGCTTAGTTGTGACACGTTATGCAATTTAAGAATTTAATAGTATAATTAATTTTCTAAAGTTTCTAGTGTTAATGAAAATAGGTGTCGAAAAACAGTAAACGAGTTCGTAACATATTCGGGATTTTTAGTAAATATTATATGCACACCGATATGATGACTCGTGGATGATCAAATCGTTAAACATTGACGATTTAACGATATGGTCAAATTTAGGTGCCTATTTAATGAAATGCTCAATTCTACGATATGGCCACAACATACTAACTGGTCTATGGCTGTGATTTTTGTTCTGGATGTAGTGCAATGGTGACTTTTTAAACAATATGCTTTTTAGGGCAAAGTTCATAAAAGTCTGGATAAAAAACTGCTCCAAATCTTGCTGGACAGTTCTGTTATCTTCACATCCCTCAAGGGTTGTCAACGGAAGATTCAAAATATATCTTGAAAATAGTTAAACAGCTATGGCAGATTATTATAGATGAATCTATGAGTACTCATTTATCTCATAATTTTTTGGACGCGTTAATGAATACTTTAACCAATCTCAGCCAGATAAGGCAAACAAGTTAAAGTTGTTTTTGAAGCAGATAAAACTTAGCAGGGTTGATTCAGCATGAAATCTAGTAGTTTTTTCGACACAGTCTAGAAGAGATGGAACCGCGAATATTTTGTTGACAACCCGTGAAAGCTAGACAATTTATGGATAGGTTGGTTATCTTCAGGTAGAATAGATTAATAAATGGTTAAAGCTCAACATGGTAACCCATTACAATATTTGGACAGAAACAATCACAGGAGTCTGATTATTACCCACATACATTTCTCGCACATTTTGTAAACAAGAAGGCAAAGCCTGTGCTGAGTAGGCTACATTAAAGCGGAATTTTAAATACATGTGGTTTTATTGGCCAGACAAACATGGGGGATTAAAGAGGCACAAGTTTTGAGCTAATCCATTCTTATAGGGTTTAGAAAGACGTTTCTTGACACATAATAAATACTTGCAATAGTTCAATTATATCCCTCTAAAGATATCAAAAGATGAAAAAAATGCACTAGTTGATGTACATGTATTTCAAATATCTAATATTCCAGTATGCAGTGTTTTTAAAAGGTCCCATGGCCCTATTTATTTTTTGAATGGGTCAAGTTAGCAAGCTGAAATTTGAGGTAACTGGCGCCATTTTGGAACATATTTTTTAAATGGTGCAGAGGTCGTGCGATCTCTCATTGTGAAACTTCTTATATGAGTACTTTATAACCCTAGAATAAAAAAATCACAATTTCTCTTAATGACAGGCAGTGAAATTTAAGCGTTTCTACAATCAATCATCAAAGTCCTATAATATGTTATAACAATCTTATCCTCCAGGAGAAGAGTCTATCAGATTATGGAATAGAAAACGGAATTTAAAAATAAAAGGTCAAAATTAATTTATTTTAAAACTGAATGTCTAATATGTTATTGCACATACAGATAGACATTACAAAAGAAGATTGATATAACATACTGTAAGGTTTTGATGATTAATTGTTGAGCTTTGACAGCCTACCTGTCTGCCAATTTTGAAAGAGAAGAGAGAGAGACAGAGAGTTATATTCTATTGTTATAAAGTACTCATAAGAAGGTTCAAAATGAGGGCCAACATTCCATTAAAAAAAATGCTATAAGATGGCGCCCAGCCATCATTTTGAAATCTTTAACTAACACTTTTATCCTAAAATATGGTTTTCATTACCCCACATCTTAGCTTGCTAACTTGAGCCATTCAAAAAACTGCTGGGACCTTTCTGAAAAGCACTGCATGTATTGACACCAAACACCACTAAGTTGAATGCCATGCTCTTGGATGAGAAAGAACATATTACCTTTACCCCTCCTTGCCCTAGATGCATGTTTGTCATCACTAGAATAATCATCATGTGAAGAATACCCTGAGAAAAAAAATATTTTTAATTTTCTTTTGATTGTGATCAATGGAGCAGGTGTATAGTTATGTTTTGACTATATATCTATTTAGTGTTAGAGTGGGGTATATTTCACAAGCTAAAAATACTTATAAATAACACTAATACTAAATATGCTGATTTGGATAACCTATTAACCAGAGGAAAAAGAAAAAACAAACAGAATTTCTGGGTTACATAAATGATAGGAAATGTTATCTACTGCTACTACTACTACCACTACTACTACTACTACTACTACAACTATGATGTGTTAGAAACAAAGTGTAACATTTCTTAACAACAAATTAGACTTATACAGGGTGGCCAATATATAACGGACTGATTTAAATTGTGTACCATTTTTGACACGCATTTCAGTAGGTGGCGCCGTAGAAGTAGTTTAAAGCACTACACGATCATGCAGCGCTACACGATCCCACAACGCGTCCGCATTGTTAAAACGTTTTACTTAATGAGTCGATTGCTGCAACGATTCGGAAGCTATGACAGGATTTCGATTGAAATAATGTGCCCAGTGTCAATATAATTCGTCCGTTGGTGCGGAAATTTGAACAAACAGGTGAAGTTAAAGACTTGCCAAGGTCGTTCGAACTGTTCGTACTCCGGAAAATATCGAGAGAGAGTTCGTGAAAGTGTAGTGGAGCGCCCTGAGACGTCTACCAGACATCGTTCTCAAGAACTGGGTATTCGTCGCACGTCATTATGCACTATTTTAAAATAAAGACTTACATTTTCAATTCAACCTGCAAAAAAGATGGTTCCACCAGGATGGAGCAACCTGTCACACAGCAAGGGAATCAATTAATCTTTTGCGAACAATATTTACGGGACGTTTAATTTCTCGATTTGGTGATGTCAAATGGCCACCAAAATCATCGGATTTAACGACCCTCTCACTTTTTTATGGAGATTTTTGAAAAATAGGGTTTATGCCAACAACTCAAATACTGAAGAACAATATTACGGAAGCAATTGAAAATATTCCTCATGAAACCTACCAAAATGTGGTGGTAAATGTAATCAAACGGGCTCAGGTTTGCGCGGCATCTAGAGTCGGACATTTGTCTGATATTATTTCTCATACATAATTTCTAATGTTCAGTAAAAGATTAAAATGAAAAAAATTACGAATTTTATTTCATTGCAGAAATATTCAGGATACAAACCAGTTACTTACATATCGGCCACCCTGTAAAACATATCTCTGTAGATTGTATATGCACTAACCACTAGACAACAAACAGAAGACTGAAAAAGCATAAACTACAAGAAAATCTAATTTTCCAACAATTCATGTACAGAACAAAAAATGTTATGTTCTCACCTCTGTTATTTGCTTTGACTGCTGCAGATCTTCTTGGTCTGCCACCATCCACTGGTTTTCCAGAATCTTTTGGTTCCAAAAGGAAATCTACAATTCTATTCACCAGATCATCTTTGGTGCCACTTTTTTGCAAATCAAGAACTTCACAGAGACCTTTCAACTGTTTTAAATCTAATTTTTGAACACTTGCTATCTGCAATAAAAATGTTTCCACATAAGCACTACATTCTTAATGTTAAATAAAGGTATGGTATAAAATACAGGAAAAATTGTTTTATAAGTTTTCACGTTGACAATCTCTCATTTTTAAAATTCTTCTTTATTGTATAATATGTTTCAGACCCAATGGTGACCTTCATCAGTACAATTGACACTTTTTTGACAATCTATTTCATTTGAAGATAAACTGTTTAGACTGAAAAGTATATGATAAAGAATCCGCAGGAAAAAATTGAAGATCATTAACAGTTTTATTACAAAATAAATCAGATATTCTTTCACTCATAATTTGTTACTTTATTCCCCTAAATCATTTGATAAAAAAATGATTTTGTGCATAAATTCTTATATATAAAATTCTAAGGACCAATTATTCTTAATCAACTTGTTTTGTAGCATTATGAAGATTGGGACATTAATTCAACTTACCTTCTTTTGATATTCATCAGAATCTTTATCAAAATCGAAACCATTGAATTTTCTGATGTTCTTTTTGACAAGAGTAGTTTTTCCATTCACTTTAAACAAGAGACGATGTAATGTTTTCAAATCATCATTCTTGTAGCGGGTTATTGAAGCTTCTATACGAGGAATGTCACCAAGGGCAGTACCTTTTCCTTCAGCAAATTCAACTTTACCCTAAAAAATGAATAATACCAATGTTTTTTTAGTAAATGTGCAATATTCCTGGTAAACTTATAGGAATACAAATAAAACTTCAAGGCAGCAGATTCTATCATAACACAATTAGTTTTTGAGACAAAAAAATTGCAGTTTTCAAATAATTTTTTTTTTATAGAAGTTACAGCATGTTTTATGGAAAAAATCACACAGTTCCATGATAACATTTGTTTTTTGAAATACAAAAGAAATTCGATATAATACAATAGCTGGTTGGGTACAAGGGAATAATAGTCTAGTCATATTTGCAAATTTCTCCGAACTAATTGTAAAGTATGGTTTTATTGGTGCAAGTTTTGTTCAAGGGGGTATCTAAAATATGGATGCATATAAAATGGGTACACCAATTTTTGTAGGAAAAATTTTTATTCGATAACAAAGAAAGAGAAAACATGTTTTAGGATTCAATCGAAAGTGGTGACAGGAACTTTTCATAAAAGATTTTTAGGTATTTATGAGACCTACAAAATGAGACTACACATGAAAAGATACGACTAATAGCAAAAATGTTATGGGCAAAAAACAAGGCAAAATGCAGGTTTTGTTGATAATGCGACGATAATTTCACGCAACTATTTGAAATTCTTCTAAATAACAACAACAAAATTGGAGTATATTGGTCAAACAGTTTTTTGAGAATTTCTAATTATTTATCCCATAACACCTGTTTTCCGGCCATCACGACCAGTTTATTGAGCAATATAGGGTTCCTTCAAAGAGCATTTAATAGCAAAATACACGTGTTTAACTTGCTGATATGAGTCACAAACCATACCAAAAATAAATGTTATTTTTATGGGAAAAATCAAGGTTATGTTTTTTTCTTCTAAATAAACACAAACATTTTATATTTTTGAGTAATTGAACAAATGCGCTATGATATTCGAAAAACATACTTTACTATACATATTTTAAAACAAAGTGGATGTCTATCATCTTTTCTTGCAAATTACTAACAAATACAAATGTTTGAATTTGTTTAGAAGATAAAACATAACCCATACTTTTTTGCATATTCTCCAACATAGTTTGAAATTCATATCGGGAAGGTAAACTAGTGTATTTAGCTATAAAATGCCATTTGAAATGATCCTGTATATTTCTAAATAAGCTAGTTGTGATGACTGGAAAACAGGTGCTTTGGGATAAACAATTAGAAATTCTCAAAAAACTACTTGACCAATCTACTCCAATTTTGTTATGGTTATTTAGAAGTATGAATCCTATGAATTTAAAGGATTTCAAACATCTGCAAGAAACCATCGTTCCATTACCAACAAGTGCCAAAACCTGCTGTTTGCAACTTTGTTGCTATTAGTCGGATCTTTTTATGTGTGGTCTAAAATTGTAGGTCTCATAAATATCTAAAAATCTTATATGAAGAGTTTTTCGTTCCTCATTCTTTGTTGTCAAATGAAGTTTTCCCACAAAAACTGGTGTACCCATTTCATGTGTCCATGTTTTGAATACCCCCTTGAACAACTTGCATCAATAAAACCAGACTTTACAATTATTATGCAAACCAGGGGTATTTTTGTCTAAAATGAATTTTAAAAAAAAAACATAAAATAATCAATTTCCTATAGAATGTTATCAAAAGTTATCTATACAGAAAATTAAACATTTTTTCAAATCTATGAAAGTTATTCTGCATTACTTTTCTATACATGGATACCAAAGTGGAAGAGTAGCATAACATGAGTTATGATGAAACCACTGTTTGCATAAGGAGAACGGTTCCCTAGACCCTTAGCATGACTCAAATAAACATATATTTATTAAAACATGAGTTTAGTGAAAATTTCCTAGCCAAATTGATTTTAATCATAGAGCCATATATTTTAGCTTCTTTGAGATATGCTCTTTTCTCTGTACAATTTATTCGATGTTACTGTAAAGTATTCATTAGATAAAGGAATATCACTATATCAGAAATTAAGATTATATTTGCTTACTTCGCTTTTAGCTGGTAGATCCTCCTTAAATCTTTGCACATTTTTCCTCTCCCTCTTACCAGATATCTCCAAAGGTTGATCCAAAAGTGGCACATCCTTTTCACTTTTCTCAGATTTTTCTTCATCACTCTCTTCCTCATTTTCACTTCCCTCACTTTTTTCCTCCACCTTTTCTTTCTTCTCTTTTTTCTTTTTTTCTACTTTATCATTCTTCTCTGGTTCTTCCTTTTCAGATTTTTCAGTTCCTTCACTCTCTGCATCTTCATCTTCACTTTTGGCTTCAGTTTTTGCCTCATTGTTTACCTTTTCATCAACTTCAGGTTTTGCGTCAGGCTCATCATTTTCATCATCCTTTTTGATGTCGTTCGGTTTAGCGTCACTTTCTTTCTTTTCTTCTTCATCTTTAGCATCTATTTTCTTATCATCAACATTATTTTCTTTTACTGGCTTCTCAGCCTTGGCATCACCAACATCTTGAGAATCTTGCGAGTCATCGGTATTGTTATCAGTGCCACTTTTTTCGTTGGCCTACAAAATGAAAAAAGATAAGACTAAATTTGCACATCACACAAGATAAAATGGAATATTTATTTGGTTTCCCGCTTTTTCAAATATCAACACCGCCATGTTGGTTTCCAGAAGAAAACATGCGGCGTTTTCATGCAGTAAAAGTAAACGATCTAAATGTAATATTCATCCACTAAACACAACCTTATATAATGAAGAAACAAGAATCCATAATTTTTGGAGAATACTTTCTACTTACTTCTGATAATACACTTTTTGAAGAATCACCTTCGCTGGACATCGTTTTCGTATCTGTTACAAACGGGAGCGCGTCTAGAATGTCCAATAAGAAATCACACGCATTGCACAGCAGGCCAACCGATTAATACACGCCCTCAACGGCAAAAGTTCATTCCATTTGGTATGGTCCACTAGTATAGATGCCGATCGCCTGTGCAAACAAATGATCGATGTTAAAAATATGGGCTTTAAAATACTGTAGAGGCCAGAGTAAATTAAATATCACTAGTACACAAAGAAATTTAGAATATTACCTGCGATTTGGTATAAAATGGCATGAAGCAACAACACTAAAACGATATATGGGCAAATCGGCACACGATTTATGGAAACGTTTGACAAATCACTGACAATGACCGACTTGACATTTGCAGATTTGCACAAATGGTGATGGGAAAATATTGCATTGAAATAAAGGCACGGTAGTTGGAAATAGTGGATTTTAAATAATTATTAGCATCAAAGTATTACATTATTGGATTCGAGCGACGATGGGTCCGAGTGGAGCGAACGTGGCCACGCAAGACAACTGTTGAAATATACTCTACCAGGCCCAGTAAGACTGTCCACAACGAATTTTTTCCCAAAATCGTTCAACACCACTTAAAAAATGGAAATAAAAATTGCAAAATTGACGCCATGACATCCGAATGATCTCCGTTGGTACCCCGGGCTAGACATCGATCCTTATTAGAGGTGCTGAAAAAGTAAGTATTCGTTACTTGAAGTAACGAGTATCAATCAGAGCACGAAATGATTACTTTCATTACTCTGTTTTCCGTATCCGTACCTGTTTCGTGTACAATCGTTGTGTGGCCACCTTTTTTTTATACTCCAACTATCATGAAGGCCTAAGGCCTAAACACCCATGGGGTACCGTGGGGTTATACGGGGAAACATGGGATGCCACACGGACTCTGGCGAGGGAACACGTGCGCATGCAACATGCACACATTCTGGCCCCGCCTACGAGATCCGCCGGGTGGTACCTCCGCGTTCGACAGTCAGAGACCGTCTACCACCACACAATCACAACATTCATAGCCAAGAGAAAATTTTCTCTTGCTACGGGATTGGAACCCGCGCAGCGCACGGTGACTGATCAGAAGACCAGCCTAGCTCCAAAACTGCAAAAAATTGGTCAGTCGGGAACGTGAGTCCAACAACGTTTTTTGGGTCGCTGCAACCGAATCTGGGGCCCATTCAGTCCGAAAATGCGAAGACCACTCGTCATAAAAAATACTCCGACAACTCTCCCTGCGTCTATGCTGTAGAATGTTAATGACACTGAATACTTTTATGAATTCCCAGTTTTCGGTTTGTTCGTACAGTGGTCGGCAAGGTTGCGAACCCGTACAGTGTTGAGAAGTGCAGAGTCAACCTACTTGACGCCATTTTTTCAAGTGACGCTCAAATTCATTTCTCGAACCTGACACTATTATTGAATTCAAAATTTTATATGTATATAGCTTTCCGTTGTTCACCAAAACTGGTGCAAATGCAACAAATACAGACAAACAGTCCGATACAGAGATAGACAAAGATGAATGACACATAAAATTTTTGGGCTTCACTTTTGAAAACCAATTACAGACAAAATCTTCTGAATACGTCCTTACGACGCCTATAAAATGTACGAATTATTAATAAATCGTAAAAGGTTCCTTTACAAAACCACTTGAAAAAAGTATCAGGAACATTTTTTTAAAACGTGTACAAAAACACGTTTGTTTATAACTAAAAAAAACAAATGCAACGTGATACATTGTTGAAATCGTATTACAAGATATTAGATACAGGGTAGTACTGTGAGTGGATCATATAAAAAAGTTGATGGTTTCTTAAAAACGAAACGTCAGACACAACATTTAAAAACACCATCATTTAGTGCTTAAATAGAGCTATTATTTTTTTGATATTCCTTTAAATAAAGTCAGACAAAAATAACAACGATACCTCAGTATAGTGGATACCAAATAAAATCCGATGCACGTCATAGGTGATGTCATTCATAAAAATCATGGTTACCAACAGTTTACTACATTCAATGTGACATTTCTACTTGAAGTTTAAATTTCCCCGTCTCGATTCGGTTGGTAGTGCCGTGCAGAGAAATGTGAGGTTGCCACTTCTCATTTGTTGACATCAGTTGCCATTGTCCTTTTGTCGTACTATTAGTTCTTTATTGTTTAGTTTGTGAGTTTTGCGCTATTTGAGCTTTGAATCGTTGCCTTGCCAATTAAAAGTTGTTCTTCTCAGAACAAAAGTTACTGTGAAGTGGTATAAAGTATCCAAAATGGCAAAACAACTTAACAGTCGGTGTAAAGAGCTCATATCAATTCTGGCAACAGCGCACAGCTCCAGATCGATGACGTGCATCGGGTTTTATTTGGTATCCACTATAAACAACTAATCTCTCAGCAATATGCGCAATTTATTAAAAAAAAAACATGGGATGTCAACCCTAACACACAAGTAGATGAGGATGTAAGGCTCACCTAGTTTGCTGCACAGCTATCCCGTTTTCCTCAGAAGAGTTTGAAGTTGAGCTAATTTTCACTTTGGAGACACTTGACACTCACTTCACAACACTAAAGCACCACTGAGAGACAATCGAGAACCCTATAGTGAACACCACCACTGAAAAAAGTAGGTAAACCGAATAGAGCTCTGCACGGAGCTGTGAACGCGTAGACATTCCGCTGCGCCGAAGGTTGCCGAGAGAGTGAAGCGTGTGACTGCTGTACCTCGCTGCGGCGATCGGTACGACCGGGTAGTATAGCCACGCCTCTTTCCAGCTCCCACTCCACGCGTCTGCTCCCCGTCAACGTAAACATCGTGAGACTGTCAGATCAGAAAACTCAAAAGAATACAAAACAACTTTTTTATGTATCTCTATTAATGTTAAGGCGGGTTTACACGCTACGTCTTATTGTACGTTTTGTGAGACAGGACAAATCCTATCCAATAATAAAACGTGGCGTATAAACAGTAAAACGTACGTCTTGTCGAATCGAAATGGAATCCAAGCTCAGATTGAAAAACTGATGGGAGAAGCATCATTTTGCGAGAACTGATAGGACAAAACGAAATGAGTAGACTCATGTTCAGACAAGACGTCCGATCTTGGCTCAGTTCACGAGTAGCTCCACTTCAGTTCACTTTCTTCTTTCTCAAAAAACGTAATCATGCCAGACTTGGGGCCATGCACCCACGATTTTCTCGGGAAAAACGTCGTGTATGAGGATCTTATAAAAAAAGAAATAGACCCGATGGCAAATAAAGAGACTGTTACAAAAAAAAAACTCGTTGAGATCGGTTTACAAAAAACTGACAGAAATCTCCGTTACTAACTCTAGCAATTGACAATAGGCTGAGATGTAATTGCGCCAGTCATCAAGCTCGCTCCTCACTTGTTTCAATAACGAGACGTGGGAATACAGGCTTCTTTTCAAAAGCCACTCCCTTGAACATCTTGTCTTTCACCTCTTCATCCCTTTTCCTCTTAGTCGTTGTATCCTTATAGTTGAAAAAATAAAAGAAAGCAGCCGTGTTTCCTCCGTAATATAAAAATGCCTCTCAAAAAAATTCATTAAACAAACTTCACACAACTCAAGAGTCTAGATTGGAACTGTAGTAGAAAGCGGAAGGGAAACACGTAGTGTGTATATATACACTGGACAAAACGTACGTTTTGTCGTACTTTTTGTATGCCCGTCAAAACGGTCAATAAGACGTATCGTGCAAACCCGCTTTTAGTCCATATTTTATTCCAAAATTTTATGAGGTTTTAGCGAAATCGCAAAGGTAGCAAAACCATCCGATGAACTCGTAACACCTGCTGTAGCCTCAACCCTCAACCAGTCATATTGCAATCTAGTTCATTATGTGTTCTGTGTCAGCCAATGTTGTCAAGTTGTGATGTTGTGAAGGATTTTGACATATAGACGTCAAATTTTGAGTTGCATTTTTTATCGAACTGAAATGTCAAGCAATGTTTATGTAATGCTAAAAATTGCAATAACCGGATAATTGTAATTACAACTGAATAATACTATGTGGTTTAATTATGATTTATAGGATGAGCGTAAGCACCGATTAAGAGGCAATCAAACTGCAAATTCAGCAAGTAGACAAGTGTGTTCTTCCCAGCTTTTTGAATAATATTGTAAAATTAAGGAAAATAATCTAACAAGGGCAATACAAATAAGCAAACGCAAATTACGTCTTATCTATTAGGTACGAGTTTGATATTTGAAAAGATATTAGTGATTCTAATATAATTTTTATAACAATTGTATTTAACTATTATTTTGCATGAAAAATGGTTCAAAATAGTATTTTTGTTGGCTTACACATTAAAACATTACAGTGGCCAAGCACTTTTGTAGAATCAAGCATCCTCTTCATAAAAAATGTCTATCAGAGAAGTAGATAACTGCCAAGAGCTAACAGAAACTGAGGGTTTGAGGAAGAGGAAATTTGTAGAAACTGCACATCAAAAAATTGAAGAAGGTGAGTAACAAATTCTTAAAAGGTTTTATAGCAGCTTTGTTATATTTAATACCAAGTTAAAAAGAATAATTTCAATTATTTATTATATTTCATTTTAATTAATGTCCTTCATTTTGTATACTATTAACATTTCTACTACTTTTCAACCTACGAATGTGCAACCGAGTCCAGAGATAGTTTTAATAAGTGTTTTATTGAGAGATTTCATAGGTACTAATGACCAGTAGTAGTGGTGAGGAGGCAAAGCGAGGCAAGTAGGCTACCTGTGGCCCTTTTTGCAAATCTGAGTGTACAAATATTCTACTACATATCTTAGTTCACTAATCTGTTGAACCTTCCTGATCTCCTAATAAAGTATATCTGAGTATTCCACTGAGTAAGAAAGTCCTTAAACTGCAATGTATGGGGCAGGTTGGATCCGTCCTTGCCTTTAAAAGGGATAAATGTCTGTTCAGTCTGCAGTGGCTGGTGAGAACCCCCACAAAAAGCTTGTGTATCTCTATACACTTTTTCAAAGTCTCTATATGCTAATACCATTCTAAGAGGCATTGTATTAGCACCTGCTTATACTCAACCTAGGCTTGCAGGGCTTCTGGCCCCAGCTTAGCCATATAAGCAACTCTCTTATTAACTGGTACTCCACTGGGTGCAGTGACCCAAAACAGGGTTACTTTGTGAATGGACTATCTACCAGGTTACCTCCTGCAGGATGTTGCACTCCTTTATTTGCAGATATTGATATGATTGTCTAGGAAATCCACCCTTGCCATCCTTGCCTTCCTTTCAACATTTCTCAAGAATTCACCATATTTTGAAAAACTTGCTCACACATTACATGTAGTTATGGAAACAGACAGTTATATTTAACCATAAAACAAATGATTTGAAACATAGGGGGTAACATTTCTCTATCTAAATCTCTCATTGTGACTGATCATTTCAAAATGTAATTGGACCCTTCACTACAAAGTTCCAATAGGTCAGAACATTGTCTTCAACCACCAAAGGCTGATTCCCAATTCCTTACATGAAAACTAGAAGCCTACTCATGTGAAGCTTTATCTAACTTCACCATCTCACACAACAAATTTCTTGCTTTGTCTAGAGACGGCCTAAACAAGTGCGAATCATGTGACTATGATTGAAGTTTTCTATCGTCTAAAATGATGAAAATGGCAGAGGTAGTGATGTATGAATCAGAGATATTCACCAAATAATGTGCTCAACTTTTTCAGAGTAATTTGTGATAAACATTTAGAAGCTTAAAATGTTTGAAATTTTCTTTTATTTTACGACGTTTCTGCCCTATCAGTGCACATTTGACTGAAACATACATATATGGGGAGATTATCAACATGGTAACCATAGTTTCAGATGTTACATTATTTAGGAACTTCTTCCGTGCGGATTGAGATATTTACAAAAAAAAAACAAATTTTGTCTATAACCATTTCTTCCGAATTGTAGAATAAACAGCTTGTGTATGAATTTGGATTATTTTTTATTGTGAATGATTTTTATGTCTAATTTCGAATGCCTAGTGTAAAAGTTACATTAAGAATCGAATATCATTTCCAGCATCACAGTTTATCAGGAGGAAAATACCATATTCTGGCCACTTTTTAGCTCCAAAGAGATTATGGTTGAAAAGAGTCCCAACAACAAACTGTGATGTTGTTATTATTTTTCCATCTGGGACTAAAGATTCCATACTCTTGTGGCTGTTATCAAAGCTCCGCCAGTCACCTGGACTCACAATACATGTTAGGAACCATGCATCGACGCATAATAGTGCTTTCTACATTACAGCCTCTTTTCCCACGTATGTGTAACATATTACGTAATATCATCCTACTAAAACAATAACTGGAAAACCAGTATAGACAGTGATATAAATAGATATCTTAGATATCATGTATATATATTTTGGATACCTTCATGAGGATGTAAGAATATCAATGCTTAAAATGGCCGCAGAATACGACACTTATGTCCCCACTTGGGTATTAAGAATCGAAAAGCGAAATTTACCTGCATACTTGACTGTAGACTATTCTAACGGGTTGTTCATTCAGCGGTATTTTTTCAAAACCATAAGAAATAACAGCCGACAGTGTGTTTGTTTAAAATCTACAGGATGAATAAATTTATTATTATGGTCTAAACTGGTTTTTTGAGTCTTCATCATTTGAATACTATGTAATGTTTTGGATGGTCTCTGTATTATAAGAGATTGTGTTGTAGTTTGTTAAAGGCTGCGGAAGAATACCATCTGTTCAAAGCACTAAAACCAGACAAAGGCGGAGGCCTCAAGGAATTTTGCGTGCAAGAACTATCATGTTACGAAAATTCGCATGACAAAGAACATTTTTATACTAGCGAAGAAAGACAATGGTTAATTTTGCGTATTTTGGAAAGTATTCGCGCAAAAAATACGGATTCCAATGCAGTGCCTGGTTTAACGTTGATCGAGGGACAGCCAATCAGTAAGTTTAGTACAACACGACAAATGTACCGTACCGACGAGTCCTACTAGAACAAAACTGAATTATCGTTGACCGTTTTAACGAAAACGATGAATATGAACATCTTACCATTTTTTTTTCAGTACCAAAATGCTTGGTAGCAGGCGTTATAAAGCAAGTTTTCCCCTTGCATGATCCAGCTGTTTTAGAAATGTTACAAAAAACTTGGGTGCGCGATATTTTCTCTAGACAACCATTAGGTAAGAGTAAAGTTTGTTTGTTGAAGATTTATTTAGCATTAGTGTTACAATGTCAATTTTGTATGATCATTCGTTTACACATCTTTTTTAATCCATTTTCTGTAATTTTACATTCTTGTCTATTGAATTTTCATCACTATGCATTTTGAGTATTCATAAAGTGATTTTTTTAATTTTAGGTTAAACATTTTTAAATTCGAACACTGTTTGTTATTCAGTTTATTAAATTCAAATACGCCATTTTGAAATAGAGATTTGCTAGTTATGCTACTATTACAATTTTGCAGATGAAAATCTATACTGCCTCTAGTTTCGGAGTTATGATAATGACTATTTAATTTTGTGAATCAATAATTTTTTTGAAGATTGGTAATAAATGATTTTTTAATTTGATTATGAAAATGAGAACTAAATAACATATGAAATTTTTTACATTCCACTGTAGTTCTTCTAACATAGACGTAATCCTAGCATATTTGTTTTTATTTAAAACGATTCTCACAGCTTAATTTTGTAGAATTTGTAATTTTGAAAATATGTTTCCATTTGCTGTAAACAAGATGGTTGAATAATATAAAAAATGGGGAAGAATTATAGTGTTATACACATTTTTTTTTTGAATGCATACTAAGATTATGGGAACCTCTATAGAAGTCATTTATCTTTTTTGATATTTTTGAAATAATGTATTCATAATGCTCGTGAAACAGTAGTTTAATATCCACATATATATACTCAGATATTTAAACTATTCGACTAGTCCAATTTTTTTCATCATTAATCATGAGCTTGATTGTAATGACACCTAAATGTTTCCCTTCTGACATACATTTTATTTTATTAGTGTTTAATTTACGTTTATTAACATTTAACCAATTCATAATTTTTTTAATATCACTATTTAACAGTTCTAAAGCAGTGCCCAAATGTTTATGTGCTAATAATATCTATGTATCGTCCGCAAATATTTGAATTTTGCAGTGTTCTTAAATGTTAGAGATATCATTTAATATTAAATAGTAACGGCCCTAATTTACTTTCCTGTGCCACCCCTACTGATATATTTTGAACGCTTGACATAATATTTCCAACTTTAGTTTTTTGACTTCTATTTACTAAATAACTTTGTTTAATGTTTAATACCGCTCTATAGTCTCAAATGCCCTTTTGAAATCTACAATACATTCTTTCTCATCTATACTTCTTCTCCAATCTTCCACCACCATTTGTATTGCTGTTTCTGTAGAATATTTTTTCTAAATCCAGCTTGGTTTTTTCTCAAAATTTTGTTTTTAAACGAATTCAGTGATTTGTTCGTATCTTATAACTTCGAACAGCTTCTCGACATCTGGCAAGACATTAATCGACCGCAACTTTTGGCACAGGAGTAATGGTGGAACACTTTAATTTTCATGGGAATTCACCATGTACTAAACAATGATTCATCAATGATAATAATATCTCTTCAATTATATTGAAACAATAATTTAGAATCTTTTCTGAGAAATTTTCGCTTGGATTTTTATTAGATTTCAATTCGTTTAATGTACTATTAAGCTGTAGCTTCTAGTCATTCCAGTATACGAGAAAAAAGAACCTTGATCAAATAAATAACTACCACTATCTTTGAAATGACGAGTGCAAGGTTCTTATTGAGCTCTTGAAAATGTTTATATTTTTGATTTGTATTTTTTCTTTTATTCATGCACACTCTATGTAAAGTGCTTTTGTTTTACCTCTTAGCAGTATTGCTCACAACATTTAAAATATTACTGATTGATACAAACAATATTTTCAGATGAAATAGCCGAGTATTTTGGAGTAAAAATAGGAATGTATTTCGCATGGTTAGGACATTATACTACTGCATTAGTTATACCAGCCGTAGTTGGACTCATATTTTGGGTATGTTTTCAGGCTAAGTTTTTTAGTAATCTTGCTACAGTTTCTACTGAAGGCTTGGTTTCTGTGATTCAAACACGGATTTTTTCCATTTATATGGATATTTGCCATATGTGGTGACATCACTGTAGGTGTGAGATACTTTTTTATGATTTATAGTCGATATCTAATGGGAAGAATCAAACCTTAGAAGATGCAGGCTACGTTATTTTCTCAGTTTTCAACATAGTATGGGTGACAACATACTTACAAGCTTGGAAACGGTATTCAGCAGAATTGGCTTTCCGTTGGGGTACTCTGGATCAAAGAGATGATCTCCTTGCTGATCCAAGGCCCCTATTCAGGGTAAGCTAATGCATTTCAATAAAACAACTAGCACATGTTATAGTAGTAGTAAAATATATTTGTTTTAGGGGCCGTTGCATATCAGCCCTGTAACTAAGCGACCAGAGCCCTATCACGCAGCTTGGAAAAGACATGCTTTTAGATACTGTGTCTCGGTTCCGGTGATTATGGCCTGTCTTGTACTAGTATTTTGTATCATGGCCGTTTCTTTACAGATTCAGGTAGGTTGTAACACCAAAAATAATACTTAACATAGCATAACATAGAAGATTGTTATTAAAGAGCATTACAGTCCGGATTTTAGTCATAGCTTAGCGTGAATATGATATTAAGGGTTTTATAATTGTTACTTGGAAGTCATAAAACCTTTGTAATACTGGATATCCTTTTTTCCCAGGACTATTGGGATACTTTCGTGAGAAACCATAGTCTACCGAATTGGTTGTGTTATTTACCAAAAATATTGCTTGCTGTTGTTATTTCATTAATGGACGAAGCATATTTCAAAATAGCAGTCTGGCTGAACGACAGAGGTAAGCTTTAAAATTCAGTTTCTGTTCTAATAATTGCGATGTAGTTTGTGTATTGTTTGGTGTAATATATGGAAACAATGGGGACTGAATCTGTAACACTTCTATCTCTGAAAGCAAACTTGCGTTTTTTCGATTGAACTCTAAATATTATCGTACAAATTTAGAGGTATATTGTAAAAAAAACAACAATTTTTATACATTCGTATTGTTAGGAACAGATGCATGCTGTGATTCAACCTAATTATGTCGTCAAATATTCTGTCAAATTAAGCTTCTTGTTAGAATGGCGACATCTCGATAGTATAATTTTTATAATACTTCTGTAAAACTTTTTTAGTAGTCCATACAAACTGTAGACGAGTTACCACTTTAGTGTTGAGAAAAGACTGATTTCTCGTAAATTGGTTTTAAGCAGACTCACCAGTACGCTTTTCTTGTTTACATGCTGCTCTTAGAAAACTATCGCCTTGAGACTAAATATGAGAATCATCTCATAGGAAAAGTAGCATTGGTTTGTATTCTTCCAGACGTATATCAACTTAAAAATGTAGCTGCTCTGCACTAAATAGTTACAGAAATGCACTTCTAATAGCATGATTTGATCTAGATCTAACGGATAGAATAGTCTGATAATATACAGGATGTTATGTAAATGATAAAACACATCTGAGACTGCTGTTTGCTTTGATCTTTGCTGTATATATTGCTCAGTCTGATATGGATTCTTTCTGCCATAGAAATGGATACTTGTAATGAATGTATACAGAAGTCATTGTGACATACTGTTGACTTGGTTGACAGAACTTTGTTGTTCTAGTGTTCACAAAAATATGTCATTCTTCTTGCTGTTAAGTAAGCTATTTGTATATAAATTGTATGATATGGTCCAAAATTTACAACCTTCTGGCATTCCTGCTTCAGCGAAAATCTAATTCTATTGCTTTGGTAGTGTTTTACCAAACATTGCCAAAAAGCTTATGCAACATTAAAATAAGCGGTCAATCACATCTGCTTCTCTTTTCTTCCTCTTTTCCTTGTTCCTTGTTTATATCTTGAACTTGATCAACTGTGACGGATGTCAAACTGGAAATCTGGGATCATTTTGTTATTTTTGATACTACATATATTACGACAAATAAGCAAAGTACTGCAGTTGGAAATGTCTAGAATCGGAAATACATTCTTTACTCAAAATATTGGGTTTTGAAAGCTGAGCTTGTTTTTAAAACGTAGAGCGTGAAATGTATATCTAAGCAATAAGAACACATTACAAAAGAAAACATCCTGAATATTGTAGAATATATAGAAAGATACAAACATATTAGTTCTTCAATTTGTTAACTGTGTAAACTATATTTGTGTATTTATTTAGTGTTTTCTGATTTCCAGTTCCAATTCGTCAATTCGTTTCTGTCTTTGTTTTATATCGCATTTTACTTACAAGATCAAGCACGTCTAAAAGAGGTAGGTAGTATTCAGTGTTGTTTCTCTATAGACTAGACTTTTCTGGTGGTTAGAATAAACTTCTACATATATGGTTTTGGTTTCAATAACACTCGATTTTCTTGATGGCTATTTTTAATGCTACATATACAACAGTTAACGCGTAACTAGGAAGATGCGAATATGATTACTGCATTGTATTGCTCTGTAAACCAATCTATAAAATGGTTAGTTTCTTAAAACCAGAATTTACTCGATGTATACTTGTTTTCTAAAAAAATATAACAATAAAAACACAGGCTCTACAACTCTGGAACTTCCAGAGACATTGTTACCTAGGAGTTAGCTAGGCAAGCTACTATACAAAATTGTATTTTCCGTACCTGAAACAACTATTTACATCTATCTTTGATCTTTGGCTGAAACCTGTGTGATCTGCTTTAAATGCTAAGGTCTCGTTCACGATCACACAGAACATTTTTGGTATCCAAAGGGAATAGAGATCCAAGTTCCAATAAAGGAATTGTTTGATAATCTACAGGGTGGGTCATCAAGTGTTTGGAATTTGAAGTTGAGATTATGTTCACATAGAAAGCTAAAATGATGTGTCAGAAAATTTATGTTTGACATTTACGAAATGGGATTATCTGATACGTTTTCGGTTCTCCCAATGGTCTGAAAATCACTTGGCTTGGGATGAACATGTTTACCAGAAAATTGTCTTCAATCTATGTATCAATACCGGGAGTTTCAAATTCGACCCTCTCCGCTGGGATCTCGGAAACTGTAATAGATACGAAGTCGTTCAAATGGGGGTAAAGTTGCCTATTCAGGTAACTAACAAAACATAACTTAGAAATATTCTAAATTCAAAGAAATTTCGATGAGACGAAAAAAAACCGAATTTTCTCAAAACCGTTTTAATTTTTCCTGACTTATTATATATATATATCAGATTGACATTTGTTTTATATACCAGATTTATTGCAAACTCACTTTTATTTTTTCCTGACTTTATTTGAGATGTGATTTCTTAATAAATTGTATATTGTTATCGAAGCTGTTTTCCCTCAATAAGATGGAGTAGTCAAATATTCAATTCGAGAATTCTTCTTTCTACTTCCATCACCAACTTTGTTTTTTCATATGGACACTATATCGGAATTTTGTACATTTAAATAGATTTTTCAGACCTAAATACGACGATGTATTTCCTTAGTTGGCTATGCATTTGTTGTTGTAACGAAAATTATGAGTAATATATATATACCCTTACTCATTTATTTGTTATATTTAATATATGTTTAAAATTTATTTCCGGGATAAGAAGACTATAATGTATGTACCAACTTTCATCTAGACCTGTTTAGTCATTTCGGCGTGATTGAGTAACAAACAACCACACTTTCTCATATAATAAAGAAGGGATTTCACTCTGAAATGTTGAGATCCAACCTTACCAATTTGAAAAAAACGTTCATTAGCTTTTTCATAGCCGATTCAAATTCCAAACTCTAAATCGCCCATGATATACAATATCGCCAGACTATCCAAATACACATATTTTAATAAGCCAGAAGTAAAAATAGTGAACGTGTAATAGCCTTTCTGTTTGCTAATTTTTCCTTTTTGCGTAATATTTTAGCAACTAGCTGCTCTACTCATAACCAGACAAGTCATTGGAAATTTGAAAGAGTCCGCTTTGCCATATATGCTAGAGCGAATGCGCTTAGCTAAAATGAGTTTCGACATGTGGGGTGCAATCAGCCCAGTAGGCCCAAAGCCAACGCCTGGAAGCGAGAGTAAAGATACAAATGATGAATCTTTGAGTGGCGATGGCGACGAACCCACTGGCAAAAGAATGATGAGTCAAGCCGAACTGGAAAGCACTCTGTATAAAGTAAGTATGCACATATGTAACACAACAGTTTATTCTGGTTCTATAGGAAGTGTCGCAGAACCAGGGGGCTGTAAGTAGTATACTTGATTTTTACGCTGCCTTGGCTGTCATCTGAATAATGAAAATAATAATAATAATGCTTTTATTGCCTAACAGTGAATACTATTTATTTACAGACTATGAAGCAGTGACTTAGATTACATGATAGTTATAGCAGAAAATAAAAATAACTTAACTTTCGGCAAATCATTAGAAAAATGGAACTCAACCGAGAACATTTTCGCGCCATAATTTATGACAACTTTCAGAGACAATTATCGCAACAAGAATGCCTTGCTGAGTTACTGTCTGTTTTCGGCAACGAAGCGCCACATCAGTCGACAATTTCCCGTTGGTATGAAGAATTCAAACGTGGACGGGTGAGTCGATGCTGTGCGCAAACTCATCATTGAAGATAGACATGTGACATATCGCGAGATTGAGGCGTCCTTGAAGATCTCAAAGACGTCAATACAAAAAATTGTACATGAAGAATTAGGAGTAAGAAAAACAGCCAGGGTTAATTGGTGTCAAAAAACGCTTGACCGTTTCAATTCCGGAAATGTGTACAGCATTGTTAGTGGTGATGAATCGTGGATTTACTGTTATGAACCAGAAAATAAACGACAGGCGGCTGTTTGGTTGTTCCAAGGTGAAGAAAAGTCATCAAAAGGCATCCGTTCTTGAAGTGTTTCCAAAAAGATGGTCGCGACATTGGTGTCAAAAGCGGGTCATATTGCAACAATTCCTCTTAATGAGCAAAGAACTGTTACTGCGGATTGGTGTACCATCATTTGTTTGCCAAAAGTCATCACCGAGCTTCGAGAAATCAACCCCGAAAGAAGAATCATCCTCCACCAAGACAATGCAAGCTCGCACAACACAGCCCAACAAACAAGCCAGTATTTAACGGAAGAAAACGTGGAATTATTGGACCATCCTCCATATAGTCCCGATCTAAGTCCTAATGATTTCTTTACTTTCCCGAAAATTAAAAACAGACTGCTTGGTCAAAGGTTCCAGTCACCAGAAGAAGCAGTTGACGCATTCAAAAATGTCGTTTTGGATCTGAAAGCAAACGAGTGGAATAAGTGCTTCGAAAATTGGTTCGAGCGCATGCAGATGTGTATTAATCTTCGTGGAGAATACTTCGAAAAACAATAAAGTAATTTAAAACTACCTACCGTTTGTTTTATTTCCATATGCAAAACTTAAAAGACATCCCTCGTAAAAAGCCTAAACTTGACCAAAATGCGTCAGAGATAGGCCGGAGATTTATTCTTTAATTAACAAAAACTGCTATGAAAAATATCACATACTTGAAATTTCCTTGGCATTTCGGCATATAAAATTAATCGGAGCCTTTGATAGTAAATTAGTTTGTGCTCTTTTGCACAGGAAGGCATTAAAATGCCTAGATGATATTCTAGGAACCAGAATATATACCTGAGCTAACAATTTAGGATAATCGATTCTTCCATTCAAAAACTTATGCAAGAATAGTACAGATATTTGATATCTACGGTTTTCCAAAGATTGATAATCAAATCTATGTAGTAGCTCAGGATAACTCCTGGTGAGTACACACCATCGATGTTATATGCTATGAATTCCAAAAATTTCTTTTTTCATTTTTCAATAGCAACGCTTTATTGGCTATATATCCATTTGAGTGAGCCGTATTCCAGTTTGGATCTTACTAGATTGAAATACAGAAACCTGAGGTGTCACTGAAGTTCTTGCAATTCAATTAAATGTCAACTGATTATCAAAATAGACACCTAGATTTCTAATGCAATCAGTTCTTCCTAAAGCTGAAATGTCAATAGTATACCGATAAGATGTAGGTTTGGACTTGCGACTGAATGTTACTATTTTGCATTTAGATATATTCAAGTGCAGGTGATTTATAACACGCCAGTTTTATAGGAAAGTGATTTCTTCCTGTAAGATAATACAGTCCTTTTTAATGGATAGTGACATATATACTTTTAAATCATCCGCAGACATTGGCTTATGACAAGTAAGTCAATCGCACAAATGATTGACCTAAAGTGAGAATAGGAGAGGTCGAAAATTAGAGTCCTGTGGCACACCGCTAGTCTGAAGAAATCTATCCCTACTAACTGTATAAAAAATGCATTGCGATATCACTATTTGAAATTTTGAGAGCATTATTATTGTTCCTAAAGAGTCAAAAGTGTCATACACATGTGTATAATGTAGGCCAGACTTTTTACGGATACATACGAGGGTTGTCTCAAAACTAAGGTTCTCACATTTTTTTCAGGCACAAGGAATTAAAAAAAACGAATTTTCCATTGGAAACGATGATCTTTAAGCTATCTTTCACATGGTCGCTTTTTCTACGCATTTTTTTTATTTTGTCGACGGATACGTTGTTTTGCGTAAAAGGCTTAGGAATATGACTACATTTGAGTCAGCTAATGATTAAATAAATTTTAAGCAATATTTGGTGGATAGTTCTGATCCGCTACTGAATGTCAGCAGATTCACTTTGACTTGTCACATGTATTAATTTACTGATATTTGATCAGTAAATATCTATCTACCTATTGCCCTATTGATATAAAATTAACAAAAAAGAAAATTTGAATAAGTAGAATGTGTTAAGCATTATTAAATAGTTTATGGGTATCGAAGGTGCGAGGTTGAACATCCGCAGCATGGACGTAACCTAATACTTCTTTTTATTTCCAGTACGATGGGACGTTTTCGGATCACTTAGAAATGGCGATTCAACTGGGATACGTCATTTTGTTTTCAGCAGCATTTTCACCAGCTGCCTTGTGTGCCCTTTTAAATAATTTGATTGAGATCAGAGTCGATGCGTTCAAGCTAGTGTGCATTTGTCAGAGACCTTTTGGACAAAGAGTGCCTAACATTGGAACTTGGCAGGTATGTATGTGCTAGCCCAGTAAATGAACACAAATTATAATCATTACAACAGAGTCTTACAGAGTTTCCCCTGAAGATACTAACATAGCGAAAAACGTGTTGGTTTAATAAACTGGTTAGGCGAGTGGTAAAACTCTGTTATTGTGATATTGTGATATTTAATGCGCCAAAGGATCCAACGTTACGTATAAAAATTATAATATGGATGAAAATTTGGATCAAGGTTACCAAAATTTTGATTACTAGCCTGAAGAAAGGTTTCGGATCGGTGGTCAGCGACTAAATAAATATTATATTCATTATTGCAACACAAATGATGAACATAATTTTGAAAGTATCTCTTATCGCTTCTTCCCAAGGTTTATTAAATTTTTTTGCTTAGCCACTGTTTCTATTAAGTTGGTGCTATGACGTCACTCGGATAGATAATAAAATAGTTTATAAGACCTCACAGGTACACTGTATAAGCAGAATGTGGCCAATAAATGGTGTATGATATGCTAATATAACGAATCATTCATACCATATTTAGGAAACACACTGTATATTATTTAATGGACCGTATCGGAATAATCAAAATAAAAAAATGTTTCAGTTCCTGACCACCACAGAGTCCCGAACTTTTTGGTATCTTCGGTTATTTCAGTGACCTGTACCCAAATTTCCGTCCATATTAGTGTTTTTGTGAAAATTTTGTTTCCCTACCGCTTCATTTATAGTTGTTTATAGTGGTACATAATAATAGCGATAAGTCGATATCAAATATTAATAAAGGTGTCATTAAAAGATATCAAAGCTAGAATATGCTACAGTGTTTTTCTTCATTAGGGGTAGCCGAAAGTAAGGATAGTCGGACATAACTTTAGGTCACTTATTAAGTCTGATAGAGTCAGTGGTGTCTTCTACTTCCATGATTTAATAGAGATGGAAAACTCATCGCAAACGTTCTTGGATCTGCCATCTGTCTAGTAACTCATCAGAAAGTACTGACCTGATGTTAGATATTTTTTTTTTCAATTTGTAGAGATAGGTGGGCAAGGCAAAAAGTTTCAGTTTTTGGGCATTGATTTGTTGGAGGCTATTAGAAAAAAGTAGTTATATAGTGGAAAAGTTACTTTGGATGTTAAGCTCAACATATTTTTCTTTGTATCTCGCTTCCAGACTGTTATGGAGTATATGAGCATCATGGCTGTATTGGTAAACTGTGCTCTTATTGGTCTTTCTGGTCAAGTACATCGAATATTTTCTGATATGAACGCAACACAAACTATTTTGTTAATTGTTGCTCTAGAGGTAAGTATAAGCGCTAAAATTTGTTTATTAGTTGGTTATTTAGAAGGTACTTTTCAATTTTCGTAATTTCAGAGTCCGCCTGTAGTTAGATTTGTGATTTTTCTTTGACCAAACGCATGCAACTAAAATAAATAAATTTCTTTTAGCACATTATGCTTGTGATTAGATTTATAATAACATGTGCCATACCCGATATACCCGGGTGGTTAGCCACAGAAATGGCTAAGATGGAATGGGCTAGAAGAGAAGCAATCAGAGGCTCAAATACTCCACCATCTCCGGTTGAACCTATTTCAAAACATATAGGAAGGTATTACATTTTCTTCAAATAATTAAAGCAAAAAGCCATCAAAAAGATTCGTTTAAAACTATATAGCAAACGAGATAAAATATTTGTTTGCGAACAGTTTTCTTTGCTGCTTAATGTGACATGTAATACTAAGAATGAACTTACATATATATACATATATACCGGGTGTTTCAAATTCGATCCTCACTATTGGGATCAAACATTAAGAGGTACGAAGTGGTTTAAATCGGGGCAAAGCTGCATATTTAGCTAACTGACAAGATGCAGCTTAGAAAGTTTTGAAATCTGAGGTGCTTTCGGAGAGAAACGGAAAAAACGGAAATTTCCCAAAACCGTTTATTTTTTTCCTGACTTTATTTGTAGTGGAATTCCAAAATAAATTATACTTACTTTTTTCTTCTGCAAGATGGTACAATTAGAATTTGAATATGACGTTTCGTCTCTTGTCCTCCAGCATCAACTTTATTTTTTCTAATGGACGCCATATTGGATTTTTACATTTTTAAAATTATGTCATTCGTTTCGTATACCGGATTTATTGAAAAATCGTTTTTTGTTTGCTGGTTTTATTTGAAATGGGATTTTGAAATAAACGGCATATTAGCATTGCCACTCTTTCTCCTCTACATAAGGGCGTAGTCAAATTCTCAATAGGCGTTTCTCCTTTCGATCTCCATCCTCAACTTGTTTTTTTCTTTTGGACTACTGAAACTTTGCGCGATCGAAAAAAATTTTTGATTTTGCATTTACGAGCCCCTTCCCACTTCAGTTGGCCCACTTCAAGATTTGTATTTATAAACTAAACATGACGAAACTATTTACTTCTAAAACAATTTATTTTCTCAAAAACCTTTTAGATACACTCTAGTCGTAAAAAATACATATTGGAAATCACTTAGACCTATTACTAATAGAACACCTGAACAAATAAACAATGTGCGAATAAATGCGCGAAGTTAACAAAGCAACAATTGAAAGATTACCATTGGGTAACATCACCTTTATTTTTTATTAAGGCTGAAATTCTTTGGGGCATAGTGTTGACCAAGTTTTGGCAAAACTTTTGGTGTAAAACAATCCGATATTTCTTGAAGATTTTGTCTCAGTTCGGTGATTGTACGAGCAGGATGTTGTCGTAGAACCTTTTTCATCTCGTGCCACAAAGTTTCAATAGGTGACAGATCTGGACTGCTAGAAACCCATTTCAAAAGTGGTACATTATTTTTTTCCATCCATTTTATAGCCTTTTTTGAGGTATTGCACGCTGCACCATCTTGCTGAAACACAAAATCTTGGCCGGATGTCAAACATTCTTCCATCACTGGTAAAAGCGATTCTTCTAAAATTGCCAAATATTTGTTTGTATCCACATTTCCATCAATAAAATGAAGTTTTTCTACTCCTTTTGATGACATACTGCCCCAGACCATAATGGATGCTGGAAATTTCACTTTTCTCTTCAGACAACATGGAATGCTTCATTTTTTTGCGAATAACTCTACCGCGACTGTCACCAACACAAACTTCGAATCGGGCCTCATCACTCCATTGTATTGCACACCATTGTTGAGGTGTCCATTGTCTATGTTCTTTAGCCCATCTAAGCCGATTTTTCTTTTGCAGTCGAGTTAATAGTGGCTTTTCTTTGGCCTATAAATAAGTTGTGCAACTTTAGGGTTTTTACTTCACTTCTTTTTATAAGAAAACTTACATTGCAAGTGCTAAATCCCAGTTTGTGGGCCTCTCTATGAGTTGTGGACCTCGAAATTCTCCTTCCAACAGCGTAACTCCACATATCACTTAATTGTAAATAATTGGCACGCCTGTTTTTCACGATTATTCTTCTTAATGCTCTTCGGTCGGCATTTGTGATATTACTTTTTTTCACATATCGTGGCTTAATATTAACTGAACCAGTTACGTTATATCTTCTAACAATATTTCTCACACTGTACCGCGATAAGTCTAACAAAGTCGCAATTTCTGAGTTTGATTTCCCAGAATTAAAAATTTTAATTACCAGTAACCGAATTTTCTCACTAATAACCTTTCCTCTACCCATTTTGAAAACCTTAACTACCCAAAACTATTTTAAACGTATTCTGACAGCTGTGGTTAATAAAAACAATTGTCATGGCTTTTATTTTTCACAGCCACCTATGCGTTACAGACTTATTTTGCATTGAAATGAAAATAGGTTGATATGCTGTAATTGCAACATGTGTTATTTTTATGCTGCAAATTTGATTAGGGAGTGATAAAGTTGGTGTTTCTACTATATATTATCAAAATATTCATTGTTAATATTTTAAACCTATAACACTCTGCTACATTTTTTTTATTTGTGTTTGATAAGAAAAAACTAAGATTTCAATAGTTGGGCCAACTGAAGTAGGAAGGGGCTCGCAGTTATGAATATGTATGATGTCACAATAAACTTCACATATTTAATTAAAGCAATATTTTTATTCTTGCGTCCACATGAAAAAACAAAGTTGATGATGTAAGTCGGAAGAAGAATCCTCGAATTGAAAATGTGAACATGCTTTCTTGTAGAGGAGAAAAAGTGTCAGAGAAAACCTCCAATTTATTTAGATATCACATCTCACATGAAGTCGGGAAACAATAAAAATTATTTTAAGATAAACCTGGTTTACCAAACAACGTCATATGGAAAATATAATTATGACATCTTGTAAATGAGAAAAAGTAGCAATAATAATGTGCAATTTATTTTGAAATAAAGTACGAAAAAAATAAAAACGATGTTCGGTTTTTGCAGTCTCTCGTAGGAAGTACTTTGAATTTTGAAACTTTCTGGGCGGTATTTTGTTAGTTACCTAAATACGCAACTTTGCCCCCCATTCAAGTCACTTCGTACCTCTTATCGTTTCCGAGATCCTAATGGTGAGGATCGAATTTGAAACACCCGTTATATGTAGATGATAAATTTTAATTGCAGTGTCGTACAATGGATCATTTTTGCATATGACGTGTAGGTTTTGCATTAATTTTCGAAACTAGAATATAATAATTTTAGGTTTTCCGTATCTCCAAGCCACAGCTTGATGAAAGCCGTAGAGAGTACGAGGTCTACGGAAAATTTAAGACCAACAGACGTAGATTATGCAAAGGAAACAACACCTGTTGCTACACCTACCACACCTGGGCCTTCTACATCTTCTACGCCTATAGATAGGCAACGCGGTATAACAGCCGGTGGTATAGCAGAAATTCCACCTTTTCGGCCTAGGAAATCCAAAGAACTAACACCTCCTGAGGTAAATAGTATCAAAGCGGGAAAATTGCGATTTTTGAAACTTGCATTTTAGGTGGAGTTTTCACATCATTTAACGATAGGACCTGGCGGGGGCGTAGACTGGGTTAAAAGACTGAAAGATGAAAGTGAGATTCATAAAAGTACTGACTGTATTGTTTCAAAGGTCAGTGACTTTTATTATACAGGGTGACTTCGAAGTTGAGTCATTTATTTTAACAGTGAGTAGATCTGATCAAAAGAAATGTTTTTTTCCTTTACCATTTTTCTGGTAAATTAAAGTAACAAAGTTATAGCCCTTTGGAAGTTTGAGTACTGCCCTGTCTCAATAATAATATTATGTGCTCGTGTTTGGCGACAACGGATATAATTCGCCTTATCGGTTCATCGCATCGGAAACAAAAAAGCGAAAGAATTTGGAACGATGTTTTTACAATTATTTCATTCAGTTGTATACAGTCAGTGTCAGTCGGTAGTGGATAGTGGTGTCTGTTGCGTGGCTCAAACGAAATAAAAAATGGCACATGTTTATGCGGATCGGTTTCCCAATCGAGTGCAACCAACCCCTCGTGCCTTTGTTAATGTAGTACAACGGGTTCGTGAATCATTTGACTTAAGACCTCACATATGGACGGCATGCCGGTGCTTCAAGACCTCACGATCAAATACAGGTCCGCGCTGAATTACTTGTCGGGAGGATACTTTATAAAACAAGGTAATTTTTTTTTTATTTTTTTTTTATTTTTACACACATATTCTGGTTTATCTTCCTTCTACAATCATTATCTGAAAATTAATGAATCAACTTCCAAGTCACCCTAATAATTTCATAATCTCAGAAATAGTTACATTCACATCCAATCAATATGAAAATGTTTTTTTAAGGACGCGTCGAGTTCAGATTCAGATTTGTTAAAAAGCATTCCCATGTGGCCCCCAAGGCCTAGATCACCACCTACAACGCATAATATTTCTATAAGAGCTAAACAGATGATTCCAACGGACGCGTCATTGAGTGATAGCGCAAAGAGTATTTCCAGTCAAGAAGGTGCAGATGAAGCAGCTAGAGGTAAGTTAAAATACTTCATGTTCTTGTAATTGGTTAATCTCGAAATTTTATACAAAATAACATAGAAAATGCAACACCGACCAGGAGTGCTGCAATTTTGAGCATACATTTACAAGTTTTAGGTTTGCTGATAAATAGAAAGTGATTAAAATTTTTAACTCGAAATTTCGCAAAATAGCTGAGATATCCCACCTTAACACATTCGTTAAGTCGTCGCGATATTGATTGGAATAGGTGATTGCAGTCTTCTTGGTGTATTGTATCTCAGGACATCTGAATTTGGTTTCGTAGAGCCTGCAATGTTTGTGGAGAGTGCGGTGAATTTTGCAACCCTCTGCTGTAATGTAATGCTCCTGTAATTTTTAGCTGCAGAAGAATTGGCTGCGAAGAAAACGAGGGTTAAGCAAAGTCTGATGAAAAGAGCGCGTTCGGTAGCCATATTTTCGTTGAAGTTGAAAGAACGTCGAGCTCGAGAGGCTCAAGAAAAGAATGCTAAGCCAGCAGTAACCCCCACTGTGCCTTTGCCGCAACAGGGCGGCGAACTTTCTTGTATACCGATTGAAAAAGTAAGTTTACCCATCGATAAACGTATTCTTCAGTGAGATACCCAACACCCTCCTGTTTGGAAGTTAAAAAATATGAAAAAGTTTCTATAAACATGGGTCCGGTAATGCAGACTTTTCAAGACACAGGGTGATGAATTTTTATTAATTTGTTGTACTTTATGCCATGGTACCAACTGGAAAAGTTCCAATGGCTAAACTATACTTTAGCGCATATCACAAATATATCATTTCTTATTTTAAAATGAAAGATTAGGGTGCAGCTTGCACGCAAATATCATTTTTCTTTAAGGAACCCTGTGCTTGCTATTTCATAGAACTTCAAAGTTACATTTTGGGTGTTAATACTGTGGTATAGAATATTGCTTTATAAGCTGTTTTCTTTTTGTTTATACGAAAGATTGTTCAAAATTATATGAATATAACATACCCTGTAAGTTACTGTGATACTGTTCATCGCAATAATGCAATTTTGCATTATTTTCTCTCCATCTCCTTACCTTAATTTGGTTTGGCAACTTCTTACTTATATACTAGCGCAAAAATGTGCAATCGGCACAGGATTGTCATGAAAATGCGGCCGGCAGGTTTTACTGTACTAAATCCACCTTGTGCCCTACGATAGGGTTAGCTAAAGAGACTTTTTTGAAGAATGCCTTAGCCCTTCACAAAAGTACTTCGGTTATTGTTTTTCCTATATTATATTTTTCCTATAATATATATTATATATTTACTTTTTGTATGTATGTACTTGAAGAATTATTTAAAGTGCAGCTGATGTTACAAAATGTATCTAATTAAATGTGATATATATGAGAGATAACTGAAAAAGTAGCTGTTGCAAATCACTAAATAATGAAAACAAAACAAAGAACATTGCAAGTTTTTTGATGATTTGATGAAATGATCGTTGATCTTTATTTAACTATAATGTTGGACGATGATATGTTGGGTGGACCTGGCGAGGTGGTCCAAATCGACGAATGGTCGTTGGGTATTTTTATACGCAATGACCGCTGGTGTTTTTTGTATTTTTTATGTCACGCGAGCCGCTTGCATTTTTCACTGTTTAGACGCATACTGTTCAAAATTTTATCTAGTTTTCGGTAAATATTGGGACAGCTTTTCATAAAACAAGCCATTTACAATAAATTAAGACTTTTATTTTTTGCAAATAACATTTTTAATTACGTATTTCTACCAAAAAAGGTACAGCTTGGCAACAATGGACATCATTTATCTTATCTGTCAAGAAATGAGCGTTATAAAATGGCCATTGAGAATTGTTTGTGCTTTCAAATATTTCTTATAAACGCAAAAACTTTGATCTCATTGAAAATACGCGAAAAAAATGGTTAAGGAATTTCAAGAAGACATTGATAAATCACAAAACACCTCTATACAGTTTAGGAAGTAAATACCATCATTTAAGTATGTATTTTGATCTGTTATTTAAGCTAATAAGCTAATGTGTAATAACACGTCTGGTTTTGAACCTTTCTTTGCAAAAGCAACGATTTTTTACAGCTTCACATCATTCACATTTTCTTAGTACTATACAGTGTATGTTATATTCTTATAATTTAGAGCATCCTTTTGTACAAAAAGCAAAAAAAGACAGCATAAAATGCAACTTCGAAGTTCTATAAAATAGCAAGCAAAAGAAAAAATGATATTTTCGTAAAAGTTACATCCTAATCTTTCATTTTAAAGTAATAAATGAAGTATTTGCGATATGTGCTAAAGTATAGTCTTACCGTTGCAATAACACTCTTTGCTAGACATTTTTTGGTTTTTTTGGTTTTCAAGGCGCTTAAATTAATTTTTGCTATAAAAATCACTAGACCGATTTTGTCCAGTGATATGCAATAAAAATAAAAATTTGTATTTTTAGATGCCAAATTTCAACAAAATCGAGTAAATATTTAAGATATTAATAAAAAAATATTTTTTTACAATTCATCACTCTGTATCTAGTGCATTGTATAAGTTAATGTATTCCTGCTGGAAGACAGTCGATCGTTTTATTAAATTATTGTAAATCCGTGCATGTACGCTGGCAGACGACTGAAAATTGTCTAGTTATTTTGCGAGAGTGAAATTCTGGCTGTTTAATGATACAGGTAACATACTGTGTATATTTAAATGCCCTCCTAAATGGAGAAAATTGCGAAATTTGACACATGCCGAAGTAGAATAACAGAAGTTAGAAGGGTGTCTATATCATAAAAATAGTTTTACTAGAAAAACAAATTTTCAGTGCTGGCGATTTTTTAATAATAACCAAATTGTTGCAGCTAATTCAGCTAGAAGATCTAAAAAATCCCCAGCGGTCTAATAATCAAGATGGTGCCACGTAGCAGTTTTACGTTCAGTCCATGTATCTAACTTTTTTGTGATGTACTTTGCATTCCGCTAAAATATAAGAGTTTGACAGACGTAAAATGTAATATCCGCTTGCCAATCGATTGTAACGTGTAACATTCGCTTTCAAGTTAACGCTTCTTGTTATAAATTATATTTTCACATGAAATATTTGTGTAGTAATTTAAGCATTGCATGTCATGTTATAACTGTTATATACTTAATATTTAAGAACATCTGACATATTATTTAGACTCCGATCTGGATGTATCGAAATAGGTATGCAAACAGTACAAATTATTTAGAATTATTGGTGTCATACGAAGCTTCATATGAAATAAAATATATGTGATCAGTTTATATCTGTTTTTTCTTATTCTGATCGACGGAGTTGTAGATCTCCCAGGGGGGCTGTAAGCTGAGAAAACAAGGATGGAGAGGGAACAAAACGACGTAAGACATCACCAACACATTGTAGTACAAAGGGTTCCATTAAGGACTTTCTTTTTAAATAAAACGCAAACCATTTGAGATATCTCGAAAATTTGATTATTGGATATATATGTCCACCACGAGCACTTTCGCCGAGATCGATTCGTTAAACCCAATTTTCAATAACTCGGCCACACATTTCGACAGAAACGCCCACTATCTCTCGTTCAACATTGGCTCTGAGCTCCTCTAACGACGCCAGCTTGTTGGAACAGACCAATGATTTAATGTAGCCGCACAAAAAAAGTCTAGAGGTGTTAAATCACACGATTTAGGCGGCCATTCGACAGGACCATTTCTCGATATAACACGTTCACCGAATTTTGATTTCAATATGTCGATTGTTTCACCCGCTGTGTGGCTTTTTGTTAAAACCACACATAATTAATGTCTAGATCATACAATTGACAAAAAAATGTCTCTGTAGCGATCTTCGTTGACTGTAACGTGACGGTCATTTTCATCAACGAAAAAAAAAAACAAAACGGCCCAATGATACCACCGGCATGCGAACCACACCATACAGTTATTTTTTGAAGGATGAAGTCGTGTTTCTTGAAGCACATGAGGGTTTTCAAATGACCAGTAACGCATATTCTGTTTGTTGACGAAGACGTTTAGCCAATTGGACTCACATTTTTTAACTAGACTATGAATTGCTTGTCTACTTGGACGAGAATTACGACTAAAGGTTGGCGTGAACGCTCTTAAAGTTGCAGACACCGACTCAGAATTTCGGTAGTAAATTTTAATTATCTGTAAGTGTTGTTCGTTCGTGTACTTCACCATGATGAAAATGTTTTTTTTACTGAATGTTTTGACATTGACAGCTAACTATCTATCACGATGGTTAATTCGTTTTTAAGAATGATTGGGTAGACCTGATAAGTCTGGAGGTGGACAAAATAAAAAACAGATTTTTTTCCGTGTTCCAGGCTTTTGCTCATTTTAGAGCAGGGATACTGGAAATTTTATATTTCTCGTGAAATCAATATTTTAAAGTATATGTATTTCACGAAGTATCAATGGTATTTTTAATAAAAAATATTTATTCTATTTATGCTTTATTATTCCGATATATCAATTCAGTTTACATTTATTTATAACCATCTTTCAATATGTCAAAGTACAAAGTTGTGGGTGGTATAAATACTATAAATATTCTTATACATAACCACAATAAATTAATTAATCAATAATATACACAGATATCTAAATTATTTACAGAGAATTATCTACAGTTTCATATCAGGTATTAGTAGCAATATCAAAGTATTAATTTATTGGCCGTAACACATCTAAAAAAGGAATAACAATAAATATTTGAAGTAACCAATTTATTCAATCTTTTCATGTCGCTTTGAGGAAATAAAGTGAGATATGCAACATTTCATAAATCTAAAAAAAATAACATTGCATCAAAAATCACCATCGAGTGGTTTTTTTCGGTGTGTCACTGAGTGACATTTTTCCAAACACTGCATCAATGCTGTCTAGATTTTTAGATTTTTTATGTCCTAGCATCCTAAAGTTTTCTAAACTACATAGTTCAGATGGAGGTAGCCCCGTAAATTCAAAAATATCTAAATTAAATATATTGAAACAAAGTGGTTCCAATTCTGTTGATGAATATACCCAGTCACATTAGAAGTGTTACATCCAGAAAAAATACGTTTGAACTGGAGCAGAGAACGGTAACATTGGGAGGCTGAATGGCATAATGTCATCTTCAGCGACGAATCGCGATTCTATCAAGGTACGCACGATGGTCGTAGAAGGGTAAGACGCAGCCGTGGAGACCGGCGTGATATTGGATTACCTGTTCAGAGGCATGCACACAGTGATGGTTTGGGAGGGCTATTGCCTATGGCAGCCGATCACCGTTTCTCTTTGTTAAAGGCAATATGACTGGTGCGCGTTATGTTGATGATGTCCTACAAACCACTTTACTACCGTATCCAGAGGGACGTCCACAGGTCCTTGTTCAGCAGACAACGCACGTCCCCATATTGCTCGTGGTACTACGGACTTGAAGCAGGCATTAATGTTCTTCTGTGGCCACCCCGTTCACCGGATTTAAATCCCATCGAACATGTGTGGGATATGATGGGGAGGAGACTATCCACTGTACGTGATCCGACACATCTAGTCCATGAGTTCGAGTTGCTTGGAATGAGGTGCCACAACCAGATATCAATCATGTCATTTTGTCGATGCCTAGACGTATACAAGAGTGTATTCAGCTGTGGGGTCGCCAAACACATTATTTTTTTCTTATTGTCAATAAAATGTCGTAAGAATGTTATCGTTTTAATCTTGATGTAAGACTACCTTATTGCCAAAAAACCAAGTTGAAGAAATTATTTTTTTCTAGATGCAACACTTCTAATGTCACTGAGTATATATTCAAAATCTGGAATATTGCCAAAGGCTTATGTGATGTGCGAAAAATGCTTCGTTATTATACTAATATCGGTAATGACAAAACGTAACTGCCAATATATCTGCATATTTTTTCCTGTTTATTTATATTTTATCTCCAATGCCAATATTCACTAACACAAGAAATCTTTGGTATTCTTTGGCCCCTGAAAGTGCAAACACTGCTAGTAGTAGTGCAACAGTTAGAAGTGGTCCAGTGTAGGGGTAAAAATGAATTAAGTGAATATATACACAAATTTACAATTCTGTATTTCCACTAAAGTCACATTACTAACTATGCAAAGCTAGACAGTATTTTACAGTGCTACTGAAATTTAACATCTCTGCTGACTTTCGGGAGCAAAAAAATATGAAAAGAAAATGATATTTGCCCTATAATTTCGATACTTTTCAAAGTTCTACGAAGCATTTTAAAAACCCAAACTCTAAGCTCGTATGGTATGACGTGTGAGCAAATATCTACTATCCTAATCTTCACTACATATTATCACAGTGAATAATGATTAGAGTCCATATTTAACCCTTTGTACTTTGATATAATCGGTAGTTCGTCGCAGTAGACTCTTGTTTTGCATCAAAACTTTAGCCACCTCCTGAAATTTATCTTCGTTTCTACGTAAATACATGATCGCGTCTCGGCGTAGTTGCTCTATCTTTTTAGGATCGGTCTCGACCATGCTTATCACCTCAGTTAGGTAAGGGTTGAAACGGTAGTATACGTTTCCTGGCAAGAGATCGTTGAGGATTATATGGACACCTAGAAAAAAGTTGGGTTTGAAATAAAACTGGATATATCTCTCAAAAATGATATTAAATGATTGTTTCAATATAATTTTAGAGGAATTATTATTATTGTTGAATCATTGTTTAGTACTTGGTCAGTTTCCATCAAAATTAAGGTGTTCCACCCATATTCCCGTGTCAAAAGTTCCACATTCTGAGCTATACAGTGTGTCCCAGAAGTCGACGTCAAGCCGAAACCGGGTGATAGGCAAAGTCATCACAGCTATCAGAAAAAATATTAAAAAAATTTTATGTATGTGTTTTGAAAATTATAGGTCTTTGAAAAAGATATAGAAATTTCACACCCTACGGCAGTCTGTCAACTCCTGTTACTACAAATATTAACTATTTTTGGATTTTATTTTTACAATGTAATGATGAATAATGCATCTTCAAACTGGTGTCTCAACCCTACTGCCAACTTTTCTCGTTCAGGAAAAAATGCCACTTATTTCCCAACCAAGTATTCCAAAGTAAAACTTTGCTCAACTTTAACTGGCTGTACTGGAAAAAAATGTACTACGAGAGTTTGGCAAGTAACCTTAAAAGTTGGCGCATTTAATAACGATTCCAAAATGGTATAACACTTAGAAAATTACTCGTTAACTTATGCACAATTTTTATTTGAAAAAAAACTGGTGAAAATTTTTCAAAATTTCCTAATTAATCAGCGATTATTAAAACGCACAAGGACCCTTAAGGATTACTGTTTGCACAACAGTGGGCGTCAAAATGCTGCTGATGATGATTTTCCTTTACAGCAAATGCTCAAACTGTTTTCCTTCAGCCGCAATACACGCTCGACATCTTCTTAAAAAAGATCGGGTTATTAAACGAGCGAATCCACGGTTATTAACAAACTCAGCTGCTTCCAATAGTCTTTGCCGTAGCTCAGCTACATTTTGAATCGGCTTGAAATACACTTTTTCTTTTACAGTTCCCCAGTAAAAAAATCTGAAGGATTCAAATCAGGTGATCGGGCTGGGCACGGCATTGTACCAGACCGCCTTATCCATCTGCCTGGAAAGTTTTGATCGAGATAGTCTCTCACTGAGAGTGCATAGTGCGCTGGGCAGCCATCATGCTGAAACCTACATGTCCCTGTAAATACTCAGTGGCACGTCCACCAATAAATTTTGTACATGATTTTTCAAAAAATCCAAATAAACTTCAGCAGTCAAAGTCTCTGGGAACTCAAACGGACCGATTATTTTACCATTTAAAATTCCTGTCCAATGGTTTATCTTGAAGCGATATTGAGATTTATCTTCTCTCATCAAATGTGGGTTTGCTACGTGCCACTCGTGTAAGTTATGCAGGTTCATGTACCCATCTTTCTTAAATGTGGTCTCATCCGACCATAAAATGTTTTCAAAGAACTGTGGATCTTTCCTGTGTCTTTCTAACATTGTGCGACAAAAAGCAACTCGGGCCTCATAATCCCGGGGCAGGAGAGGTTGAACACGCTGTATGTGGTATGGATGAAGCACATCACTTACTTGCTGTTGCACACTTTGATAACGATTAGTACTCCTTCGTTTACTGCGCATCTTTACATGTTCGTGCTTGTTGATTTCGTACTGTTACTAATTTTGGATTCGTGAACTGAACTGTTGATCGCTTGTGATTTGGATTTGGACTGTTTAATTGCTCTTCAAAACAACATTTGCTTTCCTTAGACTATCTTTGATAGTGTGATTGTGCAGTGCCGCTATGTCCGTGTACACCGTACAAGAATATGCTAACATGCACCTCATTTATGGGGAATGCAGATGCAACGCTAGTGCTGCAGCGCGACTTTACTGTGAGAGGTACCCGAATGCAGCTCGTCATCCAGATCATCGAGTGTTCACAAATGTGCACCGCTTACTGTTCTCAGAGGGCCAACTACCAAACCAATCACACGGTGAGGGAAGATCTTTCCTTCCTTACGAAGACGTGGTGCTAGGAGCTGTCGAAGAAGACCCGAGTACTTCAGTGCGTGCAATAGAACTAAAAACAGGTATGCCCAAAAGTACAGCCCATAGAATCTTGCAAAAAAACGTGCTCCATCCATAGCACGTACAGCGTGTTCAAGCTCTTCTGCCCCGGGATTATGAGCCCCGAGTTGCTTTTTGTCGCACAATGTTAGAAAGACACAGGGAAGATCCACGGTTCTTTGAAAAAATTTTATGGTCAGATGAGACCACATGTAAGAAAGCTGGGTACATGGACCTGCATAACTCACACGAGTGGCACGTAGCAAACCCACATTTGATGAGAGAAGATAAATCTCAATATCGCTTCAAGATAAACCATTGGACAGGAATTTTAAATGGTCAAATAATCGGTCCGTTTGAGTTCCCAGAGACTTTGACTGCTGAGGTTTATTTAGGTTTTTTGCAAAATCATTTAGAAAATTTATTGGAGGACGTGCCACTGAGTATTTACAGGGACATGTGGTTTCAGCATGATGGCTGCCCAGCGCACTATGCACTCTCAGTGAGAGAGTATCTCGATCAAAACTTTCCAGGCAGATGGATAGGGCGGTCTGGTACAATACCGTGGCCAGCCGGGTCACCAGATTTGAATCCGTTAGATTTTTTTTACTGGGGAACTGTAAAAGAAAAAGTGTATTTCAAGCCGATTCAAAATGCTGCTGAGTTTGTTAACCGTGGATTCGCTCGTTTAATAACCCGATCTTTTTTAAGAAGATGTCGAGCGTGTATTGCGGCTGAAGGAAAACAGTTTGAGCATTTGCTGTAAAGGTAAATCATCATCAGCAGCATTTTGACGCCCACTGTTGTGCAAACAGTTATCCTCAAGGGTCCTTATGCGTTTTCATAATCGATGTTTAATTAGGAAATTTTGAAAAATTTTCATCAGTTTTTCTTCAAATAAAAATTGTGCATAAGTTAACGAGTAATCTTCTAAGTGTTGTACCATTTTAGAATCCTTATTAAATGCGCCAACTTTTAAGGTTACTTGCTAAACTCTCGTAGTACATTTTTTTCCAGTACAGCCAGTTAAAGTTGAGCAAAGTTTTACTTTGGAATACTTGGTTGGGAAATAAGTGGCAATTTTTCCTGAACGAGAAAAGTTGGCAGTAAGGTTGAGACATCAGTTTGAAGATGCATTATTCATCATTACATTGTAAAAATAAAATCCATAAAAGTTAATATTTGTAGTAACAGGAGTTGACAGACTGCCGTAGGGTGTGAAATTTCTATATTTTTTTCAAAGCCCTATAATTTTCAAAACACATACATAAAATTTTTTTAAATATTTATCTGATAGCTGTTATGACTTTGCCTATCATCCGGTGTCGGCTTGATGTCGACTTCTGGGACACCCTGTATATAAATATCTTGGCAGGTATGCAGAATAGCATTTACCTTCAGTATCTGTTGCACTATCTAAAATAGTGAAAAACTTATTCGCCCATGAAGTTGTTGTTGATGCAGCCACTGCCTCTCCTTCTGGCACTTGTATTGGTTCGATAGGAGACGATACACTTCTGCCAGTTCCAAAAGATACTACGCACTGAATAGGAGTGTCTGGCCAAAGCAGCTTTGCTTCATGGACTGCTATTGCTGTTGGATTGTTAACTAGAATTCCTCCATCCTAATGGGTGTATAAACCATTAACAATATTATCGTGGAATCAGTGACAACTATAACTAATATTAGCGGACATCTTGTTTAAAGGATCAGGCAGAAGTTATCGCGGACCAAAAGCATCTGGAAGTGCTATCCCTACGTTGTGTCTTTCAGAAAATAAATAATCTCTGGCAACCCTGGGATCTGATTATATGAATTTCGATGTAACCTTTAACACTGCAAACTATATCAGAACCACGTTGAACGTGGCGTTTTGTGCCTATTTACGATGCATGTTAGCGTATGAACACCCAAATAGAATTAAGCAAAAGTTCAACGTCCTTGTACCGTTGTGAATAAAATTGGCATTTTTCCCGATGAAAAAATAAACATAATATATATAGCAAAAACCATATTTTTAGTGTATGACCATTAGTAAATAAAATAGCAGAGATATCTTATCCATATTTTAATTGTTTTTTCTTATGGGATAAAATAAATGTATGGTTTATGTTATAATCCTTGTCCCCTAACTTCTAAAGAGCAGTATTTGCAAAAAAAGTAGGAGTAGTTCTTATAAACCTTACATTCTTTGTCAGATTACCCAAACTACTGACGTACACTTGTTCAATGCTTCTCTAATATCTTTATATATCACCAAATCTCAAAACCAATAGTCTGATTGGATATTAGCTATAACTACGTATTTTCTACCTGGTGTAAAAGGTTTCCAAGCTTGAACTCCTCAAAATATGTTGGAGCCGCCGCTGAAGCTCTAGCTGCTTGCCATACTTCACAATCACAACATCCCTGATATTGAGATTGGAACTTCCACGGTATGGAATAATTTCGGAATAGATACGCCCTTAGTCTAGCTTGATTTACCACTGCTGACACACTACAAATCTAAGAAACCAAATGAATGAAAGATTGGTGGTAGACTAATGAATACCTATGTGTAGATATAGTTTAATGTAAAATCATGTCTAATGATCAGACCTCGGAGTAATCGATTTTAGTCAAATTTGGAAATACTCTTAAAGTTAAAGTTTGATACAAAGAATGTCCACAGGATTTCGCCTGGTAGATAAATACTACAAATAGTAGCCATTCTTTTAGAAATACTAATTTACAATAACAACTGGTGACATTACAGCAGTTTACAAAACGAGTGAACTCGTGGTGCATTTCATAATAGTCTCATTTAAATAGAAACCAAAGTTTTTTCTAGTATTATATGAATGGATTTCATTGTTTTTTCCCATGTAATCATCTAAATAATTCGGTAGTATTCCTTTTACAATAAATGTCATGGTTGAATTAAGATGTTGATTTATTGATAACCACTGTAGATTAACTAATTAGCATTTTTTACATCGAAGTTGCAGTGCTGACAGAAGCCTAACTGCCAGGACGGCTGCTACGAGGATCTCAAATGAAATTTTTTAATCCAATTTTTGAACTGCCTAAGATTAATATAACTGGGAAAAGCTTTCCTGCAGATTGTTTCACAATCTTGACAAAGGAGCTGCCGTATCGGATGTACGAAGTTCTACACAGTTAGGATGGGAGGCTGAAGTCAGGCGGGTCTGTCTAGCAGGCACATCCCGCGGCGGCATCATGGAGGAGAGCTCTGAGGAGTGAAGCCTGTTGGTAAAGCGGTAGACGAGAGCTAGAGCGCCGCTGATGCGAAAAGGTCACGGGACTATCTGTTAGAGAAGAGTCATCCATCAGTCGAACAGCCCTTCTTTGGACAGCATCGAGGATAAAAACTTTAGTCGGGGCGGGAACACTTCAAATGTGTGAGCAATACTTGAGGCTTGTAAAGAGGAGAAAAGTAGGTACTTCTTAGCCCTGAACAAATAGCCTAGCTATGTCCTAGCAGCTGCCGCCATTGACGAGATGTGTTCGTGCGAAGACCTCGGTGGACTCCGACTAGCCGAAATGAACGGTTCTTTGCCAGAACTCGGCCGTCCATCGACACTGAATGAGCGCTAGGAGGCTTTTTGTTGCAGTACTGTGTTTTGGAAGCACTAAACTGTGCGCAATTATTAGCATTCTCCTACTTTGTAATTTTTGTGGTAGGCCTATTTTATTCTTCTTGAAGAAATACTTTGAAGATGGACTATACTGAAAATGGGGTTTGATTATTGTGTTACAGTACCAAATTAATGGCTGGAGTAAGCGATACATCTGCAAAATGAGTTTCGGGAGCTACATATGTTTGCTCTGGCCTATGAATAAAAATATAGATGTTGAAAAAAATGGCTTATTTCTATTCACTGTTTAGAGTTATCTTAACATATTCACTTTTAAAAGCATGCATGTTGCAGTTGTTCTAATTATGATGATCCAAACCATCCACTGATCCACAATTTGACTGCAACTAGGGTTGACAGACCTATTCCAAATGTGAAAAATCTGGCTCAGGATTCTTTTTAAAGGAGGCCTTTCAATTCTCAATGGCTCAATTTCGATTACCAATGACATCTAAGAAACACTTTTTGTGTGTATGCTTTTCCATGGTTCTGCATCATAAGTGAGATCTACCTTTGGACAATGTGGATCTCTAGCTGTCTGACTAAGTGTGATTGTTCCTAAGTATTCTTTTAACTTCTTTTCCCACAATGTTGTATCATAATATGAATGGCTCCAAACCAAACTACCAGTACCTCTCCATGATGACTGCTTAAAAACTTCTCTACTAAGTGTTTCATAAATGAAAGCTACTTCATCTAAAGGCCTCCGATGGAAGGCTGCAAAATTAAAAATGTTTGTATAAGTATATGGGAAATATAACAATAATTTTATAGAAAATGAATATATAAAAATAATATGTATTCCATATATTACTAGAAATATATATTATATACCTATAGCATAAGATAGAAGAGCTCCAGTACTAACACCACATACAAAGTCAAATAGACGATGAATTCTTTCACCAGTAAGTTCTTCTAACTTCATCAGCATTTCTAATACAAGTAGACCTCGGATTCCTCCCCCATCTAATGAAAGAATTCTGATCCCACTCTTAGGTACAGGGTCAGAATAACCTAATATTGCTAAGGCTTCTCTTATTGCTTCTAATAGTGCTATGTTTTTTGTATTTGAGCGAAGTTTCAGAAAGAGCCTTATAGCTCCTACCTTAATGTAAAATTAAGTATGTTAATTATTATAACTTCACATATATTAAAAATGCATTACCTTAACTGCTTTGCTTCTTACTTCAGGATATTTCCTAATATGACTCAATAACTGTTCTGTTAAACTCAAAGCTAAATCATCAGAAACTGCTATTTCTATTGAATGTAAAATTTGGTCTGTTCTACTGGATATACACGTCTGGAAGAGTTCCTCAGATACAATACTGATTTTATGAATGGTTTAATGAATACATTACCTCAGATACCCCAGCATTCTTCTTCCAAGGTTTTGATATGCTTGAGGGTTCCTTTGGAATAACCTTAATTTTTTCCTCACTTTTAACTGCTGGCAATCTTTTTTCTTCCTCTCTTTCTTCCAACGCAATATTTTTCAGCACTCCTATGTTCTCAAAATATTTCACAACTTGGTTTCTGTACAACGACGGTGGTCCTTTTTGAATTAAGTCTAAGAACTCTCGAGTGAAGTTTTGAACTACTGTCTTATCCGATGTAATTTTTGTTATAGTGTCTCTAAGGTTATTTAAAAGCTTCCACTGGTTATAACTCATTTTTAAAATTAAAAATTTCGTCGTATATCGTATTTGAATATATTGTTGTTTGATTTAAGGTTAGGGCTCTGATGTCAATTAATCAGCTGATGTTATGACGTTCATGTTAAAAATAATGCTCGTTAGGCTCCTCTCAAACTGTTCGATTACTTGCAGTAATTTTTGTGAATATTTGGTGCAACTCTGTTTGTGCGACATGGAGGTATATAGGAAACTACACAGAGACACTATCCATTGGAATACAGCTGGTTGTTTGGCCTGTGACTATTTAAAATCTATCAGCAACATTCAAAAATTGTAACGAAGTTGCCCATGTGCGGTGAACCATATTCACAAGTGTAAACGACACTTAACGCCAACAATTTGTAAACAAATTTTAACAGTTGTACAGTAGGGAGGTTAGGTGCAAGTGGTTTAAAAAACTTTTTATTTTTAAGTGAAGAATTCGTTTTTTAGAGAAATTTTGGAGTAATTTTGCAATACACAAGGTTGTATTTTGATTTCATAATATGACTCAAAATCATTAAAATTTTTCTCTAGGTGTACATGTGGACTATTATTAAATGGGCGCAAATCATAATCAGAAACCAAAATTGCTATTTTATTTAGCGAAGCTTATTTTTCCTAAAACGTGGCAGTATTGGATTATACTCATGTACTTAAACTACCAAAGAATTTCCAGAAGGAAGTATAAATATAATCTGGTTCAAGTACCAGATGAGTTTATTTTTTATCAGACCCAATCATATAACTGCTTCAAGGATATTAACAATTCTATCATTGTTAACCCATCAAGCACTTATGACTGTGATAGATTAATAACCTTATTTCATGAACCAAGTGAAAAATGTAGAATCGTTCATGTAATACAATCACCACAATGTAGTGAAAATGATATTCTACTCAGTAGTGTATTACACTTCAACTTGCAAAATGCAGGAATTGAGAATGGAGTTAATTTAATGGGTTTAACTAAAGAACAGATACAATTTGCAGATGAAATTGAAGTGTCTTTTGTGAAAAATCCTTGGGAAATAAATAACTCCTTAACAGATGCCCTCTTGGAAAAATATTTTAGTACTCCCAAAATTGTAAAGCAAGATGACATGATTGAGATAAATATCAAACATTTTGCTGAGGATTTTTACTATTCACATGACAAATTAGATGGAATTGAGAATGTGTATTTCAAATGCACAAAGCTGCGAGTTGGTATGAAGGAAAGTATAGAGAGTTGTTTCAGTATCCCTGGAAAAACTGTCATAAAAAGAATGCTAGGTATCCAAAGACTGATTCCTAAGAAATTTAAAAAAACTACTAAATCAACTGGGCTGAGTGAAATACCACTTGCCCCTTACGGATTACAGGGTTTACTTGATATGATGAAGAAATCAGTTAATCCCTTTTTGAAGCAAAGTAAGTATGTGGAAACTGTAAGTCGATTGTCACATAAACGTGTCCTGGTTTTACCTAAAACTTATCAATATTCAAATTAACTTACCTTGAATCAGCCAAAAGGCTTGTTTAGTAATCTGACTGTAGTGCTAGCAACTCTTTCAGAATGCTACAGGATTTCATTATTCTTGACCTGAGATATTTTTTTCAGAGAAAATAAACCTCAAGCCAGTTTTTCTAGTGCAAGGACCCATAGGTAGTGGAAGAGAATTGCTTGTGACAACATTAGCTTCTCAATTAGGAATGCATTTTTACAAAGTTCAAAGTACTGAACTAATGGCTAGTGTTTATGTGCAAAATGAAACAAAGCTGAAAAATGTACTTTTCAATGCCCGAAATGGCGCCCCATGTGTAATGTTGATAACAAACTTTGAGGTGAGCTCTCTACTGCCTAGTATATCCCAATATTTTAGATATTATTTGAAATGAAAGTGTTGACATGTGTCAATTTGTTTTGGATTACAATAATCCAGATATGCACTATCCTATCGTCACTTTCTTGAAAACAACTCTTTTAGTAAGGGAAGAAATGTGGTATGATGGTGATCTGGCACATTTTAGCATTCATGCTAGGGATTTTCTAAATGAAGCATTTACGAATCGCTGCATAGGATGAGGGGGAACTCAATCTTGGCCTCCGAGGTTCCCTGATTTAAATAGTTAGACTATTTTTTGTGGGGGCACCTCAAAGTTTAGTTTATACCAGATCGCTTCAAACTGTAGAGGAACTAAGGCGGACAATTTTACTTTCTTGCCAAACCATAAGAAATACTCCTGGAATTTTTGAAAGAGTTCACCAATATGTGTGAAAGAGAATTGAAGCATGTGTATTCAAGAAGAATTCTTGTGATAATTAATTTAAATAGTATCAGTTTATTTGATCGACAGAAATTGTAAAAACTTGTTTTTTTATTTAACTTCTATTCAAGAAAAGTCAATTGATTAAAATAGCCAAAATGGTTTTTATTTTTTACGCCGAAACGTTGCATAGGACGAAAAAAAGTCGAGGTGAAATTTGTAGTAAAATAAATGAGGATTTAAAAAAATCAACTTGTAGATCAGAATTGTAATTATGAATATTTTAGAAACATCCCTCCAAATACCATATACATACATATAATAATCCATAAATAGTTTTCTTTGAATAGTTGTTTAGGAGTAATACTTCGTTCTCGTACGGTTGGGACACCCTGTATGGAACCATAATGCTTTTCAGAATTTCGGAAAAAATAATGAAAACCAATTCGATGAACGGTTGATAACAGGTTTTGCTGATGAACTAAATGTACTCTTTGAAAACAACTTCAGACCAGTCCTCTTATTTTGTTCAACGTCGTCTAAGACTACCCCATTCAGTCTGAAAAAGCTGTTCATAGACACGTTCGAAGTAACGTTGAACGATACAGACAGAAAGGAGAACATAAGGTGGATATTAGAAGATAGAGGATTGAAAACAGACATGAACTTGGAGGAAATTGAAAATAAAACAAAAGGGTTAGTGTTTGAAGATTTAAGGGCGTTGGTATATTATGCCGAAGTAGATGCTAGGAAAAGGAATAACAAAGGGAACTGGTTGGGTCAAGACAGCATCGACAAAGCTATAGGTAAATTTAAATACACTAATTGACAAACAATATAACACTTAATAAAAATGATTTTATTTGAACAAAGTTACGTATATGGTTAGACATAAGCTATTTCACAGGCTACAGCTTCAAAATTAGAGTTTTTAAATTCCCTGGCTACCGCCCAAACGGCTTAATATATTTTGACATGAAAAGTGTACTCAGATTCGTCTTGATAGCACATTAGAATCTTTAATTTTCAGCTACTGCAGTAGGGCTATTTGTATTTTTTGAAAATGTACTTGTTTTGCGAAACATTTATATTCTAGATTATAGCTTTCCAGCGATTTATTCAGTTCACCACAGAATTTATAAAGAGCTGAATGATATTGAAATCTGTGAGAGAGTAACCGCAAAATTTACAATTTTCAGATTTTATGCAGGCTATCTATAGTGAAGGAATTGGAGCACCTAAAGTACCGAAGGTCGAATGGTCTGATGTTGGGGGTATGAACGATGTCAAAGAAGAGATAATTAAAGTAATAAATTTGCCTTTAAAACACCCGGAACTGTTGAAAAAGTCGGGACTCGGGAGATCAGGTGAGTACTGCGTCTTGATACTTTACCGCGACTATAGACAATTTTGTTCCTTAAAGTCGACACCCGTCCATAGTGGTCTTGATTCTACTTTTTTATCCTTTGCGAATTAATTTGCATCTGTTTAGGTATACTGTTATTTGGGCCTCCTGGCACTGGAAAAACCTTGATAGCAAAAGCTGTGGCTACTGAATGTAGCTTATGTTTTTTGGCCGTAAAAGGACCAGAACTACTGAATATGTATGTGGGCCAATCGGAGCAAAATATAAGAGAAGGTGAGACATTTTTATATACCATCTTGAATGAAGGAATCAACATGGTGAAATAACTACCAACCAAACTAAATGCTTGACTTTTCTAAAATCATATCTGATTATTACAAACTGGCATATTTCTCATATTTATTGCCAGTCATGTGCTACCCGCGTCTTTGTAAGCGTTAAATTGTTACTAACATATAACATTGATTCTGAGTATTATCATAATAGCATTACATTAGTAGACAGTCAGCTTGCATGCTTGGGAAATTTGATTATTAAAGTAAAACCATGGGGAGAATCATTGTACCCTTTAAGCTGCTAGAATTCTTACAAAATAATTTACCAAATTTATTGGAAGACTTGCCACCAAGCATTTAGAGAGACATGTAGTACGTTCAGTTAGAGAATATCTTAATGCGGAATACCCAAGCAGAAAGATAGGGCGGTTTGGTATAATTTTGTGACACCTGACTAGAATCCACTCGATTTTTATTTTACTGGAAAGCGGTGAAAGAAAATGTTTACTCAATGCCAATCGAAAATTTTGTTGAGCTACGGGACAGAATAAGGGAAGCAGTTGAATTTGTTAATAACCGCCTGATAACCTGATCACCTTTAAGATGTCAATCTTGCATTGCTGCTGATACAAGGCAGTTTGAACATTTATTGTGAATTAGTATAGAAGAATTAGTAATACATTTACGAACCGATAAAAGTGGTGTTACTATCTGCCTTGCTGTCACTACGTAGAATGACACTATACGTCACTCCGTCTGAGAACAAATTGAAATTTGTAGTAATGGCTATTAAAAAATCACCACAGTGTGTAGATTTTTCCGATATTTTTAAAGCGCATAATTTGAAAAGTACGACTTAGATTTTTTTATATTTTTCTGATAACTATTATGACTCCGTTTCCAGCTTAACATGGACATCTGGGACACTGTGTATAAACTTGAAAAGTGATAAGGTTCCCAATAGAAATATTCAACCCCCTCCTACCCCATCTTGATGATATAATTTCTGAAATTCTTTGTTAATAATTATTTTAAACATAAAAATTAAAATAAAACATACTTCTACTTTTAGGCTGGAATAATTTAAAATATTCTTAATTCTCGACAAAAATTTGAAAAGTGTGAATTTCCAATTTACCCCATTATGGGTGGAATTTACAAAACTTCTTTGTAAATGACCATTTACATTATGTCAAAAAACCGATCATACGAATCCAATATCTATCTTTAAAAAATAATAGTTTTCCCACAGTAGCTTTTACCCTTTATTTCATCCTCTCCAAGTTCTCCCAACAAAAGGTAGCTTATGTCCGTCTCCAAGGTCTAATCTATACTAAGTGACACATAAATCCGAACACCCAGTTTAAATGGTTTTATTTTAATAAAATTTTGTATAAGTACTTAATGAAGCATAATAAGTAAATGATAAAAATTTCAAAATGATTGCACTGCTTTAAAGCCCTTTGACCTTTAATAATGTGTGGATGCACCCTGATGTGCTACGCATTCTCCAACGCGCCTAGGCATGCTTCTGATCAGGTGGTCAATGTCCTCCTGTGGTATCTCATTCCAGGCAACCACCAACTCCTCTCGAAGTGCTTCTAGAGTCTGAGAAGGACGTTGCAAATTGAGCAATCTCCTACCCATCATATCCCACACGTGCTCAATTGGGGATAAGTCGGGAGATCTTGGTGGCCATGGTAACAATGTGACATCATTATGTTGAAAGAAGTCTATTGTGACTCTTGCAACATGTGGTCGGGCATTATCTTGTTGGAAAGTTGGATCTGCCAGGGTGTCTAGATAGGGTAAAAGATGGGGTTCTAGAACTTCGTGGATATAACGCTGCGCGTTCATGTTACCTCTGATGAAGATTAAAGGTGACCTGGAACCATAAGCTATAGCACCACAAACCATAACTCCAACAGTGTGATGAACATGTCTTTCAACAAAAAACTGTGGATTCCTCCTTTCACCACGTCGCCTTCTAACCCTGGCACGACCATCGTGCATGCCTAAACAAAATCGAGACTCTTCACTAAAGACAATACTGTTCCATTCCTGATCCCAGAGTGACCGTTGTCTGCACCACTTAAGGCGATTACGTCGGTGTTCTCGAGTTAAAGGGTCGGTAAACACTTCGCATGCCAATAGGTCTTCCGTGTTCTGCAAACCATTCATTTGCAATGGACCTGGTAGTGGAGAAACGGTCCCTTAAGGCCAATAATCTTAGGCGGTGATCTTCACGGTCTGTTGTTCTACGGCGGCGTCCAGTGCCCTTTGCTCTTTGCGTACGGCCTTCTCGAAGCCATGCCTGACAACACCTAACCACAGTGTCTACACTTCTTTGCACTCTAACTGCAATTGCCCGAAAAGAAAGTCCAGCTTCCCGAAGTCCCACTATACGGCCCCTATCAAACTCACTAAGTTGACGAAATCGTACAGGTCTCCGTACTCTAGGCATCGTAACCGATCGTAAAGGATGTCAAGAACCAAAATCCGCCAACGTTGATTCTTTACTGCGGCTGAAATATTCATTTTTAGAGCGTTAGTGAATTAAAAAAAAGCAGTATAAAAACCGGAATGTCCAACTGATAAGGCTTTTTCACTTGTTATTTACAGTAAGATTCACCAACTTTTATTAAAATAAAACCATTTAAACTGGGTGTTCGGATTTATATGTCACTTAGTATATATATGTGGTAATATTTGTACATACATACAAACATTCATACACACTTTCACATTTAGTAGTGATTCTCGAAGTATTGAATTAGCCTGTTTGTGTTTTAGTCTTCGAACGCGCTAGAGCTGCATCGCCCTGTATAATATTTTTCGACGAACTGGATTCTCTTGCACCTAACCGAGGACTTTCTGGTGACTCAGGAGGTGTTATGGACAGGGTTGTATCGCAACTTTTAGCGGAGATGAATTCCCTGTCCGACTCGGGTAATGTGTTCATTATTGGTAAGACTTTTTGAGGAGACAAAGTTTAATCGGCATATATTTTTTGGAAATTCTATATTTTCAGGTGCTACCAATCGTCCCGATCTTATAGATCCTGCGCTATTGCGACCCGGAAGATTTGACAAGTTACTGTATGTCGGTCCATGTACAGATGTGCAGTCAAAGCAGTCAGTTTTGACGGCTTTAACTCGAAAGTAAGTTGGAATATAATTGAGCATCTTTTGCTTGGGTGTGATTTGAAGCTATTGGATTGATGATGATGTATCTAGTGTCCGACTGATCTTTCGGTTTAGGCCAGTTTCGGTCCAAAATCAGAGTTTCAGTTTAGTTTCGTTTTCGACAGAAAATCCGCCGAAACTGCAACCGAAACTACGTTCGTATGTTTTCTCAGTTACAAATCATTGAGGACTTCCAGTTCAGGCTCAATTTCAGGCAGGATACTCGAAACAGTTTGTTTATGCAAACTGAATTTCCTAAAAAATGTCATAGTTATTAATCGTTTTTGTTTGTGGTCTTTGAATAATTCTTCTAGAAAACCATTATTTATAAGGTCAAGGATACACACATCATCGCTTAAAATGTCATCATGGCCAATAAAATCCATTTTGAAGACTAAAAATGAATTAGACGATCTCTAAACTCCAAAAAATGATCGTTTAAGTCAAACACAGTTTATAAAATCTAAACGGGGCGTAAGTACTTGTGCAATAAAAATCAAACTAGGCTTTCCGTGTAAGCTAAAGCTGAGTAGTATCGGTGTAACAGGCAATAAGTTGTTATTTTTGTTTTATTGTTTGTTTTTTACAAAACGTTGAAAATTTGTGTTCCAAGAGTCACATGTAGTTTTAGTTATGATACCCTAACGGGCAACATTTTGAACACTTATTGAAATAAAAAGTGATATTTTCGTGTGTTTTTGTTTTCGATATGAACAAATTAAGATAAATGAAGATTTTTCTAATTTTCTTGAAAACGAAACGACCGATTTTAAGAAATCAAACGTTTTATTTTCGAAAGACCTTTCAAATAAGCTATTACTCGATACACCTTGTCACTTAAAATTTTTAAGGGGATGACTCTGGGGGACAGAGGGTGAAAGGAGGGAAGTAGTTTTTGTTTAAAAAGTTGTCCCCCTTGACAAATCTTTTGACGTGTGTCGTCGTTTTTTCTTTTAATCAGTGGTTTTCGATAAATCCGTGGTGGGATTTTTTCAAATGAACACCATGTATATAATTTTTAGTAAACACTTATTATTACATTTTATATAGAGTCTGTTTTTTCTTTAATAATTAACTGCTATTATTATCACTAATAATCGATAAAGACTAGTTTTTTCTTGGAGATACACTATCATACTTTCCATGGAACCAACCTTCCATATGCAATATCATACGCCTCAGTTACAAGGTTCGGTTTCGGTTTCAGCTGAAATACTAGTTTCGGTCGGACACTAGATGTATCATCCACTTTGTTTTTTCAGGTTCAAGATTAAAGAAAAGACAAACTTGGCAGATGTAGTAAACTCCTGCCCAGAGTACGTAACTGGCGCGGATTTCTATGGTATGTGCGCAAATGCTTGGTTTTCAGCTGTTAAAAGACTGGTCAAGAAGGTGGAATCAGGTAATGTTTATTTTAGTTATAGTCTAACCAATATTAATAATCGAAATTTGCGCACAAAAATTCGTAATTCTCTTTGTTTTTCCTGACCGTTAAATAAAACCATATATGTAGAATTGACTGTTTACTGACGTTTCGGTCACCTCAAGGTACACATCAGAAATGACGATGATGTTAGTGTCTTGTTAATCCTTGACTTTCCTAAAGCGTTTAATATTCGCTTCGCATAATCAATCTCAAATTATGCTAAGCATAAAGGTGTGAAACTCATTGCGGAAAAAACTAGAATTATGCTGTTCAGCCGAAAAACGAATAATAATTCACTAAAGAACCTTTTTATTGGAGTTTAGTGATTGAGTTACAAACCTTGGAGTAATTTTCGATGGAAAACTAAGTTTCCGTCAGTCAAATCTCTAGAAACTGTTATTTATCATTACGGCTTATATATGGAAACAAACACGTTATGACTAAATCTTTTAAAGAAGCGTTTTACGAAAGCTTAGTAATACCCAGAAGCCATCGAGGTGTCCAAAATCTCAGTAAACAGACATACTACATCAGTGGTTTGATGTATTGTCCGGAAAAACATAGAGAATTATCAGTATGAAAACCGCACAATTGCATTGGGGACAATATATAATATTATAGTCTGTATAGCCATAAAAAAGAAAAAAATAGAAGGAGAACAAATATATATACAGTAATGGACAAATATAGTATATAGACAAATTAATATTGTGTTTATTTCTTTTTTAATTTGTTTTATTAATACACCAACCTGTATAAATAATTCATTATAGCACAATACTCACTTATACATAAATAAATGCATTAGTCTCCCTTCAATTTAAAATTTATTGAAAAAACTGGAACTATGAAGGACAAAAATATATAGACAAAGCAAAACAATTATAGAAAAAAGAAGCAAAGTTCATTGAATTATACAAAACCAACCATGTTTGTGTTAATATTTTGTAGCTTAACCATTATTATCAATCACCGCCTGGCATCGTCTCGGCATAGATTGTAGAAGTTTCTTGATATAAGATTCATCAATCTGTCTCCACTTTTGCTCTAAAACGGCAAAAAGTTCATCCTTGTTTGAATAATTTTTATCTCGTATTTGCTTATCTAAGTATTCCTATAGATTTTCAATGGAGTTTATATCGGAAGACTGTGAAGGCCATTTGAGAGCTGGTATTTTTTCATCCAGAAAGAATTTCTTTGCGAGATTTGAAGTTTGCTTCAGGTCATTATCTTACGGGAAGATTGATCTTAATGGTATATTGTCTTCCATATAGATAACATGATATGCTTTAGTATGCCTGTATATACAAACTTATCCATAATGCCATCTATTCTATGTAAAGATCCCATCCTAAACCCTGAAAAGCACCCCCAAACCATAACAGACCCGCCTCCATGTTTGACAGTGGGCAAAGTGTACTTGGGGTTCAATCTTTGTCCACTAGGACGTCTAACGTAATCAACACCATCTGATCCAAACATATTGAACTGGGATTCGTCACTGAAACATACTCTCTTCCAGTCACAGATGCTCCAATCAAGAGGCAACCGTACACATTGTAATCGGTCTTACGGTTTTTCCTCGAGATTAGCGGCTTCTTACTCGGGCGACGTGCAAATAACTTCAAATCATTTAATCTCCTACTTATAGTTTTCGTAGAAACACTGGCACTTCCTTTTGTCTCGATTTCGGCTTTTATTTGTCTTGGGGTTTTAAACGGATCTTTGGACGAATTACTTTTATTAATCTAACTGATCTAGCATTTAGATTTCTAGGCCGACCGCTTCTCTTAGAGGCTTCCAAGATACCTTTTTGTTTATATTTCTTCAATATTGCTCAAACTGCTTTACGCTTCAGCTTCAAATTTTTGGCAATGTCTACTTGACGTTGACCATCTTTGTATAACTCAATGATCTTAGTTTTCACATCGAAAGAAATCTGGACCACGCGTTTTAAAATTACTCAACTTATTCCACAATACTTGATGAACACAAACTAATCCTCTTCTGACACGAAACTGTACTAAACTAATGCTGAAAAGAATTTGTCTACATATTTTTGTCGCTCATAAAAAATTGCTTATATTCAGACTTGCATTGTGTTCATTGCAGATAATGTAAAAACAAGCAATTTAGTTTTTCTACTAATAACGCATTTGTTTATGGAGCAATGAAGTATGGATTCGTTTTCTAAAGGTATTTAGGTAAATATTCATATTTGTCTATATACTTTTTTCCATTACTGTTTATATATATATTGCCGAAGTGGGGGGTTTTTCTAGACAAAACACCTTATATATCAGTAGCTAATTACCAAAACCCCATAGTATGTTAGATCAATTTTCTTCTTTTGAATTGGTTTATCCAAATATGCAATAAAATTTGAGGCATTCTATTTGAAAAATCACAACTTTGGTATGAGGGTCGAAAATGGGACACCCTGTATAATGGCCAATATTTTAGAAATGTGCCCTCAAATGTATAACATCCTATAAATAGATTTTCCCAAAGTGTATTTGTTTATGAGTAATATTCCGTCCACACATGGATGGGCTACCCTGTTATACAGGGTGACTTTGAAGTTGAGTCATTAATTTTCAGATAATGATTGTAGAAGGAAGATAAACCAAAATATGTGTGTAAAAATAAAAAAAAAATAAAAAAAAATGTTACCTTGTTTTATAAAGTATCCTCCCGACAAGTATTTCAGTGCGGACCTGTATTTGTTCGTCCGGTCTTGGAGCACCGGCATGCCCTCCCCTGTGAGGTCTTAAGTCACCTGATTCACGAGCCCTTTGTACTACATCAACAAAGGCACGAGGGGTTGGTTGCACTCGATTAAATAAGAATCATGTCCACAAGTTCACAAGTTCAGCATTTTCGTAAACGTGTGCCATTTTATATTTCGTTTGAGCCACGCAACAAACACCACTATTCACTCACGTGTTACCGACTGAAACATTGACTGACATCGTGATAAACGTTTCAAATTCTTTCGCTTTTTTGTTTCCGATGCGATGAACCGATAAGGCGGATTATATCCGTTGTTGCCAAACACGAGCACATAATATTATTATTGAGACAGGGCGGTATTCAAACCCCTAAAGGGCTATAACTTTGTTAATTTAATTTTACCAGAAAAATTTTAAAGAAAAAAACATTTCTTTTGATCAGATCTACTCACTGTTAAAATAAATGACTCAACTTCGAAGTCACCCTGTATATACATTATATATATATATATATACATTATATATATATATATATATATGAAGCCTATAGTAGAATATTTGAAGATTTTTGGATCTATTTCTCGACTAATTTTGGAATCCAAAGATTTTGAGAAGCGCGGCCTGGAACAGAGAGACTTGATACTTTTATATCCATATATCTTGTAATTAAACAACAGTTGGAATGAAACGCCGTTTTTGCAAATATATGTGGTTTTGTTTTCATGTTAAAAATACTTTTCCAGATAAGTTCCAAAGTAGAACAAGCTATAGCAAAGATCAAATCGCGTATCGAATTATTCGAATAGTGATTCATAGATTTTGATAGTGATTAGATTGATGAGATATGAGAGTTATGCCTGGTTTTTCTTTTTCAAGGTGAACTGTCTGAACACGATGTATCATCCCAAGATGTTGTTGTCAGCTCCAATGATTTTTCAGATGCCTTGAAACACTTGACCCCTTCAATCAGCGCTGAAGATTTGAAGTACTTTGAGTCATTACGAAAGGAACTTAGTTCATATAAGTAGCAAATGGTTATTTTTGTTGTGTTTATCCGCTATATTTGTTACAAAGTATATTTAAATATATATTTGTTTTTATCAGGTCTTTTTTTTGATCGTCTGGCAAATTCCCCCGATAGCGACACGTTAACCTTTTGGTACGAGGTCTGTAAATTAAGTAATGAGACTAACTTTTAATTTTGTTTTACTCTTTTACTTTTGGAACCACTTTGCGCAGATTTTTCTCATCCCCAATTGATTGGTCAAAATCTGATGAACGGTGGTGTAAGTCAAATTTAATTCTTCCCCGATCATTCTGGCTGTCAACCAACGATCTGAACGCACAAGATCCCGGATTCTGTCGATGTTTTCATCGGTTCTTGAAAAGGCCTTTCGCTACGTGGTTCATCTTCTGAAAATGCTTTAAACTACCGAAAATCCAGGACTCTTGACAAAACACTATCTCTGTAGGTCTGCTGAAGTCTAGCAAGGGTTTCCCTTGTTTGACAAAAAAATCGCTACGGACAACCAAATGACTCGAGCGAACTCAAACTTGTACTGGAGGCGGATCACGTGTTCCCCTGCCTTCCCTCCAAGCCCGGCGCCTCCAGTGTTGCCAGATCGAAAGCTACGTTGCCAGCTTCTTTACTTAATTTACAGACTTCGTATGTTTCATCTAAAACAGGTGAATGTTCTACCAGTGACATAAAAATGAAATGCTTGAACAGGAGGTATTAACTCCTCATGTATATCAAGGTAACTGCGAGGAAATTATTCACGTCAAAATAAAAATTGCTAATCTACAGAATGATCCCTTACATTTCGACAGGAATAATCCACATAAAATTGTTTTCGTATACCGAAGCAGCAGCCTAAAAAAAACTTTGTTAATCCGTTCTTTAAACTGCCTAAGGTTAGTAGAACTGGGAAGAACCTCCTAATGTAGATTGTTCCACAATCTCGATATACAAGGGACAAAGGAGCGGTCGTATCGGCCAGTTCTGGAGGTACGACCGGTTAGGATGTGAGGCCGAAGTCAGGCGGGTCTCTTTGGCAAGCACATCACGCGGCGGCATCATGGAGGAGAGCTCTGAGGAGCAAAGTCCATTGTCGTGGCGATAGAAGAGAGTTAGTTCGCGATGGCCCGCCGTCCGTTAGAAAAGAGTCATCGATCAGCTCTTTGGTAGAATTCGCACATCCATCGAAACCGAGTGGTTCTTGCTAACCGACGTTTAATTACGACTATGATGTCGTCGGCATAGCCCAGGCAGTAAAAGCCTTCGGCAATAAGTTATTGGAGACGTGTCTCTACCAGGATTGCCCATAAAAGGGGAGTTCAGGTTGGCCTCTATCTACTGGCCTAGCGCGCCAGGAACCATGCTGTGGTGTAACGCATTCACCAACGATTGCGTTGTTAAATGCAGCTTCTATATCTAGATAGGTTGTTACTTCTATCTCTTGTAATGCCTTGCAGCCTGCATAAGTCATCCAGAGCAAAATCGGTTGATTCCCCTAGATGATATGCATATTGACGATTACTGAGTGGGTCCGCCTCCAGTGCTTTGTCACTTATGTCCAATATTCAACAACCTCTCCAAAATTTTGAGGAGGAGTGATGTCAGGCATATTGCCCTATATGATTTGGCAGTTAAGTTTGATACCCTATTTTCGGCAGGTAGACGACCTTTGCCTTCCTCCACATATAGGGAACACATTTTCAGGCCAAGCAAGCCCTGAAGTCTTCAATTATATGCGGAATAAGCACCTTTTGTCCCTTTTGCAAGAGAACAGGGTATATGCCATCTACTCCTGGGGATTTGAATGGTTGGAATTGCCAAATTTTGCGGCCCGAGCGAGTTTCTGGTGCCACAGCCGTTACGGGTATTACGTGTCTTGAAAAGGGACATTAATAATTCCATTGGATTCTTGTCTGAAATACACCTACTTGAGATTATGAGCTAGAAATTAGTTGCGTATCCACTTTTTCTTATCCATTCTGGAAATTACATATGTAAATTTGCTGAATTTCAAAAATGAGAGAGATAAGAAATAATTATGTTCACTGTTTCGAAATTTTGGGATATCCTGTATTAAATTTAATCAATTGTTCACTGAGAAGCAGTTCTTTCCCTGAAAATTTGAAATGCTCTACAATAACGCCAGTTCCCAAAATAAAAAATTCTAAAAGATGCAGCGATATGAGACCAGTAAATGTGTTACCAGACATTGAAAAATTATTAGAGTGCATGACCAATTAATGCAGTTTATAGAAGAAAACAAAATTTTAGTGGAGGCGCAAGCAGGCTTTCGAAAAAAATATTCCACAGAAACAGCTTTCCAGTTGCTAACTGAGAATTGGAGAAGAGCCATAGACTCAGAAGAAGTTGTCATAGCAGTATTTTTGGATTTGAAGAGGGCATTTGAAACGATTGATAGAGATATTTTGTTAGGTAAATTGAAGGCATATGGTATAACAGGAAGTGTTTTAGATTGGTTTAGAAATTATTTGTCTAAAAGGATGCAAGTTACAAAAGTTAATGACACTATTTCATCAAAAATTGAAAATACGTTGGGTGTTCCACAGGGCAGTATCCTGGGACCACTTCTTTTTATTTTATACATAAATGATTTACCTGCCATAGTAAAAAAATGCAAAATTCAAATTTTCGCCGATGACACTATGATTTATATAAGTACTAAAAATATTCAGTCTGGTATCTCTTATATAAATGAAGACTTGAAGCTTGTCTCAAAATGGTTAGCATCTAACAGACTAAAATTAAATGCAAGTAAAACGAAAGCCTTGTTAATTGGAAAAAAACAATGTACAAATGTTCAACTGAATATTGATGGTGAAGATATTGAATTCGTAGAAAATTTTAAATACCTGGGGGTTTTTGTTGACTCTCGATTAATTTTTGATATTCATTATGAAAAAGTTATAAATAAGATTAGTAGTAAAGTGGGATATTTATCGAGAGTTTCTGGATGTCTGAGTTCATATAGCAGAAAAATTATCTATAATACCATCATTCTTCCAAATTTCTTGTACTGTTCGACTATTCTATATTTAGCAAATAATTCCATTTTTGAAAGACTGCAAATTTTACAAAATAAGTGCATGAGAATAATACTAAATAAAGATAAATATACTCCAATTAGGCAAATGCTTACCAAATTAAAATGGCTCAATGTAAAAAATTTTATCAAATATCTTGTAATGATATTCATTTATAAAGTAAAAAATAATATATTTCCATCAAGTCTAACTAATTTAACATCATCAAATGTCGACCATCATTTACATAATACCAGAAATAAAGATGACTTCCATTTAATGACCAAAAAGTATAACATATGCTACAAATCTGTATTCCATCAAGGGTTGATTGAATATAATAAATTATACTCGGAGATAAAAGACCAGAAAACTTTGACAAAATTTAAAGTAAAATTGAGAAGTCACTTGTTAAATCTACAATTATAGGTTGCCCAGCATTTACATCATACACTATATGGCTTGAATTTACTAGTTCTAAGTTGTTTACAATTGTTCTGTTTATGTAGCCAAATGTGCTAAATAAATCTTTCTACTACTACTACTACTACTACTACTGTACACTGTCGTGTCACAAGTCATATACATGCTAACAGAAATTACACACAACGCGGGCGCGGTGGCGATTTCCCGTAATTGTTTTTGAAAACACAAAAAAACGTAAAAAATCGTAATTTATAACTTTGAACATAACGTGTCTTCAGAAAGGACCACATACAAATAATCCGTTGGGTACAGCTAATATATATATACTTCATTGGTAGCATATTCAGTAATGATTTTCTCACATATCACTGATTTTATGCACATGCAAACCAACACACATAGTAATGCAGATGCAATCTTGCTATTCAACCAACTTTCTTCTCAGAGACGAAAACTTCAGTTTCGCAAAACATATGCAACCAATAATGCGTGTAGTTGAGCCCTTCTTCCATAGTTGAACGCTCACAACGATCCTAGTGAGCAAATAGGGAATGACTGCGCACCCTAAAAACTACCTAGTCTGCAAGATGACATTTTATAGCTTTTTTCGACTAAAACCTGATCCCTACAATACCGTTGCATGAGTTACCCAGGGGAGACAGGACAGGACAAGTGTTGGACTGTTAACTTATTTGAAAAACTTCATCCGTTTCTAAGGAGTGCTGTATACACTTTTTGGCAGCGAAGATACCACTAGAGTTTTTTTGGTTCGCGATCCCATGCACCTTTGAGTGTTCATTTGTTGTTTACAGTACTACTCGTATAACAAATTCCGCGATAAAAGTCAAAAAAATCCTTGTTGGAATGCGGTTTATAGAAAAAATCCGCCGATTAGAAGTTTGAAGAAATACAGAGTGGACAAAACATGGACAGAAAGCGCTGTCAGTTCCGGGAGTAGTGGTATCAGTTATGGAGTGGCATATATTCAAGGTTTCGAACTACCCCGTTTGCAGGTGTATCGCATAAGTCTGTTGCTGAATTCTCCCCTGAATTGAATAAAGGATAGAGACAACACAATGGAGAAGCAGCACTCCAAACATGTGGACAGGATTCCAAGTCCCGCGTTATGAGGCCTTTTACAGCATGAGGAGATCGGTGGGGTTATTACGCAAAAAACCTATAAACCGTCAAAAAACTGACAAAATGTCATCTTGCTGCCTAGGTTGTTCTTAGTGTGCAAATAGTACATTCCGCGTTTGCTCGCTATGAGCGCTGTGAGCGTCATCAAAAGCGTCCATCTATGGAGGAATGATTCAATCACACGACACGCTCAATGACCATGCTGCAAGCTGTAAGTCAGTTAACCATCATGCTTTATTGGTTGCAGAATGCCGAGATAGTCTTTAGAGTATACTCTGAGAAGATGGTTGAGTAGCAGAGTAGTAAGTTCACATCTGGATGACTGTGTGTATATATTTGCTATGTGATTGTGTGTAATCAAGCCAAATCACAGAAAAATTAGGAATGACGCATCACATACGAGACATTTTCGCACTGCCTCACATCTATGCGATGATTTATGTTTTCTACTTGATATCGTAAAATAACTTTCTATAAA